GCACAAAATATAATATGTACTGTATGAAAAAGGTTAATTTCACTGTTGATTGCACAGCAAAAAATCAAAATGTGTATACGAGCATGTTTGTTGCACTGAAGAAAATGTTAATTGCATGCCATGTTTTTATGTGAACTGCACAGAAGTGCATTGCATAACCCTGTCATGGAGTCTAGAGTCTCAAATCACCAATAGTTATTCACCCACTCCCATGTCTGCACAGACACACACGAATGTTTGGATTTGACACAGAAGCAGTGAAGCATCATGGGTGCTCTGTTTGCAGTATCATGCCCTCTTCTGGCCATTCACTCTTTTTCTGTGAGGGTGAATGAGCTGCTGTAAACCTCTTAACCACCTGTCTGCTGTAACAGTCTTCTCTCACTCAGTTGTTGTATGTCTTTAATCACATTGTGTGTTTTTTGTACCTGACAGTGGAGGTTCAGTGAATCTATAATTGAGGGGTCATTCAAAAAAACACAGCTGGACAGTAAAACTCAAGACAATTTAAGAATTGAAGTAAATAAAAGAAACGTTTGCGTATGGCAAGGATGTGCGCTCAGACTGTGAAATGCTTTTTTGTTTTTGTTTTTGCAGGGGTCCTTTGTCCTTTGTTTGGCATTTAAAAGTTCAGTTTTTGGGTCTGTATGAACAATATTATGACTATGAACATGATAATCACAGTAGCAGCGGGCAAGAAGACACTGTGGCAGCATAACTGTGGTCTGCTGAAAAAGGACGAAATGTCATAGAATAAATAAAGAGATGTTTATTTTTAAATCTTAATTATATCATGATTATTGTGTCTTTTCAGAAAGCCTAAATTTTAACATTGATGGGGTATTATTGACGTCATTTTACACAATACTTGTAAACCAAAGTATTCTAATAAAACAAACAGTACACTGAAATGTAACAACCTCATAAAGTTGGTCTGAGAGCTCTCTGTTTTACTTTCAATGAAGGGCTGGCTACATTGAATTCATTTATTACACTTTTATCGGTTTAGCTTAGCATTGTGTCATCTACAAATAAAATGACTGGCTGTTCAATAAATGTACATGATAATTATGACATACTGTACATGCAGCGGTTTCATAAGCTCTCCTGTAAATTCCTCTTCAAGGGCAGCGTGTCAGACCAGCCTGAGGGGGCGGGTCCTGTGATGTCATTTTTATGTTTCACTGAAGGACACTAGGATGAAATCCAGGAACACAGATGGAGGGTGAAACTAAAGCAGGAGTGTCAGCTTCTCATCACTGGATCTCCTGTCTGCGTGGAGACACAGGATGTTGCAGTATTTCATGTGTCATGGAGTCAGTGTCACACTAAGATCATGTCATTGCCCAAGGTGTGACAGTGACATACTCAACAGGAAATAGGAGGTTGTGACATTTTTCTCAGTGCCTGTCCTGTATCTGTTTTATTTCACTGAGAAAACCCTCTCAAAACCTGTTGAGCTGTGATTATCAAAAACTCTCATCAGTCATAAACTAACAAGCCTTCAGATTAACGCTAAACATCTACAAAACACAACATCCTCCAGTTTCTGACAGCACAACCAAATGCTTTCAAAACACAAACCACAAATGAAACAAACTGGTCATTTAGCTCAGTGAAGAGCATGATGGTAAAATGAGCATGATGGGCCATCGCTCTTTTAAGGTGGACCTAAAACTCAACTACAAAAACATTCAATCAAACCCAAAAATATAACAAAACTTTAAAAAATGTCATGCAATTTAAGAAACATATTTTGAAAATTATTTAAAGTTTTCTACAGGATCTCTTCTTTATGTTTTGCAAAATGTTTTTGCACATTATTTTTGTGCTTTATGATTTTTTTTTTTTTTTTTATGTGCCTACCATTTGTGATAGAGAATTTTAGAACTTGGTTAATATTTTGTGTTTATTTGTTGCTTTTATTTTGGGGGAAAACTAAGATATAGTCAAATTTTGATGCATTTTTTTTTTGTAAAATACTTTCTTTCTTTCTCTCTCTCTCTCTTGAATTTCCACAAATGTGTTACTGCTTTATTTATACATTTTGTTTTTCTGCTGTGGCAGCTCTCAAACTCTTTCACTACTCTTTTCAGTCATGAAAACACCAGACAGGGACAGAACACACGAGTGGACTTTTCCATCTCTGACCCTCTTAGAGAAAACAACTGATTTACAAAGCTTAATTTCCAAGCAGGAACAAAAGAGTAGAATAACTTTATTTCCAGTTTGGAAACATAACCTGATTTCATTTTGTTTTTGTTGTTAGCTCGGTGCAGCATCTGCCTTTTTCAAGCAGTAGTTGGCCTGTTGAATCAGATCCACCTCACTCTGGTCATTCATCATGAGGGAATTGAATTGTTCTGAATGCCAAGATGCCATGGAGAGCGATCAGCCATTAGTTTTAAACTCAACAGCTGGATACTCCTGAAATGAATTGCTGCAGTCTGCCCTGCTGCAGACCTTTGATTTATCTCCAGAATGCAACCTGCTGGCTGAGGGGGGCAGACAGTCTGTACTGGGATAAATAGTTCAGAGCTGAGTCTCCTGGTTGTCCAGTGCGTTTAAGCACGTGGGGCTGTGTTTACGTCTGGAATGTCTCCTCAAAGGTACAGCATTGTGCACGTTGTTTTTCTGAGGGGACTTTAAAGCATATTTTTACAACTCAACAGGTCATTATGTCCCGTTCATGCCCTTGAAGCATGCAACACACTTTACAGCCCCTGTTTGCGGGACTTTGTGTCTTTTGTGACTCCTAGTGGTTGAATCTTGGAAATCTCTTGGTTTGACAAACATTGAAACACATTAATGGGCCTCAGAATAAAGCCAAAGATTACACACTGAGGATTGGACAGTAAGGATGCAAAAGTCCTGTCGAGATATAATTTGACTGAGGAGGTGTTTTGAGGCTCAGTGGTGTCAGATGCAGTTATTGCCATTTTTGAAATTCTGATTCAACCCAACTTTCGGTCTTACAGCCTCCTGATTAATAACTATAGTGCTCCACCTGTTTGTCAACCCTACTGTTTCACCCAAATAATGCAAATGTGTGATTAAGACCTAGCCATGATATTATCTTACAACTGTGTCTACACAGAAATGAGCTACGCTGAGCAAAACTCCTTCTGTTACATGTTTATTTCTGCTTTAATATATGCACCCATTGTTATGCCTTGGATTTCACAGCAAGCTTTAAATAGGCACTAATAATCATTGTTTTCTTAATTGTTATTTGTATCATATATTAATAAATTACATGTAGCAATTTACTGCTACAGCTGAGTTTTTTATTTTACCTTGTTTGTCCTTTCTGTGCTACTTGTAAAAGCACGCTGGTGCAAGATGGCAGCCTTTATGGAAGAGGACCTACTCCTGTGTAGATATAAAAGGCTCATTTCAAGATAACAAAATCGAAACAGTTTGTTTTTAGTTGATTATACACGGAGTCAGCATGCTTATGAATATTGTATTCTATTTCCACCAAGTCTGTTGTGCCACAGGTTGCTGATTACTGCACACTTAACCTTAAAAATGGCATTTTATGGCCAGCAGGGAGTGACTCAAGTAGTCCTGACTTAATTTAGTTTCCCCTTAAAAGGCACTGCAAGGAGTTTTTAACAAGTTGAAAAACAGACCAAAACTGACACTGATAAAACTGACACTGTTACATCCTCGAGGCTCAAGGGGATAGGGGGATGGAAACCAAGGGAAACGAAACAGGAATAAAGTGTGGAGATTCAGACTTTTAAAGAAAATAAATATTATTTATTAACACAAGCAAAGCGGTAATAGCCAGTAACTGAAAATGAGCTCCTTTAAACAAAACACAATCAAACACACAGACATAAAGACCGCTGTGGTTAAAAATGAAAAAATAATAAAAAAGGTAACAATGCAAAAAAAAAAAAAACCCTCTAAGACTCTGTATCCAAGCACCTCACTTCTTCAGAAAAAAAAAAAAAAAAAAAAACTAAACTAAAAAATAGCTCAGACCAGAGTCCACAGTCATTGCATGGGTGCAGGGTCACTTCCAGCAACAACTTCTTCGATCTGCTTTTTCTCTTCAGATCCTTTTACTGCAGCTCCCGATGAGCAGGCAGCTGCTATTGTGCTCCTGGTATAATAATAATAATAATAATATATTATCAATATTATATAATAATAATAATAATATATTATCAATATTATTATTATTATTATTATTATTATTATTATTATTATTATTATTATTATTATTATATTATTATTGTTGTTGTTGTTATTATTGTTATTATTATTGGCCTATTGTTGCTGTTGATGATGATATTGTCAGTGTTAATTAGTTTTCTGTTTTTATTTTAATATTTATTATTATTATTCTTTTTTTCCCTGTAATTATTGTTTTTATTATAATCGCTTTATCTGTATTGTCATAATTATTATAACTATTATTATTGATGCTTTCCATTCTTAAAGATCACACACCTCTAATGCTGTCGATATTTGGCTGCTCCCCGTGAACTCGTGCAAACTCCAATCATACCGCGTGGCACTTGGAGACACAAAAAAACGCAGGTCTGATCGAGGAGGGGCCTACGGGTCAGATTTCCAGAGAAGTGCGACCCCTGAGCTGCTAACGAACGTCCTGTTTTTGCGCTGCGTTGCGCATGCGCTGATCTACATCCACGTTGAGACTCAGCGAGCTACTCAAGAGCCCCATCCGGATAGTTTAAAACTCAATAGCCAAACTGTGGGGCGCTAAAGTTAGACCTCCCAACTATCTCAGCATCCTTCCCAGCAGTAGGGAAAAAAAGAGGAGCTAAACAAGCAAAAGTTTTCCTCCGACTCGCCAAAAGAGGAGTCGACATGGATGAAAAGGAGCTGTTTGTGTGAATAAACTTACGAGAAACTTCTCCACATGGCTGAAGAATGATAACTTAGCTCGTACGCTGGGTTGTTTCGTATGAGAGGACACGAAAAGCCCAGCTGTGGGAAAGTTTGAAGCAGGAGCCTAGCTGGCTATGGCGCGGGACGGAGAAGACCCTGGGATGGCCAAAACTCCCAAAGTCAAACGGCAAAGGAAGAAGAAAACTAAAGAGAACAAAACCAGGACCGTCCACGCAAACTTACTCTACGACCACGCCAAAGGAGAGGAAAACCCAAACCGACACTATGCAAACAACAAGATTAAGACCACCAAGTACACGGTGCTGTCTTTCCTGCCAAAGAATCTTTTTGAGCAGTTTCATCGGTTTGCCAATGTTTACTTTGTCTTCATCGCTTTGCTGAATTTTGTTCCAGTTGTCAATGCCTTTCAGCCTGAACTCGCTCTGGCTCCTGTGGTCTTTATTTTGTCTGTCACTGCCATCAAAGACCTGTGGGAGGACTACAGGAGACACAGGTCGGATAAAGAAATCAATCACATGGACTGTCTGGTCTTCAGCAGGTAAGATGGGCCTCATACCAGCAGCCTGTGGTGGCCAGCTGCTGCTCAAACATTGTGTGTTTAGTTATTTCCTCTGCTGTGAGTCAGTGCACAAAGTGTCCTTCCAAAATGCATCTTTAAAAACCCTCACATCTTATGTAATGATACTTCCAAACTCTCTCTAACAAACTACTTTGTGCTTTTCTTGCCAAACCTGAGAACTTGGCCTTCCTGCAGAATTCCAGGTGACAGCCTGTCAGTCAGATGATCATTAGCTGCAAATCCAGAAAAGTGCTGTACACTGGCAAACATCTTGCCATGCAATCACAATACAAATGTTAGGTGTTAATATTAGTGTTAGAAAAGTTACGGATACAGTCAAACATTGTTATCCTGACTCTATGTTACAATGAACATTTTGCTTATATTACTATTTTAGTTGAAGAAAAAGGAGGTGACGTTAACCCTGCCCGTTTACTTTTTGGATGCATGATGTGTCCTTTATATTTATGGATATTGTCAAACATCATTACATGACTGTCTTGCAATTTATAAGATATACCAAAATATTTGATGCATCATATCATATCGTATTGCATCTTACTGTAGTGTGTCATACAGTATTGTAAAATACCACTTTGTCTCGTGTAGTACCATATCACATTGCATAGTATCATATTGTATCACATTATATTGTATCTTATCCTATTATAGGGAGTAGTAGAGTCATGTTAGATGAGTGGTATTGTTTAGTACCATACATTCACCAAACTAAGAAATATGTTTTGTTGTTCCACTAGTTAAAAAAATATACCGTAGTATAAAAACAACAGTATGTGCATTTGGAAAGTAGTTGATAGACAATATCCCGCTCTCCAGTTAAGACCAGATGTCAAAGAAAGTTGGTTAAACAAATAATAATTGCATTATTTAAGGCTTGAAAAGCTGGTGGAATGTTGCGCCTAAGCTGTAGTGCAGCCACTTGCCACTTGCCACCAGCAGATCAGGGAAATTGCTCTTGCCATAATGCTATAGTTCTATACTACCCAAATGTAAACAGCACAGCTGATGGATAACATCCAGTAGTATGATGCAGTTTGTAAGTATTTAGATCCAGAAAATGGAGATAAAGTTCTACAAAATGAGTCAGAATTTTTAAATGTCTTTAAAAAATTAGGAAATTAGTCACTTCAGAGCATTCCTAGAAAGGACACGATATGGTGTGATGTGATTTGTTGCTATTTAATATGGTACAAAGCAAAATATAGTACAGTACTATATGATATAATATGTTACAGCTGTATTATGAGTTACCCTGTGATTCCACACTATTTAAATATAAAGCAATATTCAATCCCAGCGCACCAAAGACAGCAATGCACTGTTTTGTCGTCAACTAATTCTGAGAAAAAGTAGCGTTAGTATTAAAACACAAAAGTGTACTCAAAATCCCCCCAGTTTATCAATTAATATATGAAAAAAAAACAAATCCCTGCCTTTAGAAATTGTCATTGATTTGGAATGAGTACCGTATGTAAAAATAACTTGCAATGCTAATATGAATCCATTCTGTCTTATAACCAAGTCCAGGCATAGCCAGAAAAAAATGGGGTTAAACCTGGCTAACACACGAGGAATATATATCGCATGTGCATCCAAAAAGACTTCCAAACCTCCAGTTTGCTGCCCACTTTTCTGTCACAGCGGTGTGAAACTTCTTTAAGTCCAGATGCTGTCTCAGTGCCGACATTGTTTATGATGAGTCAGTGTGTTACCTGCTTCTCTCCCATACTAACTTTATGCCTGAGTCCCGTGTGCGTGTGCAGAGTGTTATTGCTAATGAAAAGCAGCACTGTGGTCTGTGTACAGAGCATAATTCATGGTAAATCAAAAGGCTCAGTGTTTAGTGGCAGCACAGTTTCAGCAAGACTCAAGTTGTTCGGTCAAGGTTGCACAGAATTGAGTTTTCTTTTACTGTGGCAGTATTGTGTAAAACATTTCCTTTTTCTCTACCTGGAGACAGCACACTTATATCAGTATCTTGGATACTGACTCCTGTGCGTGTCTTTGAGAATAAGTCCTCACTGAATTAAACCCTATTACATGTATGGCTTTAGCACATGTAAAGTCTTCAATTATAAATGACTAAAACTCTGAATAAATAACTATCAATTGAAGATCTTTATAGAGAAACAAGTTACTCTGTTTCTCTTGGTTTCAGTGGTTTAATTTAATTATAGTTTCATAGTTTTGTTAATTTTTTTAGAAGAACATTGTATTAATCTCAGTTTTTCATGTTTGGCTGCATAATCCCTCTGCGACCGAGTTCAGCTCCGTAGATAAGATCCAGCAGGGAAAGATTAGTCTCCATGCTGACAGAGTTACAGATGTTCTTGTGTTTACTTCCAGATAGGATCTTGTTTATTTCTCCTATTGTAAATATTAAAATAACTGTGCTCATAACCCTTCCTATCAGGTGGTGTCTTCTGTGTTAAACAAATACTGACTCTTGAAGTTAAACTGTATCGTTTAGGGTTTTGTCAGTTTTAATTACCATGTCTGTTTGTTTTGTAAGCAAGCGACAATGTTAGATAATCCAGCTCTCAGTGAAAAAACCCAGAAACACTGTAGGAATCCTATCTTTGAAACAGGAGGACATAGATAAAAGCAAAGCTAAAACATGCAGTCCATTTGTGGTTCTTTTTGAAGGCACTTTTCCCGCCACAGAGGGTCATAGAAACATAAATGTTTGACTTTCCAGGTTCCTCTGCTTGGTCCTCAGAGTTGTCTTGAGTAGGGGCAGGTAGAAGAGAGCGTACAGCCTGACTCTTTAGTGTTGAGTTGTAGCCCAAACAAACATCTTGCTCCAGCTTTGTACTCTGTCTTCTCCCAGTTTTCCTCTTCATACGCTTTTCTTTTTGTACCTCTCTTCACTCTTCTTTTTCTGTTTGAATAATTGGAAGATGGGACAGGTTGAGTGGACAGCCTAACTCAGCCAAGACAGTTGAGTCTCATGGATAAGTGGTTCCTACTCGATAACCCTGATGAGTTCTCTGGCTTTGTTTGTCCCATCTATTTTTGAGGGGGACAGTAAGGGCCATAGGGACGGTTTTGTACACTGTGTTCCAAATCATTATGCAAACGACATTTTACTCTGATTTTCCTAAATAGTCGATGCAAATGACAACCAGCATAATTTTCAAGTCATCCACTATTTTAGCATAATTAAAATTTTATGGAACAAACCTTCAATATTGATAACTATTTTTTTTAAGAATATAAAGTTATTATGCACAACAAAGTTTCAAAACATTTTAAGGGTTGTAAAAAACTGAAAATGGTCATCTGTTGCGTTTGCAGTATCAGGAGGTCATATTTATTGAAATTAAAAGCTATTTTAATCAAAACATCTTAACACCCCAAGTAACATGTTAACAAAGGACCCCTTCTCTGATATCACCTTCACAATTCTTGCATCCGTTAAACTTGTGAGTTTTTGGAGAAAATCTGCTTAAATTTCTGTGTAAGATGTCAGAATACCTTCCCAGAGCTGCTGTTTTGATGTGAACTGCATCCCACCATCATAGATCTTTTGCTCGAGGAAACTCCAAATGTTCTCTATAGGGTTGAGGTCAGGGGAGGATGGGGGCCACACTATGAGTTACTCTCCTTTTATGCCCATAGCAGCCAGTGACACAGAGGTATTCTTTGCAGCATGAGATGGTGCATTGTCATGCTTGAAGATAATTTTGCTATGGAAGGCATAGTTCTTGTTTTTGTACCCTGGAAGAAAGTGGTCAGTCAGAAGCTCTACATAGGGCTGAACGATTTTGGAATATAATCTAATTGCGACTTTTTTCCTCAATATTGTGATTGCGATTTAGTATGCAGTTATTTTTTCAAGGTCCTCTTCTAATCCATTTTTTCAACAAACAAACAATAAATTAATCTGTATTATAATGAATAATATCAGATAAATTCTACATAAATTGTTCTTTCTAGCAATTACCATTTGACACACACACACACACACACACACACACACACACACACACACACACACACACACACACACAGGCTCTCTCTGCTCACACACCATTGCCCACACACATGCACGCGCCACCACATATGTCATGATACTAATCTACGTACTGATGGGGAGATGTTATCGGTGCCCAAAACACTGGAGTCGGGTCTTTTCATTCAGCTGTGCCGCCATCACCGTATTGGATGTGTTTTCCATCGTTATGCAGACATGGAGTGAAGTTGAAGCGCTGGTGGCTGGTGTTTTCCAGATCAAATGACCAGTCATAATAGCAGCCTTTGAGATTAGAAAATTGCGTTTTATCATATTGCGACGTAATCACATATGCAATTATTTGTTTAGTCCACTATATACTTTGCCTTAACATGACTTCGCCACCTCCTTGCTGAGGTCGCAGTCTTGTTGGGACATGGTGGCCATCCACCAACCATCCACTTCTCTCTCCATTTGGACCATCCAGGGTTGCATGGTACTTATCAGTGATCAAGACTGTTTGAAAATTAGTCTTTATCTATTACTGGGTCCACTGCAATCGTTTCTGCTGGTGAGCTTTGGTTAGGGGTGGCAGAATAGAAGGTTTATGCACGTTGACATCCATGGGACTCCAGGGGAACAAGCAGCTTCACATAGCTGTTTGCCGTTTTGTAACCGCATTTTAGCAGCTGCTCTCTGAATGTGGTGAAGCTGTCTGGCAGCAACCTTCCTCATTTTGCCTTTGTGTGCATGAACCCGTCTGTGCTCAGAATCTGCCACGAATTACTTCACAGTACGATGATCATGCTCAAGTTCTCGTGAAATATCCAATGTTTCCATACCTTGTCCAAGTCATTGCACTATGTGACGCTTATCGGCAGCAGAGAGATCCTTTTTCTCTCTCATATTGCTTGTAACCTGTGGCCTGCTTGATAATGTAGAACATCCTTCTGAAGTAGTCCTCCTTTAATTTGGCTCACCGAGCAAGCTAATTCTCACAGGTGTCTGAGATTAATTTCAGTGATCCAAAGAGCCAGGAGACACAACACTATCTAAAAAATGAATGTCTATGACACTAAAATCCAATTTGCATAATAATTTAGAGCATGGTGTAGGGTTTTTGAGGAATTAAAGTTGAATAGAGTGGTTTTATTTTTCACAGAGTGCTCTTGCTTTTTAATGGGTCTCTTGTACCCTATATTTATTTGAAAATAGACTAAACATGTTTATTTTTTGTTAAACTAATGGGCCATTGTATCAGGTCAGTTCATTTAATGGTATACCCGGCTTCACATGAAAGGTTGTGGCATAAAAAAAGAGCCTTTTTTTCATAAGCATAATATCTCACTGTCATTTTGCTCATTTCCATAGTTTAGATGATAAATCCCACTTTCCGCATGGCAAAACTCAAGGAGCTTTTATTTACGATACAGGAAATCTCTCTTTGTCATAAATGTAAATATTTACTAATTGTGAGGGATGGAGGCGGCCATGTGCTAGTAAATGTTTCTTCACATTTATCATGATTTACCTCAGAGTACTCCTCCTAAGTTTGAATCCTGGAGAGACAACAAAGACATACCCAGTCAAATCAGACATTTGCACAAACAGAGTTACTTCACTGGAATGTAAATAGTCTTACTCTTAATCTGGTTTACACAGTAGCACAAAAACATCTGCCTCTGACTGTCCTAACCAGAACTGATCTGGACTGCAGTTCACTGAACACCCAGTTTGACCGCAACAGTCTGAGTTGATGCATTCTTTCATAACTGGATAATTAACTACTGGCGTGTGTGGGCTGTTGTTTTCTCAGCTCTATTTACTGAAGTTATTCTGTGGTCATGCATAGAAAATGTCAATTTCACATCTAAGCAGCACTGGACTGCAGAAATAATCCTTTTCATTCATACAGACTGACCTTATCTCACTTTTTCTAAGAGGATTCCCTGTGGGTTGTATGATGCATTCCCAAAATCAATCAGTTATCTAAATTCTAAATTCAACTTTATTTATATGGCATATACATACGTATGAGAAAATAATTCAAAGTGCCTCACAGAGGCTAAAAAAATCTCGCAAACTATTATGTGAGGCAGCTTCAAACACATTCGCACAAAAGAGAGGGCTTTAGGTTAAAGGTTACACAAGACAATGAAAATCAGAAAGAGCAACCCTTGACAAAATACAACAAAACTTAAGTTAAAAGGAAGAACATTTCAAATAAGAACTGAAAATGTTAACATTCAAGCTAGTAAGGCATCAAGATTGAGTCTGGCTAATGTGAATGTTTTGATTTTTTTGCAGTGTCAATGAAAAATATGTGTCTTCAAATTATATTAGACAAATAACTCTACGAAGTGACATAGTAGCAGGTGAAGGATTTTTGAGACCTGATTGTAATTCCAGATGTGGTTGTCAGTAACACAATGAAATATACATTGCTCAGCCAGACTGTTTGTATTGTGATACACTTTTAACCACCCCTAGATTTAGTCCATACACATTGGGACTATCTGTTTTTCAAAAAATGGACAAATATCAAATATGACATGCACGTGGTCGGATACATTTGTGTGTTGCAATTTTATCGGTGATGGATTTTTTACAAGGCCTGATCATTTGCTGTTGTGCAGCTCAACATTGGTGCCTCTTTTGTTGCCTCCCATGAGTAAAAAGCCGTTAGGTGAGACCAGAGTAATGTCATTGTTGATGAGAAAGACTGCAGTTTTTTATTTGTTTGTTTTTTTTACAAAGTCGAAATGTATTTTTTTTGTCTTTTATTTTTCCATCTACGGTATACAAGCCAAAATACCACGCTGCGCTTCTCAGATGTTTTGGTGATTATTCGCCCAGTGTTGCTTTGCTTGGCCATGTCCTTTATATCTGGAGAATAACATTACTGTATTAGGTTACTGAGGTCAAGAGAGCATGGATAAAACAGGTTATAATAAGAGCGCCCTCTGCTGGATCATACTGCAAGCTACTTCAGTGGGCCTAATATGCTGGTAAACAGTGTTTTTATGAGTTGGAACAGTTCATTCAGTTTATATATGAACTTTTCCCCAAGACTTCAAATGAATGCACACACTTTTGTTAACTTGATAAGCTTTCTGACAAGTGGTATGCATCCTGATTACCAGAGTGTACCAGTTTGAAATGCAGGGAAGGATATTTTATTGTGTTTCCGTGTTTCCATGAGAAGATAATGCTAAGCTAGCCAAAGCGTTATCATGGCCATGTTTGACCTGGCATTATCAAAATTTGTCACATGAGCCTGAGTTTGGCCAAGTGTTTGGGTCATGTGCCCCATGTATGGACTTTTTGGTCTTTGAGCAGCATCGACAGCCTCTTTATGTGACTCTCTCTCCTGGTTTCCTGCTCACTGTCTTATCCTCTCTGAACAAAGGCATAAAAGCCTGACAGTATAATTAAGAAATAAGATGGAGAGAAAATTCCTCACCATTCACTGCACTGCATTGTAAGCAGCTGCTTTGCTATGCCAGGCTGGCAGAGCTACTTTAAAACCATTACTCTTACTGATAGGTAATGACCGTACATTTAAATAAAATGGTGTGAAACTACTCAGTAAATTAACCATGATCAGCGCTGCTTTGATTGGAAAGACTCCTCAGTTTAAGACACTGGAGGTTGGTGGTGCAACTCAGGTAAATGGTTGCCAAGAGAAGGTCTGTACGTCTAAAATACCAGTGCCACTGTAGGCTGAGCTTAACCACTGTACCAGTAGTAGGACTTTTAACTCCACATGGAAAAAATTTGGTACTACAAAGAGCTGCACAGAAAGTGCACATTGTGGATTTGGAGGATACATTAAAAACATCACACAGGAAGGCGGTTTCATGGTTTTAACTCATTCACTCAAAGCAAAAGCCAAACAATCACCTTATCCAGCTTATGAAATGAAAGATGATGCTACTTTTCTTTGTCAGAATTGGTAGTTTAGGAAGAAATTTGGGATTATAAACAAAAAGAAGCACAATGAGGCTTTAACTTCAGCTTTATATGGTCATGACACATCATTTTCAGTGGTCTAAAATCCATCAGTTTCTCACAAAATATTCAGAGGATAAGTTTGACCCATGAAGAAATGCTCCGACTGTCCACTACTTTTCTGCTACATTATACAAACCTGAGGCATTGATTTAGTAATCACGTGCTCTCTCTCTCTCTGGAAAGTCTTTTCTTTGTGCTCAGGTTTTTTGATTCTTTCTCAGACAATGGAAAACTACAGAGAAAAGGAGAATCTGCCTCAAACATAAGTTTCTTGTTTGTCATTGTTCTCTTGAATTTTTCTCTGTTCTCTGTCCGCTCAGTCTGGAGTCTGAGAGCATGGAAAAAGTCTGATTTTCATGTGGACACCACGTGCATTTCAGCAAAAAAAATTTTATATACTAGGATGTGAGTCATTAATACCAGGGGGCTGTTATGAATAAATAACTGTGTTTTTCCCTTTCACTCTTCACTGTTGTTTATGGCTTGAGGATATGCATTATTTAACTCTGTTGTTACCAAGAAAATCCCATTGTTCAGAAATGAAGCCTGGTTCCCATTAGTGAGTGGTTTTGCACTGATTAATGGTTGCTGAGAGAAGTGACATCATGTAAATTATCTTAATGCGATACTGCAATCTTAGCTATGATTATAAGTATCCGGCTGTGATGGGAACCTCAGTGAGATTTCCTCCAAACAGAGAAAATGTTGTGTGACAGTCTGATGTCCGAAAGGTTTTTCTTAGTTGTGGTGTTGTGCTTGTTTAACACTCTTTAAAAGTTTTTATCCTATTTCAATACTCAATAAACAGCTTCTTTTAAGCTAACCAGAAAACCCAAAACACTGTGTATTTACAGCAATAAATAACTAACCAACAACTGTAAACCACATCTTCCAAAGAAGCTAGAACCCGCAAATGTCTTTGTTTTTTCTTGGAGGATTGTACAAAAAGTGATTAAAGGAGGGTTATATATGCTTTTCCACATTTACAATAAAAACTGCAGAGTTTCAAAGTTTGGTGTCCACACTTGATGTATGTTAAGTTTCAAATCACAAGGTAAATGTTTGTTGTCATAATTTTAGAAAGTAGATGTAAACTGCTCAAAACGGGAGCCTGCGCAATGATGCGAGACCTGCTAAAATGCTATCGGAGGTATCAAAAGCTCTCCTAACTATTTTTATCTGTGCTTCAGGCTAAGCAGAGTTATACTGCTGTACTGATTGAACACGACAGAGGGGGCGGAGCCATAATATCGAGCTTTGCCCTAGGCCGGCTTCCGAAAAGCCTCCAGAGAGGTGGCCAATCAGAAGAAAGTAGGCTTGTGGAAGGGGGGCCTTAAAGAGATAGCAGCTTAAGTAAAGGTTTCCAGATGGAGGCTGAAATAATGATGTTTTAAGACACCCCATTGAGAAATGTGAGGCTTTTTTGATCTGGAAATCATGTAAAGATATAAAAGAGGTATCAGAGAAGAAGTATACAGTCTGAAAAAATGCCGCAATTGGCGTTGTGATATGATACCATCTGTCAACTGTGCTTATGTACATCCAGGTTGCTTTGCCATTAACAAGAACTACAACCCTGACTGGGAGGAATGGCTGTGCTAAAGCTCAGACACAACATATGACCACCACCACCATTTCAGTGACTTTAACTGGAGCATGTTGACATGTTGATTTCTCTGAATGTTTCTTCAATCAAGCTGTTCAAGCATAATATGTATGTGCTGTGACAGACAGCAGCTCACTATTGTTGAAGAAGAGCCAGGAATATCAGTCCAGGTTTCATTGGTAGTGTCTCTAATGATTAATTTTGATGGCAATACTGTATGCCCATTTCAGTTTTGAAAAAAGTAATTTTTGTTAAGTTATTTAGCAACAAGTTTTGTGGGGAAGGTGTTGTTTACATTAGGAATGTCAGATGAAATCACATGATTATGTGGGAAACTGGATCTCTGTGTTTATGCTTTCCAGTATGCAAATGAATGTGGTTCTGATAGACATTACAAAATCTTTAATAGGGGAAAAAGTTTTGGATGATGAAGATGTGAATCCATTGTGTTTTTGTCCTGCATTATGAACCTTGAATCTATTGCATGCATTACTCTTAGCAATGTGTGCAGCACATGTAGCAGAGAATCATAGCTGAGCAGGCAATGATTTGCATTACTACTTTGCACTGCATGACAAAATAACATGACAATACAATGCAGTTTAAAAACAGTCCCCAGTGTCATATTGGGTCAAAGTTATCATAGAAAGTTTTCCTGCTCAAATCAGCAATCTTCCTGACTTATTGTACCTTAAAAGTTGGTATCAGGTTAAAAATCACATATACCGGCCAAAAGTTTGGAAGCAAGATCAGATTTGTACAAAAAAAGATCATAGTTTCATATATATAATTTGCAACACAATAAACATGACTATTGTGTAAAGAGTAACTTATCAGAAGACATTTTGCCTATAATTATTAGGTATTTGAGTTATTGTTGCTTAGACTTTGCTTTCGGAGATGCTCCAGCCTTATTGCCCACCCCGACCCCTAAGATCAGCTGATCAGCTTTTACTGACGGTCCCCAGTACTAGGCTGAAGCTCAGAGGGGACAGAGCGTTTGCTGCTGCTGCCCCTAAGCTCTGGAATGAGTTGCCCTTGAAAATTAGACAGGCCTCCTCATTTCCTGTTTTTAAATCCCTTTTAAAAACGCACTTTTACTCATTGGCTTTTAGTACATTGTAGTGTTAATTTGTTTTTTATCATTTTAGCACTTGCTGTGAGCCTCCTTATTTATACACTTATTTATTCTTTTGCATTACTGTATTTCTGCTTGCGTTATCTTGTTTTTTGATTGTTTTATTTGTTTTTATGTCACTGTACAGCACTTTGGCCACCCTTGTGGTTATTTTAAATGTGCTATACAAATAAAGTTGATTGATTGATTGATTGATTCTTTAAAGTAACCTCCTCTGGCTTTAACAACAGCTTGGCATGTACCAGGCATTTGTTCCACAAGTTTTTTAAGGTATGTTCCAGGGATTGCATTCCAAGCTTTCCTAAGTCCTGATTCGTGGGACGCGTTTTTCTGACCGATTGATCCAATTCATCCCGCACAAGCTCAATTGGAGAAAGGTCTGGAGACTGAAGGGGCCAAACCATTTTGAAGAACACCTTCCTCTTCTTTTTTGTCAAGGTAACCCTGACAGAGCTTGGCGGAGTGCTTAGGGTCATTGTCTTGCTGCAAAACAAACTTATGAGCCACAAGTCTTAGTCCAGATGGAGCAGCATGGTGCTGGAGGATGGAGTGGTACTGTTCCTTCTTCATGATACCCTTTATGTCAAATGAATCTTCTACTCCATCACCTACAAATCATCCCCATACCATAGAACTACCACCTCCATGCTGAATTGTGGGTGTAACACATGGTGCTTTCAGACGTTCACCAGTTTCTCTGCCGACATTGACTCTGCGTTTTGAACCAAACAGTGCAAACTTGTTTCTAGTCATCGTAAGTCCAATTTTTGTGAGCTTTAGCCCACTCATATCTCTTTTTCTTGTTCTATGGACGAAGTAGTGTTTTTTTGTAGATACACAACCCTTCAGACCAGCCTTTCTCAAATGTCATTTCACGGTTGTCAGAGATATGGGTTTCGACCTTGTCATGTTGATTTCCTCCCTTATTTTTGGTGATGTCTTTCGCCGATCTCTCTTACTGGTGACAATGCTATGTTATCGTCTGCTTTTGTAGTAACTCTCTTTCGTCCAGGTCTTTTTCTATCATCATAACTTCCAGGTTCCTCTAGTCTCTTCAGAGTGTAGTGGACTCCTTTGTTAAACACCTTTAGGCGTTTTGCAATTTCTCTTTCTGTGTATCCTTCTTTCCTCAATGTACTCAGTTGCTTCTTTCTAGCCATTTCTGCAATAGTTTGAACGCAGTTGAGATTTATTAGGATTTTGTCTGCAGACTCTCAAAAGCCAAAAAGTTGAAGTGAATAATCCAACTGTGATTAGTTTTTTTGCTTTTGCACTGAAGTTGTGACTCTTGCAAATGTTTTCAACCCTAAAACTAAGCCCTTATTATCTTTTGCTGACATATATTTAGCAATGGTCTGTTAACATCAATGTATGTCTAAAGGTAAATGGAGTAAAATGGTGCATTTCCATGAAAGCAACATCTGATCATGGAGCAAATACATCCCAAAATACATAAAACTCATGCTGGATTTTAAAAAAAAGCATTGCGAAAAAAAACTTGAAGTCATTCCCAACTGCTCGGCCTGTAATAGCCTTGCTTCCAAACTTTTGGCCTGTAGTGTAGGTGGATCAGAAATCTCATCTAAATCCTCCTCAGTCTGTAATGGACCTAATGAAGATGTCATAGGTTTATGCTGAGCTACATTTTTGATATTTTTAAGTTCTTTGTTGGATGTGTAGAGCTATTTGCTGAGAAGAATAGCTCTGGCTTGGCAGGATTTCAAACTTGGTCTCTCCTGCTGGAGTCTCACCCTGCTGCCTGCCCTCTTTCATTCAGAACATTTTCACTGTCCCGTCTAGATTTATGGAAGTGCAGCTGAAGTTTCTGTTTATAGAACCACCAATTATTGAAAACAATTGCTTACAGCAGCTGTTTGCCTTCTCCTTGTTCTACCAGGGTGGAGAGACGTTATGTGGAGAAGTACTGGAAGGAGGTGCGGGTTGGAGATTTCATCAAGCTGCGATGCAACGAGATTCTCCCCGCAGATGTTCTGCTACTGAGCTCCAGTGACCCTGACCGCCTCTGCCATATCGAGACCGCCACACTGGATGGAGAGACCAACCTCAAGCAGAGGCAGGTCGTCCGCAGCTTCTTCGACCTGGTGAGATGGGTTCTCTTGCCTTTTTTTTGTCTATGAGTTTATAATTGGTCAATATCGTATGGCTCAATACTTTGCACTTTGAAGGAAGAGTTCACCCAAGAAAAGAAACCCTTCCCAAAGCCAGGTCATTTATCAGATTTTAAGATGCAAATACATTTCTCATGTTGCTTTTTTATTTATGATTTTAAGAGTGATAGATATGACACTTGCAGCATATTGCTCACAAACTTGCAGGCAGCACAAATTTACTTAAGCACTAGATGTTCTGCATAAAACCCAAATACCTTATAGCTGTGTCAGCAGTAATTTATTCAAAGGTGGAGAAAAGTTTTGCAGATGAAGTGGCATAGCCAGTCAGTAATTCAGTTATTCTTTTATAATGTATGCAGCATTATGGGACTAAACACAGTTGTGTTACAGTTTGCAAAAATCAGATGATTTGTTTGGTTTTTACAGTTTTTATTATCTGGATTGCTGTGATCTTCAATTTGTACTACAATTAAATCAGGCATGTCTCTGTAGTGGAGCTCACTGCAAAGCCTCAAATTTATCTTTGAACACAGTTTCTCCAAGCATCCATACAAGCAGTCAAAAACAACCGTTCAAAGAGGAAAACACATCTAAACCTGAATGAGACAAAGTGGAAACTTTCAACTGTGACTTTTCTTCATAAAGACCTTAAAGACCTACTGCTTAACCTGAGCAGTACAGGGGCTCCACAAGGGACAGTGCTGGCGCCATTCCTGTTCACACTGTACACGTCAGACTTCAAATACAGTACTGAGTCCTGCCACATCTCAGAAATACTCAGATGATACTGCTATTGTGGCATGTATGAGAAATGGACAAGAAGCTGAATACAGAGATCTAATAAGAGCCTTCAGTGACTGGAGTCACAAAAACTGCCTCCTCCTCAACACCTCAAAGACAAAGGAGATGGTCATAGACGTCCGTAGATCCAAACCCCCTCTACAGCCAGTAAACACCTGTGGAGTGGACATCGAAGTGGTGACATCGTATAAATACCTAGATGTACATCTGGATAATAGGTGGGACTCTTCTAAGAATATGGACTTCAGAGCCGCCTCTTTTGCCTGAGAAGACTCCGATCAATAGATATCTGTAGTAAGATGCTGCAGATGTTTTATCAGTCTGTGGTGGAAAGTGTTCTACGCTGCAGTCTGCTGGGGAAGAAGCATCAAACACAAAGATGCAAGACGTCTTAACAAACTGGTGAAAAAGGCTGGCTCTGTGGTAGGACTCAAGCTGGACTCAGTGGAGGATATGGTGGAGAGATCTACACTGAGGAAGGTGGAGACTATTCTCAAGAACATGGATCACCCACTTCACAACACCTTGATGGACCAAAGGGCAAATGGTGGTGGACGGTTCCTCTCTCTTCGCTGCAGGACAGAAAGATTTAGAAGAACTTTTGGGATTCATACTCTACACAAGACTGCTTTAAACATTTGGCTTTACTGTCTCCCCCCATCTTTTTGTTCCACTGCAACGTTTGGTCTGTATCTGCAAACTCGTAGTGGACAGGCAGAAATATGGATGAGAGCATATATCTGTGGTCATGTTTAAAAATACCAACAAAAGACAATGTGCTTCATTGAAAAGCAAAGTAAAAAACAATAGTTTGTCACAGCAAAGTCTGAATTTTTGGTTTTAACTTAAGCCCTGTTCTTGTACAATAACCAGTCAGTTTTAGGATTTCGAATTTGGGGTGCAAGAACACAAAGATGCAAGACGTCTTAACAAACTGGTGAAAAAGGCTGGCTCTGTGGTAGGACTCAAGCTGGACTCAGTGGAGGATGTGGTGGAGAGATCTACACTGAGGAAGGTGGAGACTATTCTCAAGAACATGGATCACCCACTTCACAACACCTTGATGGACCAAAGGGCAAATGGTGGTGGACGGTTCCTCTCTCTTCGCTGCAGGACAGAAAGATTTAGAAGATCTTTTGTACCAACAGCCATCAGGCTTTATAACTCTTGTGTAAATAATAGATAACTTTTAGAGACATATTACGAGAGACAACAGACAATTGAATATCCCTTCGGGGATCAATACATTTCTTCTTATTCTTCTTATTCTTATTATTTTGACAGGACAGTGCCAAAATATATTCTGAACACCACAGTTTACAACAGCGTTACTCTGTAGTAGAAGAGTCTGGGTACTCAACTGGCCTGCCTGCAGTCAGAATATAGTTGGGCAGCCTGCCCAGGTATCATCAAACACGACCCCTCATCAAGTTCACTCTGGGTCTCAAAAATGGTGTCAACACCTTAAAACCCTGCAATAGGATTTGTTTATGTAATGTTTACATTGAAAGAAACTGCATCAGATATGAATGACCTTGTTTATCTTATGAGACGTATCAGCAATTAAATGAATTTACTTACACAAAGGTTACAGTGGTTTCCTGTCTTTGTTAAAACTGTGTCAGAAACATCCTGTGCAAGTTCAAAATAACAAGTACATTGTTATTTTGTGATGCTTTATATAGAGGTATTTTTTTAAATAAGCTGATAGTATATTTGATATTACAAAATCCATCAGGAGTACTTGGCTAACTGTGAATGAAGAAAATGTGAGCTGTTTTGATTGAGTTTGTCAGAAAACTTTGGTCTGAATAATCTGTGTCTGTTTCTGTTTGCAGGATTGTGATTTTGACCCTTTAAAGTACTACAGCATTATTGAATGTGAGAAACCAAACAACGACCTGAACAGATTCAGAGGCTACATGTGAGTACTCTTTCTCGTTATGGCCTCCTCTGTGCGGTGTAGGATTAAGGCTTTATATCCGTCAAACACATGCTGCTCCACCTCTAACGTGTTGACTCACATGAGTAGTTTCAGGTTTCATTTTTGTTTCACTGTAGATTAATGAAACTACATTTTAGGTCATGTTGAGCTCCAAAATGGAAATAATGTGAAAGTGTGGTTTGTTATGAAGCCAGGAGTTTCTAACTTATCATTATGACTTAAACAGTTTTTCCAAGTCAGAGTTACGATTTGCTTTCTTGGGATGTGGTTGCAGGGTTTTCCCATTTAAATACGTATGTGTTTTCTCATGGCAGCAGCTGCAGGGTGCAGCCTGATCACTGTAGCTGTAGTTCAGAGAGGTTTGGGATTCATTTGGCAACACAAACAAGCTGCCCTTCACTGTCAGCTGGTTTCCTGTGTTTCACCTTACTTCCGTTTGTCTGTTTGCCGCATGTTAGACGTTAGGGGGTATGTTTTTAAAGAAGCAAAGAAAGGAGAAAAGCTTGACTAAGTTTCAGAAATGACTCATCCTGATGTTATTCTCTGTCCTTGTGTTTTATCCCTAACATTACAGAGACAAAAAAGCACTCTGTGAATCTGTCAAAAAGATTTAAGCTTTGCTGCCTGTCCAAGTCCACATTTGAATCTTAGTTGTAATCTCCATGAGCTGTCAGCCACCAGGAAGCCTCTGCATCCACCCAGAAACAGTTCAGCACATAAACAGAGGTGTGAAACCACAACATGGAACACCTTTTCCTCTCTGTTTCAGATGAAACAGGTGATAAAAGCTGGTAAAGTTACCCTGAAATTCACAGTAAACTTCGAATACATATGCAGGGCCATGTCCAGATGTTTCTGCCAAAGGTGGCCAATATGCTGCACTGACATATTCAGGGGTGGCATTCTTTATGTGCACACATTAATGAGTGTCAGTCATTTACCTGTCCAGTCTTCAGCAATCATGTCTACTTTGACAACTAACATTATAGTTTCACACAAATTTATATTCCATTGTATTTCTTTCTTACCTCAAATGCTCATTTTTGCTCCATTTATAAATGAAAATAGAGCCGTACGTTTGAAATGGTATGATCACTACTGTCCTCAAACTTTAAAGCACCCTTTGGTTGGAAAAAAAACTTAAGTGATACATCTGCTAGATGGTGCTGCTCAGACTCATAAGTTAACCCAACAGAGAGGGAGAGAGAGAGGCTCAATCAATCCATCAATCCGTCTTTATTTGTATAGCGTGAAATCTTGACAAGATCAGACTCTATTTACGAAGACCTAATGTAAAGATGGGATAAGATTAAGACCCATCTTGTAAGATCAGACCCACTTTCATCCCATCTTTTACCACATGAGTGTAGCACTTTGCAGCATTTATCAAGTTACAGAGGAAAGGAAGAACTTTCTTTAACAGGTTGAAACCTCAAGCAGAACCAGACTGATGTTAGATAGTCATCTGCTGAGACTGAGCTGGGTTTAGAGAGGGGAGAGAGGGATGGACAGAGGAGAGACTGATGAACATAGCTGAAGCAGCTGAAATGCAGGCAGGTCCATGGCAGCAAAACATTAGCAGCAGCAATCCAGAGGAACGTACAGCATGATGGAGCTCAGGGACTCCCTGAAAGGATTGTGTATTAGTGACTCTGATGGGAAAAGATGATTCACAGTTTGTGTTACAGACAGAAAAAGGATGAAAAAGGAGAGAAAGGAGCCCAATGTGCCAGAACTCCTGTCCATCTAACCATAGAGCAGCATAAGCTCTAAGATGAGTCAACAGCATATTTCACTAACAAACATTGGAGGTAGTGTTGAAGACGGTGGTCTGTGATACCAATCACAGATATCACAATATATGGATGAGGAATTAGATTTTTCAGAGAATGATTTTGTGATTCATACTCTACACCAGACTGCTTTGAACAATTGGTTTTACTGTCTCCCCCATCTTTTTGTTCCACTGCAACGTTTGGTCTGTATCTGCAAACTCGTAGTGGACAGGCAGAAATATGGATGAGAGCATATATCTGTGGTCATGTTTAAAAATACCAACAAAAGACAATGTGCTTCATTGAAAAGCAAAGTAAAAAACAATAGTTTGTCACAGCAAAGTCTGAATTTTTGGTTTTAATTTAAGCCCCGTTCTTGTACAAAAACCAGTCAGTTTTAGGATTTGGAATTTGGGGTGGCCAAATTTTTAGCATGTTTACTGTGTTTTCATCTAATCCTCAGCAAGAAGTAAATGTAGGATTATTAATAGATTAGATTAGATAAGATACAATTTAAATCTATTTTTATTTTTTCATGCCCACAGCTGCAAAAATGAAGATGTTTCTATTGCATTCAGACTTTTTGTCAAGTGCATTCATATCAATCTCTTCTGTTGAAATGTGAAAGAAAAAAGGCTTATAATTGGAGAGGCCATAGAAATGAATCCTGTTTATTTCAGAAAAGATTTTTGATGCATACATTTTAGGTTGAAGTTGTTCCAGGGGAATCTGTAATGATGAATTTATAATACCTAAATCTTACTGCAATGCTTACATCTGCCATTTTCTTTTGCTCTGACATTTTAATATAACTGTCTTTGGCCTGCTTGGTTTTTAAACCCTTGTGTGCCTGTGGATAATGTATCTTTGGTTTTGAAAGGCACTGGATTTAGTTATTCTTCTAACTACTCGTTTTTGCCATAGACTGTTGTGGATTTCTTAGACCTTGACTTTGCTGGGTGTTTCCTCCCAGTCTTTCCACTTCGTTCCCTCACTGAGACGTGTTGGACGAGTCTGTGTGATGAAACATGTCCAGAGAAAGGCCTCTCAGTGACTAGTGCTCACAGGATTATGACATTTATTCTTTGCACAGTAGGAGAGCAGATGCTGCAGGTATTCAGTTGCCAGGTTACAGAGGAGCCCAGTGGCTGAGTGGATGACAGGGAGGATAGTTGTCTCAGCAGTGTTTTATTACATTACGGCCAACGGCACTGAGTCTAATCTCTCCACCTCTCTGTCAGAGAAAGCACACTGCGTCTTAGAGTGTTATCAATTTCATGAACAGAATGAGCTAGGATCCAGGACGAGTTGTGTGTGTGAACTATGTCCGCTCACAGCTCAGGGACGATGTTATTAATCTATAATGGTGACGTGTTGGTGGACCTTCTGTCAGGGGCCAAAGGATGAACAGTCATGTTGGTAAACATGCTGACAGCGATGTGACTTTGATAACACTCTGCTTCTAGCCGAAGGTTGTGGGCTGATTAAAAATCCTGTGAGGACTTTTTAGTTGGTTTCAGTACAGATATCTCTTAGTTAGGGCTGCATATCATGACTGAATTATTATTTAAATAATAGGTTCACTAATTGGGTGATGAATGGCACCTCACTCTATTTGGTTTTAAATAAAATAATAATAATAAAATCTTTCTTGAAGTCATATCCCTGTCTTGGCTTTTGGCATTACAAGTGTCACTGTAAGATTGGTGATTTTGTTACAGTATGTATTGTGGTTACTTTGGTAACGTGGCAAGTGTTTGCTCTAATGGCTTGGATAGGAGAGGAAACGGGAAAAATAAGCTGGAGAGACAGACAGATGAAGTGTGGTAGGGAAAAAGTTTGAAGATAAGAGACTGAAAATGGCTCCAACTCTGGACTGTAAAGTTCCTCTCACATTAGCAGCGTGGACTGCGCAGGGCCCACTTTGAAAATGTTGCAACAGTTGTCAATATTTTTCAACCCGATGCTCCATGTAGAGCTTTCATGGTGTCAGATTTTTAAAAGCATTCAAAAAGACATTTGAAACGCTATCTTGCTGACCTGACACTTTGAAATACTTCCTTTAAGCAGATGTGTTGAAGCTCTTGTGTTAGTGTATGTGGGCTCTCATCATGTGCAGATAATTTCTCACCATTTTTGCAGTGAATAACAGCAAAAAATTTTATTTTTTTTTTCTAACTTTTTGTTTTGGAAATTTTTGTCTTTATTATATTAGACAGCTGAAGACAATGTGGGGAGTAGAGAGTGAGAGAAGACAGTAGGGGTGGGAATCACCAGTGGCCCCACGATAAGATATTATCACAATACTTGAGCCACGATACGATATTATCATTATACTTGGGCCATAATACAATATTATTGCGATTTTTAACATTTTGAGATACAGTGAGTATTGCAGTGCATTATATTGCGATCTATAATTTTTTTCAACTGTTCAGCTAATTTAGCATTTGTCTTTCTTTTGTGTTTGTATTATTCACAATGTATTTTATTTTCATGTAGCACATCTTGCAAACCTTATATATATATTTGTTGTACTAACTTTCTCCTGCTCTATTATGTCACCTCTGCCAACCTCACTAGACAGTTGATTTTTCCATTATCATAGATTTGACTTCATAATAACAATTAATTTGAAAAAAAAAAATAGATACTTGGTAAATGAGAGAATAAGATATATCACCAGACAAAATATTGAGATACTGTGCTGTATCAATTTCTTTCTCCCGCCCCTAGAAGACATGCAGCACAGAGTCATGGCTGTGAACAAACCAGCCACTGCTGCAACAAGAACTAGAACCTCTGTACGTGGGGCTCTTCGACCACTAGGCCATCGATGCCCCTGCAGAAGTCCTTATATCGGCTAATACCAATAACACTGATTAACTTTTTAGTATTTATCGGCAGATACTGCTGTCATGCTGATATCCTAGATCCCTGAATACCACTGTATTACAACATCCCTATTCCCGGTCAGTGTTTTGCATGTGCACTTCTTAGCAGAGGTAGTAGGGATGCCAAACAGCTCAATCCCCAGCAGCTCAGTGCCAGAAAATGATTTTATGCTCGCTGACACTTCATGAAAAACACGTGCAATGATGTAACCCACCAATTATCTACAATTAAGTTCATCTGCAGCTGATTATGTCTTAACCTTAGTCCACAATGTTGACTCACTGTTGCACCACTTCTCTGCTAGAGCTACAGAAGCAAACAAGATGGATTATTTCTACATCCCTGCTTTAATGCCTGTAACCTCTAGGATGGGGTAGGAGTCAGGCGAGGCAATTTACAACATCTCACCGAAACAGCTTTTTTATGTGTAATCAACTGCAAATATCCACAATGAAGGACCGCCTAAAGAAAGAAGGATAAGACTTAACATCTTAAATTACTATTCATGTTTGCATAAGCCAAAACCAGCAAAGAGATGAGATGGGGGTGCCACAATAAACACAAACTGAAACTACCTCACAGGAGCTATAACAAACACACTTGGAATCCTTTGTTCACCAACAGGATCATTGAAATCCTAGCTGTCATACATCAGTGACTTATTTCCCCCAGTTAAAGCTGCTAAACATAAACACCTCACTTTAGGTCAAAAGGCGTCTTGTACGAGTGTTTAAACTTCCTTGGTGGGCTGGCTGAGAAATGAATTTAGCCTTTCATTGAAGCCTCAGATGAGCCTCTAAACGCAGGAGTCTGAAGTGAGATCTGAGGGTCAGGGACGGAGCAGTGAATCGCCTGATTGACTGTAAGCCCGGGGGGGTTCTGTGGAGCAACACTGCAGCCAGGGTTTCTATTTCAGAGCGAATTTGTGCTGAGATAAGGGCGGCTGCTGGGGAAAGACCATGATGCTTTGGAGCGTGATTGATTGAGGCGCTCAGCAGAAATAACTGATGTTGTCTCTGGTGCTTTGGTGTAGACAGATGCTATTTCTTCCAGAGCGTCAGTATTTTAGAAGAATAACCCACATACTTACACACCTGAGTGCGGCTTTTTTCCTGATCATTTGTCTAAATGCCTTAAAGGTTCACAACAAACTATTTCTAAATTTTTGCTATATCTTCTTTGGGTAAATAGAAATAAAATCACTCTCACTCTCTACTCCCTAAATAAACACCAGTTTGTGTCACAGAATATATAAGTTTCTGGTCACTGTCCTGGCAGTTTTGTTTAGTTCACTGAAAATAAAGAAAATTGTCTTGGACCTAAAATCTAATAGGAGTTATGCAAGTTAATAATTTTGAGCCAAAACAGAAAATCAAATAGTGAAAAAGTTAAATACAGAGTTAAAATGAATCCCAAACCATTCATAATGTGTTTTTATCTACATCGCATGAAGCCTCACCTTTTTCAGAATGAAGGTCCTACCCAAAATTAGGTTTCAGGTTTATGTGGATATTATAATATAAAATTAAAATGTTACAGTGATCTAATGTAGGGCCATGCTTCAAGTATTGATACAGTCAGTAGTTTTTGAAAAAGAAGGGGAAATGTTAAAGCAACTCATTTGTCAGACATCTATTTTCCACTACTGGGGCTGGTGGTAATTCAGCACCACTGCCAGATGATGAATTTAGGTGACAGTAAAACTGAGAAAACTGCAGAGACTCCTGCAGCTGAAGAGCACTGTTTTGGATCCCCAAAGTTAAAGTACAGATCAAACTTTCTTAAGTGAAGGGTTGCGTATTATGAGTCTATCAATCCCTCATACATAGAGACAGGTACCCAACAGAAAGGAGGCGACCATTCGAATAATCATTTAGTAATTCCTCAGGACTATCAAATTTTACTTAAGTGTCCCATTCTGACTGTGATCAACAAGTTTAAATGTAGGTTTGAATTCTGTCTTGTTTTTCAACCCCACAGAATCCATCGAAGTGGCAGAAGAGATGCACTTTACAAAGAAAACCTGCTGCTGAGAGGCTGCACCATCCGCAACACAGAGGAGGCTGTGGGAATAGTCATATACGCAGGTTAGCCCCCAGAAGAATCATCAGTATAAAACACAACTGACCTCAGGTCAGCTGCTTCTAACATGCTGTTGGTTTGTTGGTTTGTTTGTTTTTTTTTTTCAGGTCATGAGACCAAAGCCATGCTGAACAACAACGGCCCGCGCTACAAGCGCAGTAAACTGGAGAGACAGATGAATGTAGATGTGTTCTGGTGTGTCATCATCCTGCTGGTCATGTGCCTGTTTACTGCTGTTGGTGAGTATTAGTGTAATCTTGAAGAGTTTCAATTATAAATCTTAGTTTTCTTTAGAGTAGATGTTATAAAACAGAAAATCCCTCCTTTTCCTGTGTTTACTGAGCTCTTTATTTATACCTCCTCCTCTCAGTGTTTATATGAGTTGACCTTGTCCTGTTGCTGTTCCAGGTCATGGGCTGTGGATGTTTCAGTACGGAGATAAGAGGCCAGTGTTTGACGTCCTCAGTCCAGAGGGGACAGACTTATCACCCATCATGTCCGCTATTTATCTCTTCCTCACCATGATCATCGTCTTTCAGGTACAAAACAGACACAAGGAGCTGAGAGATGCAGAGGCACAGAAACAGATATACACATGACACTCAGTATCATTAAGTTTGAAATGTTTTATCCCGCTTAACGTAAGCACCGCCGTAAATCAAACACTGGCAGTTGCTATTGCAGCCCCCCAGGCTGGGTGACCTCTAGATTTTTATCCCAACATTGAATGTGAGAAAGCAGTGAGGCAGAGCTGCAAACTAATCTCTATAATACAGGATCAAAATAAGGAAAAGTGCCACCTGACAGCTATTGATTAGTTTGAGTTTTTTCTGCTGCCATGCCAGAACCGTCAGTGAAAATGTCACTCTGTCCTGTGTCAAATGGTGCAGCCAGTCCCTGTGGGCTTTTGAAATAAATGAGGAGTCAAAAGGGATAGCTGACAGTTTGGAAACACTGTGCAAACAGTATATGTTTGAGGTAGGAGACCCTGCAGTATTGCCAGACATTGCTGATACACTTTCAAATAAACAGACACCTCACCCGGGCACAGAGACTGTGCAGGCCGAGCTGCCCTCCTCAAAGCTGTGACTCATTTCTGCAGAACTACTTTCTATAACTGCTTCCAGGAAATGTCTCACCCTGGATTACAGCTTTTTTTTAGACAAGCAAGTATAAACCCTAGACACTTGCTTATAATTTCCTGAATAATTTAAACTTGGCCTATAGAAATATAACAGATAAGCTGCAGGTCTGCACAACAGTACCACTTTTTATACAGATGAATGCAGGATGACACGGTGAAGAAGATCCGCAGATGTCCAAGCTTTGCTGTTTTAGTCTCCACCGAACAACATCAGAACAAGGCTGTAAAACATCTCAGATTAACCCTGTGTGCCTGGGCTGAGATGCAGTTGCATGAGTTTATTTAAGGGTTAATGTATAAGATGAAGTCATTTATGTGAATAAAACCCCTGGAAAAGGGAGCAAAACATTGGGATCATTTCTTGTTAACCTGCTACAAACTTAAGACATAAACAAGCTGACACAGCGCCTAGATTAGACATACAGGAAATGTCAAGAAAAGAGGTCAGTGGGGGTAGGGAAGGGGATCACGAATTTTCATTGATACTGATACTATCAAGAATCCTGAATTATCCTCATTGATACTGCTTGGAAGTCTGTTTTATTGTTTATTGTTTTCTAATTGTCCTTTTCATACAGATCATTCCCCAGAAAACAGTTTTTCTTTTTTGTGGAAATGACATTTTAACACTTAATGACAATGTCATACTCTTACTTAATTCTCTTTCACTGACTCAATCTTAAACGCCTCACAGTGTAATTATATGTTAACTTGTTAGTTTTATAGTATATATTAGGGCTGGGCAATATGGCCTCAAATCAGTATCACGATATATTAAGCAGTTCAACTCAATAACGATAAATGGAGGATAATTACTCCACAAGCTGCCCACCCCCTCCCACATTAACTTTGTCTACTCCAGCCGCTACAACTTTTGGACCGTCCTCCATCTCCTCACCTGTCTTTCCCGCTTTCTAACTGACTGGATGGGGTGGAGTCACATCTCTGACGTAGGACAGCGTCTTAAAGAGACATGAGACCATAGCCTGCCTACACACATTCAAAACCAACTTTTATTTATTTATTTATTATTTTGACACCGAATATACCGATGTTGGTTAGGGTTAGGGTTATTATTTGGAATCTGTAAATTTTTGGTTTATCGCCCAGCCCTAGTATATAGTTAGATGAATCTACAGTTTTTCTGAAACGCTTCATGCAGCTGCAGTTGTAGAATCCTTGGTTGGCCGTAGTGGGTAATGATCACTGTAAAATAAGAGCTCTGCTGCTGTTCTGACTCAATCTCTGTCCTTCCCCAGGTGCTGATCCCCATCTCCCTCTTTGTGTCGATTGAGATTGTGAAGATCTGCCAGGTGTACTTCATCCATCAGGACATGGAGCTGTATGACGAGGAGACCGACTCTCAGCTGCAGTGTAGAGCTCTTAACATCACTGAGGATCTTGGTCAGATGCAGTACATCTTCTCTGACAAGACTGGCACACTGACAGAGAACAAGATGGTGTTCCGCCGCTGCACTGTGGCAGGGGTGGAGTACTCCCATGATGCAAACGGTGACACAAGCCAGCGCACTCACTTACACACCCTTGCAATAACATTAAGCAATTGTTTCCTTATTAAGTAACTCTTAATGACGTGTCTGTGTCATCCAGCTAGGAGACTTGCCATGTACCAGGAGATGGATTCAGAGGAGGAGGAGTGTACGTCTCACGGTGGCACCCTGCCCAGGCGGGACAGCGTGGCGAGTCATCAGAGCGCCCGTGTGGTGCTGCGCTCCCAAAGCACCAAGTCTCATCGCAGGACGGGCAGCAGGGCGGAGGCCAAGCGAGCCAGCATCCTGTCCAAGCACACGGCCTTTAGCAGCCCCATGGTAAGTGTCTCTCACTACCACAGCGTTCTCCTCCTCGTTCTCTGTGCTGTGTGATTCCTCGCTAACAAACCGTCCTGTGTCCTGTAGGAGAAAGACATCACCCCCGACCCTCAGCTCCTGGACAAAGTCAATGAATGCAGCAGTCAGATGGAATTCATGCGCTTCCACAGCCAGCCCACGTCCCAGCTGCCCTCCGACCTGGCCGACATCATTGATTTCTTCATCGCTCTCACCGTCTGCAACACGGTGGTGGTGTCCTCTCCCAACCAGCCCAGACAGAAGGTAAAACCCACCTCACATGAATCAGACTTTTTCAGGGTACCATAAAAGCTTGTTATTTTCTGTTATTTCTTAGGAATCAGTGGATTTGTTGAGTGAGTCAGTTTGGCTGCGTGACAGTGTTTTTGTCAGGTATTTTTTTAGTGAAGCTGTTTGTCAACAGCCTTTAGATCTCGTCTGATTCTCTTGTTTTGAGGCCTTAATTCTACCTAGAATTTTCTGAGTCAGAGCTCAACAGGAGAGACTCTCATTTTTAACAGAAAAATAAAAAAATCTCATAAACTGAGATTTTCTGAAAATCTATCGAGTGTATTCTGTATAAGGAACCTTGACAGCTATTGGAAAGGACACACTAAAAACCTTGTCTATAAAATAACTTTAAAAACCTCTTACCTATAAAAAGACCAGGAACAAATCTAAGATGAGAGAAGCTCAGTATGCAGCCCTTCTGGATGAAAACAGAAAACAGACTTTGAACTTTTGTTTCAGCACTTTCACTGTTTTCAGTCAAGGATTCTGCTTGTTTTGTAGAGCATAGAAGGAGACTCCTGTTGCCTCGCAGAGGTTTTGATGTACACAGGTTACATCAAAACTTTAAAATACTGCATACACAAAGACAACATCAAAAAAGTCCCAAGCAGCCTGTTGCATCAAAGCTCAGCTGATTTATTTAGTATTTGGAGGCGGACACTTGAATGTCTGGTGGGGCCCGGGTCCCTCCGTCCACCCACTGAATCTGTCCTGTTTCACAGTGTAAACTACCTGAGCCCATCCAGCTCATTGTACACACCATTAGACTGAAGGAGACGCCTGTTATGCAACATTCTGGATGCAAACACAGGGCTCAGCTCAGACAGCTACGTTTGCACTTTTACACAAGTTCAGCCAGATGTTGCCACATGCCCTATCTGGAGCTCATGCATGTGTTTTAAGCTTTACTGTACTGCCGTTGAAATAAAGATAATGGATCACATACATGGTGCAATAGAAGGGTTTTTTTTTTTGTTGTTGTTTTTTGTGCTGCTGACACAGACGCTCTCTGTCTGGATTTGAAGTTCTGATGCATGCTGTAAATGATAATATAATGATAAAGTTTATTTATAAAGCACTTGTTAAAACAGATGTTATACATGTGAAAGCCAGAGATGAAGTTATAAAATCAGGAGACATAATAGAAAGGCATGATAAACCAAAGATGACCCAGCTCACAACAATGGGCAGAAAAACATGATTAACTAATAGAGGTGGATGTACAAAGATCATTAAAACAGTGGAAAAATATAAGAAACAATAAACACTCTAAATAAATGAAGCACCATGAATAAAAAGTAGAAATAAATAGAAGGCCTTCCTGTAAAACATTTTTTCAGACATAATTTAAAAGAAGAATCTGATGTGGCTAAATGACTCAGCTCTGCAGTTTTTTTGATTATACGGTCTCCTCACCTGCTTTATTTAGGCAGCTGAGGAGAGCATGAGTTCATAATGTGTAAATTCTCTAGGTTTATTCATGCTAAAGAGAGACTGCAGTCTGTAGTTCTGATTTTGGCTGATAATCCACAGAGCTGAAGAGAAGGATCAAGCTTCATAATGAAAGCTTTGTCCCATTTCATCACTTTGGTCCACTGTGACTGATTCACTCTGTCGATGTCCACTGCTTGTGACATGAGTTTGGACTTTTGTCACTGTGAGTCTGCGTTACGGTTCTGATTGCATTTTGATGTCTATGTTAGAGCTAAATAAGACAAATGAGGCTTTATGGAGGTTTGCAGTCGAAGCTGGAAAATAATACATGATTAATTTACATTAGAAATGTATTCAAGCGTAAAGGGCTCGAGAGTAATCACATGCAATAATGTTGACCGTCCTACCACAAATCAAAAGTTACTTTCAGACAGGGATGAAAGTCTGCATGTTTGTACTTCATGGAGTGACTGAGAGCTCATTTATACTATTGTCCCTTTAGGAAAAGCTGAAGTTAGACTCAGCGGCAGGATTGTCTTCAGTTTAATACAACTGTAATGTACAGTATAAATGTACCTGCCAAATCAATAGCAGCCTCCACATCCTCTGCTTTTCTTTGTGTGCACTAATGTCACTTAAAAGTGTGTATGTGTAAGTACAGCTTTAATCTTGATTTGGAGTAAGTTGTTGAATTATTAGTTTTTTCCAGTCAGTTTGAGAATATCAAGAATAAACAACCACTGACAAGAGGTCACAAGTTTTTACCACCTCCTCGGGTATCTTATTGAGTAAGGTTTCATAACAAGTGTGGAGAAGGGTTTATTTTAAATGAGATCCCACATTGCTGTTTTTTTAACCATGACTGAAGAAGCTCCAGATTTACTGCATGTAACAGTCAAAAAAACTCTCTCTTTGCATGTCTCTTTCAATCATTTGCTGCCCATGTCTTTGAAGATTTCGGTGCAGTCGCTGTTGTGTATCCGTGTTTTGTTGTGTTTTAGTGGGAGTCCGGGTGTGGTCGTCCTGTTCAGAGGTGATATCCTCTGTGTGTTCACCAGCTCGCTCTGCTGCCAGTCAGACAGAGCCAGCCTCACTCTGAGACACATTAGTCATGCTCTCTGTGTTTCTGTTAGGAGGTTTTCTGATCAGATGAACAGAAATAAAATCTGCTCTGAGCTTGTTCTTTATTTTCTCTCTTTATTGCCTCTTGCTTCGAGTCCTTTGTGCCACTGTAATTGTTCCTATTTTATTATGAAGCCCTCGTGGCTAACTCTCCACCTGTTTAATGATTTATATGTGAGAACTTTAGTGAGTCACTCTCTCTGCTATTGTGCTGCACCATCTCAGGAAAAAGGATTGGCTCGAGGAGAACAGCCAGGAGGTGCATTTTCATCAGTGCTGAAATACTATAGGGACAGATTTTTCAATGGCATTTACAGGCTGAAATACACAAAAACACTGATACAGAGTGTAGAGATAAAAGTTCATTGGTTTCCAATGTGATGTTAATGATTGATAATTAATAATTGTGGTAATTTCCATGATCATGGACCTTATTGATCTGCTGAGTGATGTTGCTGTGTAATGAGAGCTGAATTTTAGATTAAAATAATTGACCAGCACTAGGCCTGTCGCGATAATCAATAAATCGCCTTATCGCTCGATAAATAAAAACGAGGTCGGTCATTTTGCCAGCCTCGATAATTTACGTGCGTTTGTTTTCCTCCTCTCTCGCTACCAAACACGCTGGATGAGAGAAGAGGTCTCACTCTGCGCATTTTTCTCGGCACCTGGGGGCGTTGGCTCTATAGCGGAATGAACGGAGTTAGTGAACCCTCCTGTCAGTCATTCAGTGTCTTTGTTACGAGGGGGCGCGCGCACAGGTACACGTAGGCGCGCACAGGCACACAGACACAGAGTTTTGGATACAGTGCTGCAAGTGAGCGTCGTGAGTGAAAAGCAAGCAAACAGAATGAACACGACAGCTTCGGTGTCTAAACCGAACGCAAGAGCCCAAGTGTGGGAATATTTCGGCTTTAAACCAGTTTTGTTTTTGTCAACCACAAAACTCCACGTGTGCGCGCGCGCGTGTGTGTCTGTGTGTTGGAGGAGCACAGCAGGATGATTAGAGCTGTCAGAGCGGACTGAAGCTGCTCCTATATGTTTAGCGTTTAACTGACTGAGTTTTGCAACTCTGTTCGTCATTTTCGTCTCGTCCCATCAACGTAAACGCACTTTCGTCTCGTCACGTTTTAGTCATCTCCGACTTATTTTTAGCTCGTCAACGTTACGTCTTCGTCGTAGGTGAAATTAAAGTTTATCACTTTTGACACGGTGTACTCGCATTATTATGCCATTTCATATTATTATCTATAATTTAAAAAACGGTGTCAATAATATCGTTTATCGGCAATAATTTGTAGCACAATTATCGTCCAGCAAAATTTGTTATCGTGACAGGCCTAACCAGCACCAACATTATGTATGGTCAATCATTTTATATCAAACCGCTCAGTCCTGGGCAAACCTTGATTCAGTCAATCCTGTTTACTGTACAGGATCCTTTTCAGAGGAAGTATAAACAGCTGCTGCACAGTGTTTATAAAAAAAACAATAAGAGACATAAAACCAATGCTTTGAAACACAAAAGTCAAAGCCTGGATCACATTGAAAGACTTTTTATATCCTTAAGCAATTTAGAAAATGTGAGGGACTCCACATATGACAACAAACAAAGCCAGATCTAACAGTGTTGTTCTTATGACCTGTGGAGAGCAACATGATCAGCAGCACACACTAATGACTCCTATTCACCACAAACCCCAGTCCACACTCTGTCAAAGCTCCTCTGAGGAGTTATTGATGTTTAAGAAACAGACCAAAATTCAAACTGATGCCATGATACACAGAAGCAAACAAGACCATCAGCAGCATGATTGATGTATTGATGTATGATTTAAATATTGTTATTTGTTTTTCCTGAAATGGATGAGGGGGTGGGTGTCAGCAGAGCAGCTGAAAAAACAGCCTAATTTTTTATAATTTCCATACTCTAAATAATACATTTGATTGTCAAAGCTCTGCAGTATGAGATCCTCTGTAATGAGACACTACTTGAGTATGTAAAGGTAAAAGTAGACAAGACTTCTTTGTCCACAGGAGTCTCCACAAAATAAACACAAACTGAATGTTCTCCTAGGAGCTTTAACTAGAGATCCACCTGAACCTGTTGTGGACGAACATGGCAGCAGAGTAACAAACATGGGAGATGATCGGATGGTATACAATCCTAATGTTGCTCAGCTACCTGGTACATCATTGTTGTCAAATTTCTCTTCAGCTCCTCTTCTTTTCAGTTTGATTGAGGTCTGTTTCATGGGACAAATACATCAGCTCAAGTTGTTTTCACAAACCTAAATGATGGTTCTCTGTTTCTGAGGACCAGCTAACCTCATGCTTTCTCTGTTTCCTCCTTCGATTCATTTGTTGTGCTTTCTTTTTTCAGCCAAATTGGTTTCTGATTGGCTATTATTTTGTTCCACCTGACAATCAATTGTGTACATGCTCTGTTGTCCATAGGGTTCCCCCCTCACAACAGGATCAATAAAATCACTCTTACCACAGCTCAGCAAAAATCTAGCAAGATAATCTTAGACCTGTATGATCAGATGTTTTGGCCTTTGCTGCAGAGACACATAATGTTAATGTCTGTAGATAACAGCTGAGAAAAGCACTGAGGAATTCTATCACAGGAGAAGGTTTGCCTTCTTTATAACAGAGAAAAAAAAGATGTACATATATTGGTATCAATATCTGTATCAGCCATAAATAATAGGTTTAAAAATACTGGCACACTGGATATCAGCAAAAATCCAATAACATGCATCCTAATTTGGCTGATTAATGTCAGAGGAGAGGAAAATCAGCCTGATATTTTTGCAGTGTGTGTCCCAGCCTAAGAGCAAACTGGGCAACAGTAACCAGTTCTGACCATTTTACCACAAGCAGCGACACAGCAAAGCAACTCAACTTCATTTAGAAATTGCACCTTGGATCAGCAGAAAAAAAATCACCTGCTCTACAGTTTTGACAAATAAATGATTGAACCTTACAGATCAAATCATTCCTCTACTGGGCTGTGAATGCGTTCATTCTGCAGTCAACAAAGGCATTAATATGGTCTCTGAACTGCAATTCTTTGGCTTTTGGTGCCTGCCCCAAGTGGACACTCCAGGAGCTGCAGTCTTTTGCAGTTCAGGCTTTATTATCCAACACTAAATACCGCTGAGCATTCTTCAAAAGTTCCCATAGAAATCAGCTCACGCAGGCAGCTCCAGATCTCACCCTGGAACTGTCCTGAAAGTGTTTCCAGGCAGCAGAGTGAGGAAACTAGACAAAGGTGGTCATCCGGTACAGACAGTAAATCATGTCATTTGAGCAAAAAGAGTCATTTGCAGTTTTGAGTTTGATAGACCCATAAAGGTGAGATAAAAGTAGAGCAAACGAGGAATTTGCGTCAAAGATTTGTAGGTGATGAAGCCTGCACAAGGCCAACGAGGAGATTAAAAAACTTTCTCTCCATGTTGATGTTTTAAGGGTCCAGATTGTTCTTTGTACTTTCCACAGTAATGTCTGCAGCCCTGTGCTGAGGAGAGGAACGGTTTTTGTTGAAGTCATTAAATCTTTGGTGACAAAATATTGAAGAAAAATTTAATTTTGTGTCTGTATCATCACTCCTTTCTACCGTCTTCCATTTTACCACAACAGGATTGAAGCCAAAAAAGACATCTGCTGTCAGTGATAGAGTTTTTCATAAAATGTACAATCTCTAGAAGAATCTGCAGTCGTCTGATTACCATTTAGCCTCAAGGGGCTGCAGACAATATTTCCGAGCTTGTGGTGTAGCCGGTGGAAGTCCAGATAACCAATAACAGATATCCAAGCCAAGACTTTTGTTCCTTCAGGTCTCTGTTTACAATGTGACTCTGAGCTGGGACACGTGAATGGAGCAGGAGTCAAGGAAGGACAACAGCTCTAAGATTTTGTCATGCAGCATCCTGGTTTTAGGAATTAATAGAAAGCTGAATTTCATCCGGTGAGTGTTGGTCAAGTTTTGCCTGCTCATACAAACACAGCTGGTACCTGATTGGTGCACAGTAGTCTTGGTTCCGACAGGGATCAGATTTTGCAGCCATGAGCAGATGATGATAGATTTATCTGAAAAATATGTGAAACAAGTGTTGTATCTGGACAGTGGACACTGTAAAATTTGAATTTAGAAAAAAAATGGATGGTTTGAAAATCATTTATATTCTGTAATTGAAAATGGTGCAAAAACCACAGAAATGTCTGCCTTCTTATAAAGATGTCCACAACATGTTTTAAAATAGTTTGGGCAGGATCATGTTTACCATGTGATGGAGCCCCTCTTCTTTTAACAACACTCTGAAAATGTTTGGGAACTAAGCAGACGGATAGTGAAATGTTATACGACACCAGATGTTTTCAAGGAGGGCAGTTTGGGACTGCAGACAAACCAGTACAGCTCTTGGACTCTTCTACCACAGAGCCATGCTGCTGAAATACAGAATAGGGTTGGTATTATCTTGCTGAAATATGCAGATCTTCTCTGTCATAAGTATTGTCTGGATGGCAGCATATGTTGCTCCTAAACTGTTTGTATTGTTCGGCTTTAATGAAGCTTTTCCAGATTTGTAAACCACCCAGGCCATGGACATACATGCATCCCCGTACAGTCAGAGGTGCTGGCTTTTAAACTGTGCTCTAATGACAAGCCCTCACCTCCATAGAGCAGAGGATGGTGTGTCCATGATTTCCAAAAAGGATGTCAAATTTCAGTCCGTCAAACTACAGAAAAGTTTTCCACCTTACCCCGGAGTGTGGGCCCAGAGGAATCACCTGTTTTATCTTATTTATTTTTTTTATCTGAAGATGCAGGGACAAACAAATAGTTTGTGTCTGTGCAGTAATTTCCATTGCTGACTGAGTCATGTTCAGTTTTTTAATACAGAACCACCTGAGGGAACAATAAAATGTTCTTGTTTCATCTTTTGTATTTTGTTTTTGCTCCATTCCGATTCACACATTACACCCTGTTCTTATCATCATTTTTCACAGCAGTTCTTTGGTTTTACAAATAAAGAAATAAAGAAAAAAAATCTGCATGCTTGCAGTGTGACCTGGTCCTAAAGTTTGATATTGTTTCACAGCTGAACCCAATAACAGAGGTGCACTCCCTCTCTTCCTGTTCAGACCTGAGGAACATACAGTATACTAGGAATTACTCCTGGAAGTATGTCCTCTCCTTTTTCTCAGAAAGTGGATCCATTGGTAAAATAAAAGTGGCCCAAAAAATGTTTTAAAACAAAATTAAGTAGATCTAAACATGTAGATCATGCAGGCAGTCCACTGAGCAATTTAACAAGGAATTCGCATTCAGAATTTGTTTTCCATTTGGAATTTTTAGGCTGCACTTTGGATGGTCAACTTAGTTAAAATATCTCTTACATCTTTACAGAGAAGCTGTCTAGATATGTGGGTTTGAATTTTAGTTCGTCTTCTCTGGAGAGACACAGAAAAGGACACAACAATATTTTTCCTTGGACTGGTAAATGGACTATAGTTGTGAAATATTTTTTACAACCACTTAAAGCACTTTTACACTACGTGTCACCTTCACCCATCCACCCGTTCACCCATTCACATTTACATTTATACACTAATGGCAGAGGGTGCAATGCTAAGTGCCCATCAGTGCTGAGTACTTCCACGCATACACATTTACACATCTTTGTCTATGCCACAGGGAGTCATTTTGGGTCCAGTGTCTTGCCCAAGGACACTCAAACATGTAGAATTTAACAAAAGACTTGTCCATTCAGCCACAATCTTTATCATGTTAATCTTCAGTATAATCCTTCCCCCAAAGTGTTCAACGATACAAGCTTATACCTGCATGTCAGATTTCTTATTGTGTTTTTAGACTATTTCATATGACCATCATATCTTTTCTTTATGATGGGCATTTTTTTTAACTCACTTTTTCTGTCTTTTAGGTTCGGATGAGGTTTGAGTTGAAGTCCCCCGTCAAGACGATTGAGGACTTCATCAAACGCTTCACCCCCAGCCGACTGACCTCCGGCTCCAACAGCAGCAGCTCCTCCAGTCTCATCACCAGCCGCTCCTCCAACAAAGGCTGCTCAAGCATGCTGTCCTCCCCGTCTGCAGAGAGCACGCTAACCAAACTGGATGAGGAGAAGCATCATGGCAGCCTGGAGCACGCCTTCAGCCCCGTCCCGCCCTGCTATGACGGGAAGGCCTGGAACATAGAGGAAGGAGAGCTGCGATATGAGGCCGAGTCCCCTGATGAGGCAGCTCTGGTCTACGCCGCCAGGGCCTACAAGTGCTCCCTTGTTGGACGCCTCCCTGACCAGGTGACCGTGGAGCTGCCTCACCTGGGGAAGCTGAGCTTTGAGCTGCTGCACACACTGGGCTTCGACTCCACCAGGAAACGCATGTCTGTGGTGGTTCGACACCCCCTGACGGATCAGATCACTGTGTACACCAAAGGAGCTGACTCGGTCATCATGGACCTCATCAAACCCCCTGACACAGGTAAGAAACACGAAACATCAACATCGTCGTTCCCATTTAGAGCAGAACAAAACAGCTATCACAATATGCGTTTGTCAAAAAATGTTGTTTGGTCACTATTTTGATCTGAAAACATTTTTATACTGTAGAAATAAATCAAACATGCTGTCAAACTGCAGAAGTAGAAACACGGATCTTGAAGACAAAAGATTTAGAGCTCCCTCTGGTGGTCAGGTGTGGTAAACGTTGGTGGCTCACCCAAACCAGTAAGGGTTATCTCCAGTCTTCACACCTACTTACTTCCAGTATAACAGTGTCCAAAAAGTTCATACTCTTTTACATTTAAACTCTGAAAGATAACACAGCAGGGTGGCAACATTTAAATCGGCTGAGCTTATTTCTTCAAGGCGTTAAAAGAGGATTTCTCCTGTCAACAATGGAAAATGTACTTAATAATTGGCCATAGTTGAGGTGAGTAGGGGTGGGATAAAAAAAAAATCGATACAGGATAGTATCACGATAGTTTGTCTGCTGATATATCGTATTGTCACCAAGTATCTACTTACCAAGTATCGATTTTTTGTAAGTAATTGCTAATATGAACTCAAGTCTATAATAATGGAAAAATTAAACCAACTGTTTGTACATGAAGTTTGCAGAACTGACATTATAGAGCAGGAAAAAGTTAGTACATTAAATATAGCGGCACCTACATTAGGAATGCAAGCAGGGCACAAATAAGATTCACATGACATGAGGTTTTCAAAATGTGCTACATGAAAATAAAATACTGTGTAAGTAAGACAAACATAAGGAAAAGACAAATGCAACATCAGCTAAGCAGTTAAAAAAATTACAAATCACAATAAATGGTATCACAATACTCCATTTATCTCTAAATGTTTTAAATTGCAATATTATCAAATTGTGGCCCAAGTATCATGATAATATCGTATCATGGGACTACTAGTGATTCCCACCTCTTGAGATGAGTTGTGACTAAATGAATGGTTAAACTGCTTGATACTATGACTGGTCATTCAGAAGCAGATGTCAACAGGCTCATGTTTTGTTACTAACTGTATCGGAGCAGTGTGGAGTCCCACTTGAACTAAAATATCTTCTCTTGGTTAGACCCCCCCTGTGACAGGGGCATTTAAGATAAAAACAAACTGAACAGGGGAATGAGATAGCAGCTTAGACATACCATGTACAGCTAAGAGCACTGGAGAGAGGGTGTTATATCATGGAAAAATGCTTTACAATACAATACAATACTTGATAGGAAACGATGCATCATGATACAAAACGTAAATGAAGGATGTATATGATCTGATTTGATACTAGGTAGGCAAATGAACGATGTGATTTGATACACTTTTTTGTCCCCCTGTGAAAATGTGTCGAAGTTTAGTCTGTGTTTTTCTAACTTTTGTTTACCTTTGTCTTGAACAAACATACATGTGTTCTTTTAGATGTGTGATATACAAGTTTAGTGCATAAAGCTTAACTGATAAACAGTCTGGTTTTCTGGAGGCATTTGTTTTGACCAGATACTCCTCAAACTGGTACTTTTATCAGATAACATTTCATGATGATCACAGATATTGATCAGTGCTTCAAAAAACAATCATTATTATACCTTTTGCCGTAGAGCCTAGCCCCATCTGAGATTGCTGTGTCCAGTTAGAGATTTATCTCCACATGAGGGACAATTTAGTGGCCCAACAGCGCTGATAGATGGTGACACAGCTGTCAGTGTTGTATTTTAAAGCGGTTTGGAGCATGATGATGCCTGTGCCTTATCATGTCTGCAGACTTTTCCCCCCAGAATTGATGAATCGTGGCCGCAAACCTGCAATCGGCTACAAATCTCACGAAGTAATCTCGTATGGCACACGAGCTCACAGGACATGTCAGTAAATTGACAATATTTTCATTTGGCTCTGGTCAATTCCAAATGATGGATTGGTTTCAGTAGTAGCTAATTTATTCTGTGCACTGTCTGCAGACTCACATGCCAGAACAGGGAGGAGGTCTTTTCCTTTTACTGAGTGCCTCCCTCACCTTAAACCTTTATACTTTCCACTGATGTAAACATGTAAGGTAACATGTTACATAAGAGGTTGTATTTTTAGAGCAAGTCACTTCTTGATTGTTACTTGAAAAAAAAAAACTTCCTGTGAGTTTTTCCTGTCTGATCTAAAAACCTTGTTTTGCACTTCTTTAAGCTGTTAATGGTGAAGGTGCAGCGGCAGGTTGTTAGTATTCCAGGCACACAAAGGGCCACACAGGCACTTTTCACTAATGCTTTGTACACAGTCACAGACATCTGTCCAGGGGTGCTCAGCAGAGACTGTTTCTGCCCGCAGAGTGAAGGCTTTACTTTACACACAGTTTGTTGTGCTGCAAATTCATCATGCAGATACACTTGACTGTTGTGATATGAAACAGAGATGCAGAAAACCCTCATAACTGCTAAACTGGAACCACCAAATCTTTCTTTATTACCAATAAACCATTAAACAGTCTTTAATTTTCTGCATATTCATGCATAACTTCAGCTCCACTCTCACATCTATCCCTGATAGTCAGAGGAAAAATCGCTCAGCCTCTTATAGCAGCTCCTGTGGCCCCTAAGAGGAAACTTTAAAAAGAGCGTTCACACCTAATCCGTTTTGTTCACTTTGATGGGCTCTGCTGTGTTCAGTCACACGGCTTGGTTTGATTTATGTCAGCATGAGATGTGTCAGTTGAGTTCTCAAAAACAAACAAACCGAGGAGAATCAAATTTGGATATTTTTCGCTGATTGTGCAAAACACGGTTTGGTCTAAAGTCAGGGCTGGACTCTGAGTTATTATCTTAAATACTGGAGAAGTGATCTTCAGTTTGACATAAAGTGCAATGGACATATCACTATTACAACGGTTAAGTTAAGTGAAGAATAAAGATCATCTACCTGATAAGCACCTTGTCTTGTCATGCTCCAAATGAAAACATGCTTTCTTGTTGTGAAGTGATTTGTTTCTGCCTCATGATGTGGTTAGAGGCTCCCTGCTGTTCATTAGATGGAGACAGTTCATTTCACAAGTCAGTTCAGCTCCACGAAAAAATGATTTCCTCCCACGCTGAACTGAGACTGGTTTACTGCTCCACCTCAACAGAGGAGAGCACCCCTGCTTTGTTTGGCTGGTTTTCTAGTAGTCGATTGGTTTATTTTGACAGGGACAGTGTGCAGCTTTTTAGTTTTACCAGAGGTAGCAAAAAGCTCATTTGCAATAATGGTCCAAGGAAAAGGAAAAAAGGCACCACAGAACAAAACAGAAGTGATGTGGAACGGTGAGATCTAAATAAGTGATGTCTTAAAGGAAAAATAAGTTAAATGAATTAAACCAATTATTGAAAGTAGAGGATCAAAAGAACAAATTATTGAAGGGAGAGCACTAATGTATGAATTTTTTTTTTTTAATTCACACATGCGATTTAGTATCTCGCAAGTGCGTTTTATTATATCTCAGGTGCAATTTAACTATTCGTTAATAAACAAACTCACTTCCTGCAAGTTTGAATATCGCTGACAGCAAAGTCACCGTGCTGATGAGGTGTCTCCTTCTTAAAACAATACCAAATGTGGCTAAGCTATAAAGTTTCTCTTTGTGAGTCTTACCTAAATGAAAGAAAATGTTGATCTGCTCTCTGTCTGTGACACTGTCTGTCCTCTCTCATAATGAATGAACCGCACAGAGGATTATTTACAAAAAAGCACGCACAACATACAAATAAAACACACGTATGAGATACGTATGAAACACTCATTCTAGAGATACAAAGTCGCACATGCAAATTTTAAAGAACAGTTCATGTCATCTCCCGAGCTCCATAATGTGTGAAAGAAAGTAAAATAAATTCGGCTTAATTTAAACATCGCCCTTCAAGGTATGCAAGTCCATCCATGAGGGTTCCTGAGTCTGGAAATACAATTCCTGATTGGCTTTGGACACAATGTCAGTCAGGCTGATTTGTTGCCCAAGTTTATATTTGATTGTTAGCTGCACTAGCATTCACATATCAGTTTAAAGAGAGAGGGGAAATTGTGGTGAGATTACTGCTGAAAGGATGCCATGACCACGGACTGTGTCTCCTGTTTTTGCTCTCTGTACAGAAAGATGAATGATCACTATAGCAGCTTGTGTTGATCATGAGAGCTTGAACAGTGGAAGTTTTTTTTACTGTCAGGGAGGTGAAGCTCACCAGAGAAGAGAGAGACCCTCCTGGGCAGACATTACAAACATACACCCACACTTTCTCCTACTACGTGTGTGTCTGCTCTGTAACTTTATTGGCTGACAGGGTGTGTCCTCACACAGACAGCTTTTGTTTTACCATTGGGTGAAAACAGCCAATCAGAATGCAGTATGAGTTTGGCCTCCTCACAACACAGACCTCCATAAGGGCTCCATTCAGGCGACCGGGGAGTTGTTCGGTGTCACTGTAAAAACAGAGCTCATGGAGGGTTGGAGGTGACTGCTGAAACTCAGGGCTCAAAGTTTGAGAGTGTGCCATGACATAACTGCAGTTTCTGTCCTGCTGTGAAAAAAAAAAAACAGATCTCAAATTCAAACACAAAGAGAACTTAATCTCATTAATTTACAGAAATTATAGAGTCCACTGAGAGGAGATTATATTGGGAGGCAAATGACTTTTCTTGCTCTGTTTGGTCTGATCTTGGGGTACCCAAACCCCAACCCAGAGGGGGGCAGCTGAAACTCCACTGAAAGTGTTAAATGTAAACAGTCATAGACGTAAGAGCCCTGAAAGAATGTCCAAGACTCTGAAATTGCCAAATTGTTCCAAATTGACAAAGGATTACTTTAAGGAAGAAAAATAGAGAATTTGTGGCCTGAAGGCTCTCAGAGTTGGAGGCCTTTTGTAAAAAGGAGTGGTCACTTAGTTACACTACTTAGTATTGAAGTCGCTTAATCGACCAGGTGCCCTAACTTTTGCATGAGTCTGATTTTGTTTCAGTTTGTTGAACATCCTTATTTTACTCAGTAAATAAGTTTTCAATCTTGAAAATGTGCTTATTTCTGTCAGTTATAAAATACATGAGAAGCAAAACTGCAAGACTGAAGGAAATAGGAAATACAAATAAAAACAACTATTTTTGTCTCAGGTTCCCAGACCTTTGCACCCCACTGTATGTGTTTTAAAAAACTTAAAACAAATATGCCTCAGATGATATGAAATGGTGTGAATATTTAGTTTGTCCTGCAGAGCACACTGTTACTCCATACTTAAGTGTACTCTCAGCGCTGTCTGTAACACAAGGTTTCAGAACAACATGGTGGTGCGTTTTGCAATGTTATGCATCTCTGGATCTCATGTGAGACGGCTCACTCCTGCAGCTCTGCTCCAGAAATGAATGTTTAAAAAATAGGCAAAGTGACGTATTCAGTTTATTATCATCAATTGAATTGTTGATTATGTTTGCCAATCTTGCAACCCGACTCTCCTCACAAAAATGTAAACTCAGCCTCTGAAGTCAGCGCTATTCTCAGCCGTAAAAATCAATCATATTAAAGAAGATTCATTCTTTTTGTTTGAGTATTTTAAGTTTTAACTTATTGGACTGACCCTGCTGTTATGGTTCCCTGACTGTCAGATGGCAAACAATGACGTAAGTGATCATGAGACAATCAAACCTCATGCATGCTTGGGGTGGGAATCACCAGTGGCCCCAAAATACGTATTATCACAATACTTAAGCCACGATACGATATTGTTGTGATTTTTAACATTTGCAACACAGTGAGTATTGCGATACAATATATCGCAATTTATACAATTTTTCAACTGTTTAGCTAATTTAGCATTTGTCTTTCCTTTATGTTTGTCTTATTTACACAGTATTTTATTTTCATGTAGAACTTCTTGCAAACCTTATGTGTCAGGTCCATCTCATTTGTGCCCTGCTTGCATTCCTGATGTCTTTCCCCAAGTGCTGTTATATTTGTTGCACTAACTTTCTCCTGCTCTATGAGGTCACCTCTGCCAACCTCACTGCACAAACAGTTGATATTATTTGGTAAATGAGACAATACGATATGTTACCAGACAAAATATTGCAATACTATGTTGTATTAATTTTTTTCTCCCACCCCTAATGCATGCCATGTAAATCCTGCAACACTTGCAGCAAGAAACATTCAAATAGATAGTGTAGCTCCTGACAGACATCTCAGTCCTAACCTTTTTGTAGTTCAATAAAAATCAGTTATATCCTAAGTACTAACACATTAAATGCTTGTGTTCAGTGCATCTCACTGAGACACATTGTGTTTGTCCTTGAGCTCGAACAAGTGTACTGAATGCATTTCCTTCCTCATAAAACATTGACAAAGCTGGAGTGTGTACCAATGTTTTGTGTGTGTGTGTGTGTGTGTGTGTGTGTGTGTGTGTGTGTGTGTGTGTGTGTGTGTGTGTTTGTGCAGAGAGCAGCACATAAAAACACACGGCCACACTTGCTCTTTTGTGCTAATAGGGAACCGCTCCTCAGGGAACATTTAACACACAGGACACATGTCCTCATTTTAGGTGGATTTTCCAATTTTAAGAGACAGGAAAAATAAACATTGTGTAAAGTTCCACCTGTGTGTGTCTCTGTTAGGGTGTGTGACTTTGTGAAAGGAAAAAATCCAGCTGTTCTTGGAAAAAGTGTTTTTTCTAACCAAAAGGAAAAGAAAGTTTCTGTCAAAAACAACAAGAACACCATAAACAAGGTGAAACTGCAATGCAGTTTTTTTGTTTGTTTGTTGTTGTTTTTTTAATAAGACAACTGTGAAATGAATTCCTAAAGAATAACCATTTATGAAGCAACTTTAAAACTGGAGTCAAAATTTGCTCAGATAAGAAGATAACAGAATTTAAATGACATTTTCTAAAGTGACTTGGTGGCTTGAAGTCCTACTCTGATTGTTTTTTTTTCTTTGTTTTTTTTTACCTCTTAAAGTATTCTCAGTGGTCTTTTAATTGTGATTATGAAGTTTTTAGCCAAAATCACGTTACCTGTGCCTTTTTAAGGGTTTTGCAGAGCTCTAGTAGCTCATTAGCAATTCACCTCTGAGTCGTGGGCGGATACAGCGCTGCTCTGCACACTCCTCCTCATGCTAGCTTGTAGCCTAATGTTGCAGGTGTAGTAGCAGGTAACATAGGAGCTATTTAGCTCTCTGACTCTAATGTCTTTGGGGACACGATGAAAGCTAATATCATAAATAGCTTTCGTACGAGCATTATAATCTGCTATCACACATACACTTGTTCCCTGATCGTCCTCTCTATTTCTCCAAGTCTGGGCTGCAGAGAGGGGCACAGGGGGCGGAGCTTGGATTTGTGATGTAGAAATTCCCACCTTGTCTTAGCCTGCTGTGTGGGTCTGCCAGAGCTTCACAGAGATTAAAATGCAGATGTAGACGACAAGAAAAACATGATTTTCATCGGAGTGGGTCTTTAACCTGAACTTCAAATCCAGACCAGCTAGCTAGTCTAAAGAATCTGAAAACAGTCCAAATTTAGGACTAATCCTTTCACAAGTGAAACTGGTTCAGCCACTGAGTGTGGCTAAATGTAGCAGGGCTAGAAGCCTCACTGACTTAGACAATCTCTCATTCACTTCTGGATCTGATGATCTGCAGTGCCTGACATGTGAGTGAAGTCCTTCAGTATCACCTCTTAATTGAAGTGTGACTTCTCATGTTCATTGTGAACCTCCCTTAATCACAGTTTTTTATTATGTGTTTCTGGATGCTGCTGAAAATCCACAACATTAACAAGCTTCATCCACACAAGGATTACTCATGACACGATTTCAACACACGACTCGCCATTTGGACATCTTTTCTGATGCATGCTGCACGCTGATGGGAAGTGGTGGACACACTTCTGTATGTATAAAGAGAGGAAAGTTGTAAGAGTGTCGAGGAGGGGGTGAACAGAACTGAGAGATAAACTAAGTTGGGCTAATTGAAGTCATTTGATGAGTTAATGAATTTATTTTCCAAGTAAACTTATTCAATATAAGAATTGAAATGCGTGTAGGTGATGTTATGTAACACAGAGAGAGTAAAGTTTGTTAAATATTTCGGTGCCTTCCTCTCCTTTTAAATAACAACACATGTAGAGTTTCTTTTTCTTCTTGGTTTATTCCTCGGTCTGGTTTCCTCAGATTGACTCTGTTTCTGTATAAAATTGTTGTTTCAGGTAAAAATATTTTTTGCGTGGTTGTGCATTAGTATCTGTGTCTGCCAGGCTGTTGTGTTATTAGTGAGATTATGGGGCTGCTGATCAGAGAGTTGGCTGCTGCATCTGTGTCAGGAGGCTGGTGAGGCCGGTCTGTTTGTGCTCTGTACCTCCTGCCAGGAAGATGCTCAAGATGCTGCTCCACAGAGACCCTCCCGCATGATCTGGACCAACACATATTACTTCATCATATCAACACTATCTAAGCCGATCAAATACCTGCCTTCAAATGTTTAGCTGCATGTCTTTGAGTAAAATGAAGGGATATACTGTAGACGGGGACAGCATACATGGTTAATTTAGGTGTGAAGGCAGATGGCATTCATGAGCCTCTTGGAAGAAGCCCTCAGCAATCTGGAAGCAAATTGCCAAAGCATTTATGCAAATGTTTTCCCAAACAAGCATACTTCATATTCTCTCTTCTGTCTTTTCCTTTCATCTGTTTTTAAGGAAACTCCAAAGGGAAACGCCAGAAGAAGATTGTCAGCCGGACCCAAAACTACCTGAACCTTTATGCTGCAGATGGCCTTCGCACACTGTGCATTGCTAAAAAGGTAACTGGGCTCCTCTGATGTGCCAATCACTGCTATGTGTGTGTCTCTGTGTGTTGTCTCGGTGGCTTTTTGGCTGGTTGTGTTTGCAGCCCATCACAGATGATCACATGGACCGTCCCTTCCAAAGTGACATTCTGCGTGACTCAGCTGCAATCTGTGCCACTTTCCTAGGCTGTTAATTTATGCTCTCACAAGCCGAGGCTCATTATATCCCTGCTTGTGCAAAGCCCGTCATTGAAGCAAAGTGTTAAAACACCTTCTCAAGGTCTCACATTCTCCTGGATCCTCCAGTGACATGCAGGCAGGGAGGATCGGCTGCTGCTTCACTGTTGAGTTTGATTCTGAACAGGAGATGGTGTTTTGTTTGTGTTTGTGTACCAGATACTGAGCAAGGAGCAGTATGCATGCTGGCTGCAGCGCCACCTGGAGGCAGAGACAGCCATCCAGGGGAGAGAGGAGCTCCTGTTTGAATCTGCTCTGCGACTGGAAACAAACCTCCAACTCCTGGGTGATTTCTCATTTCCTGTTTTGTATTTTTGCTTTTATATTAAGTACCCCAAGAAGTCAGCACAGCACGTTGACATACAAAGCAATGTGGACTAAATGGGCAGCATATCATTGTTGGTACAACGTCAGTATAAGGAGTTTAAGTTTTAAGTATCAGCTGACATAAAAATCTTTTCCAACATGCACAGCTGAAAAGGTGAGGCATTATTAAGGCTAGGGGTTGATATTGGTTATTATAGAAATGAATCTAGATAGTGGTTTTTCAGGGCTGATACCTCTACCAGTTTTAAGTAGCTTATGAGGATGATGATTCATATCTCTAACTGATTGACAATGAAGATAAAAAAAAATTTAAAATATAGAATTTGATATAGAATTTCATCATCAATTTAGACGTACGCTATGACGGCTTATGTGCACCAAGCTTCAGCAGGTGGACTCAATGGAAGTACTCTGTAAGAACTGTTTGCAATACTTGTAAGGCACAGCTGATCTGAGGAGGAGCAAAACAACACTCCTTCGATACAATCCATCTGTGCGTCTAAACAACTGTTGTTCTGAGCAGCACCAACTGTTTCTGAAGAGGAAAAGCCAAAAAACTGCAACATCAGCAAAAACCTGTCAGAAGCCTTGAAGTGAGCTAAGTCGCAAAGCAAAGAAATACAGCAGCAACCACCAAGAAGTGAGAGAGCTTAACAAGAAAAACAATGGAGTCATTGCTCTTGATAACCAGCCTTACAGCATGGAGGACTTCTCATGTGTGTGATTGGTGTTAGAAGCAGTACTGGCCAAGATTGCATAAGTCCAATATCCTTGCTGGTGGAAATTCTAGACTGCCCAGCTTAATGCTGCGTTCGAGTTACCTCAGAAGTCAGATGTCGGAGCTGAAAATGACGTCACACCCAAGTTACCAGCGTTTCAGTTACCAAGTCAGAAAAAAAACAAATCAGAGGCGGAAACAAGATGGCTTTATCTACGAAAGTTATTTTAGCACTTGCCTTATCCTTGTTTTATTCGGACAAGGCATCTAAAAGAGCCATAAAGAGCTACACAGCTGCACAAAAACTGCACATTGTGGACTCTGATGCCAAAAATGAAAATCATCCTGCAAGAACACAATTACGTTGTAATGACATGTTTGACAAGTTTGAAGAGTAGATATTTTGTCTTTCTCAAAAGTTTACAATCAATCAATCAATCTGTATTTTTATAGAACATTTCATACAGGGCAATGTAGCACAAAATGCTTTACACAGAAGAAGAAAAAAGGAAAGAAAAAATACCAACCCTCCCCCCACCCCATCCCTTCATCCCCACTCCACCATCCAAGCACAACAGAAGCGAGTTTTAAAAAGCATTAACTTAGAGAGAGCTCTATTTAGTCAGAACAGGAATATGCGCACAGAGGAAACGCCATCTTAAAATCATCATTGAAGGAGTCCTAACTTTTACACAAACTAAACTCTTGGAAACATGTTGAAATGATGACAACAGAAAAGACAACTGGTGTCTGTTAAAGAGCCTCAGAGAGGACAATAGAGTCCTTAACTTTTGGTTATTTTTTTACTTCATTTACTTGGAAGACAAAACACAGTTACAGATACAATAGAAATTAGTTATAAACCCCATAATGCACATTTTGAGTAAGGTGGTTTAACAAAGTTTAGCAAATATATATCTCATTTCTTGTGGTTGGTGTAATTTTAGTCATAGTCCTGAAAATGGAAAGATTATGACTTTTATGGTGACTGAATTTTGATCACAGCAGAATAGAAGATACTGTATTTCATTTGGATGAAGTCTTAGCTTTTTGTCCACTGCTTCTGACCTGCAGGAGCAACAGGCATCGAGGATCGTTTGCAGGACGGCGTGCCTGAGACCATCGCCTCTCTTCGACAGGCCGGTTTGCAGATATGGGTGCTGACAGGGGACAAACAGGAAACAGCGGTAAATATTGCATACGCCTGCAAGCTGCTGGACCCTGAGGAGGAGATCCTGACGCTGAATGCTGATTCTCAGGTGAGCTGCAGGAGCGAGTATTCATACAGTCATTTTGTTAACTTTAGCTTTGGCCTGCAGCATCACAAGAATTATGAGTTAGAAATGTTACTTGACTATTATATTGGCAGGGTGATGAAAGTCAAAATAAGTCGATTATATTGATCAACTTAACCAAAAGACAGCACACACTTTTTAAAACAATGATTTTAAAATGATAAATTTACAGGAGGAGTGTGTAAGAGTTGTGCACATGTGTGTGAGTTAAACACAAATTTATTGATGGATAGCCCCTTGAGATGAACCATCTTGTTTTCAAGGGGGTCCATCAGGGGGAGTGTTAAAAGATCTCTCTCCTCCACTCCACAGTATAAGAGTGTGGACGTGAATTCCTGGATTCACTGAAATAGCCTCTTACATAATGTTGTCCTTTCCTCATTCAAAACAAATCAGACAGCACCTCTATGAGACTGCTTTGGCATCATCTGAGGACCAACAGTGTTGAAATCTGTGCTGTCTAATCATCTGTTTAGCAGATGTGAAGCAGGTTCTCTCAGCTGGATGTCAAAGTAACTTATTGACCTGATCCTGGACTCAAATCCACTCTGTGCCTGTCTCTGGACCAGGAGGCGTGTGCGTTGCTGCTAGAGGAGAGTTTACACTACATCCAAGCCAAATTCCTCTGCAACTCCACCGACCAATCCACCAAGGCCTTCCACAACAACTTCATACCCTTTGACATCTATCCCTCTTCATCTCCGTCCTCCTCATCCTCCCACACCGCTCCCTTCATGGTGCACAGGCTGGGCCTGGTGATTGACGGGCGCACTTTGGCCTACGCCCTGGATAAGACTTTGGAGGACAAGTTTCTGGCGGTCGCTCGGAGCTGTCGTTCAGTTCTCTGCTGCCGCTCCACGCCGCTGCAGAAGAGCATGGTGGTCAAACTGGTGCGGAACAAGCTGAAAGTCATGACCCTAGCTATCGGTAAGAGGAACTCACATTAATCAAACACTCCTATTGTTTGACCCTTTGAACCTCTCTCTGTTTCTCCTCAGAGTATGAGTCAAGGATATTTTATCTCCAGAACAGGTCACTGGGCACTTTTTTTCCATCAGGTCAAATTGTGTAAACAAGCTGGATATCAGCCTGCAGAGCAAACTCCTAAATATCATCTCCATGGACATAAAGCAGTTTACAGGGAGGCTCATACTACCAAATGTAGGATTGCTGCAACAGGAGAGTTGACCAGAAATGTTTGCAGACTCACAGTGTCCAGTTTTCTGCAGACTTGTTCTTAATAAGAGAAAAAGCATGTCCACATGGTCTGGTGTCAGTCAGGATCACAACAAGGTGAATGTTTGATGAATGGACCTTTTATATGGCACTTTGTCTAGTCGGCTGACCAACCACATTCATTTATTTTACCCCACATTCCCACACTAACAGAAGAGGTTACTTTAGGTGCTTTTCCACCACAGAAACTTTCCCCAGGAACAAGAGACCTTCACTATGCATGCGTTTTGACCAGAGGAACTAGGGTCTACATTTAGTTCTGGGGTAGGAGAGTCACTGCGTTAAAGGCCCAGCACAGGAGGTAGAACTTTCCAATGACCCATGGACTTTAGGAGGCAGGGAGTGACGATAAGACTGAATGCACACTCGCACAGTCTTCCAGCACCCTTGCTGTGACCTCTCAGTGAAAAAGTTATTTTAACATAACCTCTGTCTTTATAAAATCAGGTTTAATTAAGCTGAGTTAAAACAAAGGCGACACAAGGACATCAGAGTGACTTACGACTGTCTTTTCACATTTTTTTCACTTATTTGTTCCTGCTGCTCTCAGGAGGATGCTGTTCTGCAAACGGAGCATTTTCTTGTCACTGCAATGTTTGCAGTAATGAAAGAGAAAACAGGACTGCAGCTCTTCACACTTTTATTGTACACCTCTGTGGGGAGAGCAGATGACGGTGATGCTCTCATATCTATCAGCTCTCTAATCTCATCAGTACAGCACCACTCACAATGAAGCAGCTTCCGCCTTCTCCTGTCTATATGTAAATAATTTTATGTTTGTATTTAAAATTTCAGTCTTGTTTGTTTTTAGTCTGGTGCAGAAAGGATTTAAAGCAAGCAGTAAAACAAAGCAACAAATCTAAATCTGGCAAACTTATCTGTGTATCCTGCAAAGTTGAAGAAAAGCAGACACTTAAAATGCAATGCAAATATTCTACCGATTTGTTTAGCTCTCCCTGTCATATACCTACATAAAGGTTAATCATTCCTACTCAAATAACATCTAGTTTTCAGTATTTATTACTTACTGTCTTCGCATGACAATAATAATAATTCACAGAAGAGAAGGAAGAATGATTGTTGGTGCAAATGAGTTTATGCTGATGGATGTTTTGATGCAGCAGCATACTAATCATGCATCAGAAGAGCTCTCCATTTCTTTTCACTCAACATTCAAATTGATAGTCCCTTGTATCAAGAAATTCTGCAAGTTTGCAACTGCATTGAAGCCAACAATTAAAGGGATATTTCAGCACAAATTTAAGTTATGGTCAAACACACCGTAACACAGAGTTAGACCCCCTACTCTATAGCCACAAATAATGCTCAGAGCAGTACCTAACTTCATCAACAGTACATAAAGGGTCCCAGCCAACAAAGTACTAGCCATCAAACAACTTTTTAGCTTTGCCTGATTTCTTTAGCAAAGAGACTAAACACAACTCACCCACTCTCTTCCAGCAGCCGCTTGTTTGTGGGGGAGCCCTGACGAGTTGATCATCGAGTGCAGCAGAGTTTCGCAGCTCAAGAAAGAACATTTATGATAATTTCTTAATGGAAATGCAATCAGACCGAAACGCTGAGACAGAAGAACATGTCCACGGCATCCAAAACTCTGCGATAGAAACGTCACTCAAGGTCATAGGCTGTATTGGGACAAAGGAAAAAGTGCCTAGAGAGTGAATTTCGTTCCACTATGCTGGTGCTACTTGTTCAATGCATTTTTGCATAGACAGTACCACAAAAAAACAATTATATGGTGCTGCTGTTTTTGCTTGTAGAATCTGCTATGTTGATTCTGGCAAGACAAAATCTTTCTCAAACGTCATAAATACATCTACCTAACATCTGAAACAGTTATTGGTGCCTTAGTATACACATAAGTGAATTCAGATTATGAAATGTAGCAAAGAAAACGTCTCAACTCAAGTGATTTGCACCCAGCACAATGAAATATATACAGTAAATTTAGCTAAAAGCTTATGTTTCATACATAAAAATGACATAACCTACTGTGTAATAAAAGCAATAAAATATAAACAGCACATCATGAAAGTCAATCAAAACAAGACAAAAATAAATGCGCAAAAGGTCTGAATTAATTCAAAATATGGTATAAAACATTTATTCAAGTATCACAGTGTCAAAACATCTGACATTTATCAATCCCTCCAGAATATGAAAATAAAGATCAAAACACAAACGCAGTCAAATGTAGAACAAATATAAAAATAATAAAAAACTCAAATCCTTTAAACAAAACAAATTGTACATGGTGACATGGTGCGTATATTACGCATCTCACTTTCATCAGAGTCATCATCCCATACAGCTCTTTCTTCTGTTTCCTTTGAAGCATTCTCACATGCTTGGCACCGACATAAATCTGTACAAGACAATCTTGCAGACATACAAGAACATCGTTCAGTGTCACATTTGGTTGTCTTGCAACTACAGTGGACTATCTGCAAAACACTATCAGGGGCAGGATTTGTAATCATCCGTGTCACTGCCAACTCCCCATCCTCAATGGGCCACCCATTGTGCATCCATACGTTTACAGGTTGTAACTCGACCAGTGCCTTCCATAGCAAGGGCAAAAGAAAAACATTTTCTGTTGCTTGAGAGCAAACTGCATGAGAGCAAACTACCAAGCGGCGGTGATGAAACATTCTCTGACTGGTAAAATGTGTGCCCCTTCACTCATTGGCAATGGAGTGGCTTTTTGGTTGAGGTTTGCACGTGGAGACGTAGACCCATTGCTATCCTGCGGTCATTACTCAAGTTGGTATAACTAGAGAAGCAAGCGGTCGGCAACATTCATCTCTCGAGGGGATGTCTAATTCGGTGTTACGGTGTGTTTGACTCTAACTTAATACTATGCCACAATATCCCTTTAACACCATTAAAATTCTTCCATTTTTTAGTGAAAATGCTTGAAGACAGCTTAAATCTCAGTGCTAAAGAGAAGATCAGACCATGAACCTGAGCCCTACTTCTTTTCTTTTAATTCATAGTGTCTGTACTTAAGGATTGAATTTAAAAACATTGCCACTGTATTGGCTGATTGGAAGTGAGGTTGGGCTAGGATTTCTAGTATGGGGAGCACCATCATTGGGCTTTAAAATGGCCATTTAGAAACCATGAGGTGACATCACAGAGACTATGTCCATGTTTTAAACAGCCTGTGGTTCTCACTTTGCTGCAGCGTCAATGTGTTGACAGTTTTTGTCACTATGGAAGCGTTTCTGCAAGCCAACATAAACTGGTCACATTGATATTATTCAGTAATTTTCAGTCAGGCCAGCAATCATGACAACAATAAAAACCTTCACTGTCCACCAACACTTCATCTCCCACTCCACCAACTGGAGGAAAAAAAATGACGAAAACCTCTGCACTGCTCTCAAAGTGGAGCAAAGACAAGTACCACTCCTCCTAATCCATCACAGCAGGCCTGGTTCTTCTTATCCAGAGCTGATGACACAAACACTAAAACACAAACAGACGTGAAGAGCTCATTAAACAGTTGAAGGAACTGACAAGATGACAAGTAATACAATGAAATGCTCAATAAAGCTTTTTTGCTGCATGGTTTTTTGATGATCTGTTAACAGTTGTATGTTAAGACTGTGTCATCAGTTTTTCGGTTTTAAAGGAACTATTTTCTCTCACTCTCTCTCTCTTTTTTGATTAACCTCAGGTGATGGGGCCAATGATGTCAGCATGATCCAGGTAGCAGATGTTGGTGTGGGCATTTCTGGACAGGAGGGCATGCAGGTGAGAAGAAAACCGGGCAGGGCTGCATGGAAATGGTAGAAATGAGTGGAAAAAAAGTGTGAATCAGGGTTTATTTTAGGATTGGGCGATATGGCCTCAAATCAATATCGCAATATATTGAGCAGTTCACCTCCATAACAATAAATGGACAAAAACTTCTCCACAAGCTGCTCACCCCCTCCCACATTAACTTCATCTACTTCAGCCGCTGCTCCAGCTGCTACAACTTTTGAACCGTCCTCCAAATCCTCACCTGTCTTTTCCTCTTTGTTACGGACTAGATGGGATGGACTCTGACGTAGGACGGCATCTTAAAGGGACATGAGACCGTAGCCTACCCACACACATCCAAAACCAACTTTTATGTAATTTTTTGACACCAAAATTATTGAGATGGGCAAAATGACGTCGGTTATTGTCGTAAATTTCAGTATCAGTAAATTTTCGGTTAATCACCCAGTCCTTGTTCATTTATACTCACTAAGTATAGGAAGTGCAAGTGGATCCCAGGTCAGATGAGAATGAATGTTTTTTTCTTTTTTTTCTGAAAACATATGAGAGACAGACAAAGAGGGACCAAGGTCGTTCTTGTATGCAGTTGATTGGTTTCATTTCTCTTGAGTGCATGTTTAGGCCTCATCCATACACAGCCTTTAAACTGTATTGCCTGTGTGATGCTGAGTCAGGAAACTTGTCCTGAGTCCTGTGGTGAAGCAGGACATTTTATGAGTCTCTTTAGTCTGGACTCCATGTACAGCAACTCCTCTCTGCTTTGTGGTCAAGACCATTGCCACAGCAGAGATTATCAGCATGCTTGTTCTGAAATAATAATGAATAAAAGCTCTTTGCTCCCCCCCTGCTCATTTCACCTGAACCCTGCTCCACAAAGGTGATCGCGTATAGCAATGATGGAGACTCCCAATTAACTTGGAGGGGAGGATATGGAGGCGTGCTGCTGTGTAGCACATCTGTTAAAGTCTCGGTTTCCTGTCTTTAACGGGGCTGCTACATTAATCATTGTTCATCAAATCGGCTCTTAATGAGACAGCGGTCATTCCTCGGGACTCGGCGCTGTGCTGAGACTCACATTTCAGCACACGCTCCTCGTTATAATTAATACACCTTTCCTCTATCAGAGCACTCTCCTCCCCATGTAGCTGTTAGCGCACCATTATTAGAGCGCAGCAGAAACTAGATTGCTGCACAACAAGGCATCTGCTGTTATTCTTCTTGTTGACAAATAATGTTGACAGGTGAGATGTGTCATAAAGGGTGAAGCAGTCAGTTACAAAGCCAGCATGACTACAGGGAGGGTTTGGTTTTCAATAATGATGGATGAGACTGACAGCGTCCTGCTGCTGCTGTAACCATGAATCCCTAAAAGTCCACAAACTTGTTTAAGGGTTATTGCTTTGGAAAGATGATCCTCACTAAAGATTCAGTATAAAGAGGCCGGTGAGGGCAGCTATTTCCTGCAGTGACTTCCTGAAAGCTGCAGAAGTCGTGTGTTTGAGGGGGAGAGAAAGAGCAGGAAGAAAGGATTTAAATGCCAGCTATTTCTGGGGTTTCTGCAGGCGGTGATGGCGAGCGACTTTGCTCTGCCTCGTTTCCGGTATCTCAAGAAGCTCCTGCTGGTCCACGGACACTGGTGCTACTCCCGACTGGCTAACATGATCCTCTATTTCTTCTACAAAAACGCAGTAAGCTACTCTGACCTCTATATATGCTCATCTTGTACAATAGCACGGTTTGTTGTACTCCCATCTTCTCATGTTAATTCATCATGTTATCCTTTGCTCCCACAGATGTTTGTAGCACTCATCTTCTGGTATCAGTTCTACTGCGGATTCTCAGGTTCAGCCATGATTGACCAGTGGTATCTTATCTTCTTCAACCTGATGTTCTCCGCCTTCCCACAACTCATCACCGGCACTCTGGACAAAGATGTGTCTGCAGAGACTCTGCAACAACTACCTCAGCTCTACGTGAACGGGCAGAACTCAGAGGTACTCGCAGTTTGGTGGTTTTCTTTGTCCTGCTTGTTTAAGGGTCAAAGGTTCTACAGAGAAAAAGGAAATAATGCTGTTATTCAGTCCTCTCAGTCCTTACATGCAGTTTGATCATTTACTCTGGTAAGAGGAGTTTTTGCCCAGTTGTAGGTGATGTGTTAGGCCTTTTAAAGGCAGTGAAATTTGATTTTTTTTTTTTTAGGAAACACTCTGTGCATGTACACAAGGGTAGTTCAGCGACGAGATTAGAGACACTGTTGAGTCAATAGAGGGCGCCAGGATCACCACAAACCAAAAGCTCCTCACAGGGGCTTTAAAGATGGAGTCTGCAGGATCTTTGGTCATTTATGATGTTGATAACAAGTTTTAACAGCATTAATAAAATAACTAGGGCTGTAATCAACCAAAGGAATTCTTGGTCAACTAAAACCCTGAAATTTTCGACCAAAAATCAACTAATCAGTCATATTCAGCAAACTAACAGATTTTGATAAACATGGACACTCTTCGATTCTCCTGTCTCCAGCCAGTCTCCAGTGGGTTGGGCAAATCCAAAATGGTAAAAAAAGAGGGTGTTCGGAGACAGGCTGTTACCTGTGAAACGGGGGTGCTCTGGAAACACCCCCATTAGCACTTGGTACGTTCCTCCTGATGAACTTAACCATAGACTGTAAATTGAAGCAGAAAAAAATCGGGTCGACCAATCAGAATTTTGGTTGACTCAGCACGTATTGACCAATAAGTTGACCATTCCACCAGGACTTTACAGCCCTAAAAATTCAGTAACTTAATTTATTTTTTGAGAAGATTCTGCAGACTCCACCTGTAAGGAAGCAAACATGCCCCACCTGTTTGGTTTAAAGCAGCTGTATTTTGGTTGAGATTTGAAGCGTTAGGAGATTCTTCTATCTTTGAGAACATAGTATTGTTAATGCTCAGTATTAGTGTGGCTTTAATGATTCTGCACAGGCACATCTTGACAGCATTACTCCATAAGATTTGTGAGAGTAACCAACAGAAATGCCAGGATCTTTGTTCTTTTAATAACATACTGCATATTCCCTCTAGAAAAAAAACGCCTTAATGTCAGAGCTCAATGATGATAAGAACTCCACCTCTGTTGCATGAAAGAGGCTTCAGGCTGTAAATCTGTGGTTTCATCTCTCAGGAATATAAGCCATATATGTTCTGGATGAACATGATTGACGCCTTCTACCAAAGTCTGATCTGCTTCTTCATCCCGTACTTTGTGAGTCTGTTTTTTGTTTACATAAGCTCGTCTTGTCTTAGTCAACCCTTGTTGCACTGAACTTACTCATCATTTCCACACTGACTGTCTCCTCCCTGCCTCTTCTTCTTCTCCTCCGACAGGCCTACGCTGACTCCGACGTGGATTTGTTTACATGGGGCACTCCCATTACCACCCTTGCTTTATTTACCATTCTGGTGCACTTAGGCATTGAGACCAAAACCTGGGTGAGCAGTCTTACTCTACACACCTTGATGACTCAATACCTGCTTCAAAATGTTGCTGTTTCTCTTTGGTACCAGCGCTGGTGTGAAGGCTGTCAGGCACACAGGCGTTAAACTCCAGCTGATTAGATTGAACCAGAAAGCTCTGCAGCACCTTAGACCATATATCAGCCTGACAGTGTCTCTGCCTCCATCCAACTCCTCTGAAAAGTGTCTCTGCCACATCCACACCTCACACTGATTCACAGCTCCAAAATACCTGGTCATTTCTCACCCTCACGCACACACACACACACACATCCCACTTCGGTTCCATCCTCAGGTATCCACGTGTGTTTCTCATAAATGGCACGGCGGTGTTGGTCTGGAGCCATCTTGAATTTATGACCCTGCATTGAATCAGAGTCTGTTCCATTATACTGAGGCTGTAAATTAAGCCCAACGAGTTTCTACATAAAAAGCATCCTTTTCTCTGAATACCTTCCTGGACCTGAAGGCCTCTTGTTGCAGAGAGGTATTCATAACGAAGCAGAATCAGCTGATGGTAAAGGTTTCTAAATGCTTTACTCTTTAGCTGCTCAGGGAATAATTAATTCATGATGGGTAAACAGCTGTGAAAGTCAATTTAAGGTATGTGAGGTGACAGCAAGAAATTCTCAGTGTCTTCCCCCCAATTCAGGAGCTGTAAAGCTGTAATTAATCATCAGCTCATATTTATGCATGTGCTGCTGTGTGTATCAGGTTATCTTGAGTTATCTTTCATCTGAATATGCAGTTAAGATTCACCAGAACACTTAATTTTTTTACTGCACACGGAGGTTTCCAAACCAAACTGTGACACCAAACCTGATTAGACTCTCTGGAACCACCTGCTAGAATATCAACACACCTTTTTTTTTATCAGCAGGACAATAAGGAACTAGCCGGTTTGATCTCCTCTAGCTAATTGTTCCAAATAGTCTGAGTGAAAAATTTTGGTTCCCTTTGGTCATCAGCCTGGAATAGTTCACAGATCCTTGGTGGAAGACTTTAGATCTCAAGGATCCTGTAGTCCTGTTTCCTCTTCACCACATTAACGACAGCCAGCTGTGCACATTGCTGGGCACCCTGATTTTCACCTTATTTTTAAAGGCCTGATTTTTGGACACAGTCTGTAATTGTTTCCATGTTTAGTAAATTTCAAACGTGTGCTGAATTAACTTCTTTGTATTTTTTCATCTCAGTATTTTGCAAGCCGGGGCAGAAAGGCCCCGTACTAAACGTTCATTAAGGCAAACCTATTCACAGGACAAGGCATAATCCACAGACCATGTTTGTTTGCAGGTGCTATGAAGTAAAAGCACTTTTAGTAAATCAGGCCCTTGTACCTACTGAGTGCTGCCTTTATGTAATGCACTGTTTGATTTGAATATATGAATTGACCATCTTTGTTCTTCTTCTCTTGCAGACCTGGATGAACTGGCTGTCTATAAGCTTCAGTATAGCTTTATTCTTCACGGTTGCTCTGTGCTACAACGCCTCCTGTCCCACCTGCTACTCCCCCTCGAACCCGTACTGGACCATGCAGAGGCTGCTGCAGGACCCCCTCTTCTACCTGCTCTGTATCATCACGCCAATCGCTGCTTTGCTGCCCAGGTATTCTGCACTCTATTTAAGAGAGGGTTACATGCATTTTTTCCGAACCTCTTGAATAGCGTTACATGATTTTCGGATGAATAAAAGCTTGATGTTTCTCATTCTGGTGTACAAAAATATCATTATTCCATTATGTGCATTCATCTAGTACGGACACCAAACACTGTAACTTTGCTATTTTTGTTGATAATGTGGAAAAGCATAATACCAGCCCTTTAAAGGTTTGTATTGAACACATGATTCTGCTCTCTAATATTTACGACCCGTGCCCCAAGTTCTATCTGCACCAGATGACTTCAAATGTTTATTCCGAGAGTTTGGCATTCAGCTGAGGAACAGTTGCTGAAGAGTATCCTGATGTTTGGCTCTGTTTGACTTTCCAGATATTTCTACAGGGCGTGTCAAGGCACGCTGTTTCCCAGCCCGGTTCAAGTTGGAAGACAGTTGGATAAACTCCCTGCAGAAACCCGCAGGAACATCCTCAGCCTCAGCAGGGTCAAGGTGGGGTCACCGCTCAGCCCCAAGCCTCCCTTCCTGTCCCTCAGCAAGCCTCCGGTGACAGGGGGCAATAAAAAAGACCAGAAGAGCTTCCCCAGCTCCAAGACATCACAGGGACCTGTTTTACAAACAGACCAGCAGGGCCAGAGGAGGGGGCCCACAGACAGTGAGAGGGGCCTCTCAGACCTCTACACATTAGTTCCCACAGAAATAGACACTCTCCCTTACACCAAAGACGCTCCTCAGCTCTCAGAGGAGCAGCAGTCTCCACAAACCAAAGACTCTGAGGGTTTAGATAAAAGTTTAGAGACTTCAGATCTGAGTCTGTCCGGCTGGATCACCTCCACGCCTCTGCTCACACAAACTGACAGCATCCAGCTGAACCTGCTTCCTGACGGAGACGCTCAGTGTGTCAGATACACGAGAGATTCTGTGGAAAAGGTCAAGCCTGCAGCACAGAGGACAGAGCAGGAGACAGGACAGCCCCTGCATGTCACATCGTGATGTCTTACAGTCTTAAGTATTTTATTCAGACTCCAATTTGCACAATAGTTTTTTAAAATCTTATTTTTATTGTATTTTTCAAGGAGATACTTTTATAAAACAAAGAGAAAGGTACTTTATATTTTGGATGTTTAGAGCTAAAGATATTAACCAGATTTGAGAGATGGAAGAGCTGGAACATCTCCTGTTTTTTCTCCTGGGATTTTTTTATTTTGTTTTATGAAGATGCATCTCAGTTCCTGATCTGGCTTTAAGAGGAGAAGGAGGAGCAGAGTACAAAAACCCACTGCTGGCTTATCTGGGAGTTAGTTTTCTGTCTCTGAAATGGTACTCTGTTCATTCTTTCTGCTCCGCCTATAATCTCATGAGGACCTGGATCAGATGGCGCTGCATCCTTGAATCAGTGTTGATTCTCCAGAGAGAAGATTTTTCTCTGTTGAGCAGAAACATGTTTTAGTTCAGATTCTCAAAGAGTTTTATCTGTACGCAGATCCAGAGAGAACCGTGGCATTGTTTTGGCGCACGTTTCAGTGCAGGCCTGATGTCTTAAAAGTCAAAGAGCTCGTTTTTATAGCTGTGCTGTGTCTCAGTTCATTCCACTGAATAATTATGCATTCCATGAAAGTGATTTCTGATAAAAGCTGAAATACTAATGAATCAAGCAGAAGTGGTGCTGCTTAGTAATGTGTGTGTCCTTTTTTGACTGGATAGATTTGGTTTTAGAGATTTGGGGATTTTGAGCTTCACATTTACAGAATAGTTTGGCATTTTGGCAAATATGCGTTCTCGCTTTCTTAGAGAGAGTTACATGAGAAGAGAGAGATCAGTGTCTGTCTGTCTGTATGTCTGTTCAGAGTAAAAGCCTAAAAACAAGTTAGTTAGTTCTCTGTTCTCTGTTGCTCTGTTCTCAGGCATAAATATTTACAATATAAAAAATTTCAGTCTAATCACTAATGGACTTGTTTGTGTGTGTGTGTGTGTGTGTGTGTGTGTATAAATATATATATATATATATATATATATATATATATATATATATATATATATATGTACACACACACACACACACACATATATATATGTTATTTTTAATATTTCACTTGTAAAGAAAGCAAGTAAGCTCATTTCCACAATGCCAAACCATTCTTAAAGTGACACTTAATGGATTAGTATTTTTCTCGACCCATATTAAAAGTTTGATCTCAGCTGTAAACCAAAGGCTCAGTGGTATACAGTCTTTCTAAATGTCAGAGATAAGGCTTTATAATTTAAATTTGCACTTTGAAAGCATGGTTTTAGACAAGCTGTTGAGTGTTGTTGGTGCGTTTTTTTTTTTTGTTTTTTTTTTGGCCCAGAGATTAAAAGGATGAGACTTTTTTCTTCCCTTTTATTTCAGGGAGTCTCCATGTTCATCAGGCAGAAACTAACTAGTATGACAGGATGGAAAGATGCTACGGTTTATGTTATTGTTCAGCCTCTGAAGCAGCAGCACCTTTAATAATGAATGATTGTGTATCTCTTGTTTCATTGCAGTACATTTTTGTATCATTTACCAAAGATCATTTATATTTCTGTATTTTCTAAGCAATAGTCTGTGCCTTAACACTGGATAAGATTTACAGGTATGAGAGTTTTGATACCATGCTGAAGCTGTTTTTGTTTTCAGATGACTTTGCATCTCGAGGAACGTTTTTCTCCTTCTCTTGTCGATATTTATGAGGCTACATGTGATGTGTGTCCTCTTCCTCCTGTCTGTTTTTGCACACAAGGCCTTTCTCTGGCATGTTTATCAGATTCTGACTCTGCAGTCTGTCCACTTTGTTTTATAGGTTCTGTCTGTTCTGTGCTTTTGGCGTCGCATTTCACGTGCCAGAATGAAGCTTCGAGAGTATTCACTGCTGATATCTAACATTCCCACTTTTGTAAACACCTCACAGGAACGCTAAACCTCCTCCCGTACAAAATAAGACATATCTGAGTTTCATTTGCTGGTATTTAAGTTGTACTCTTGCCTTCGTCTTGAGGTTTTGTATTCGACATTATGCATTTTACACAGGGGGGGGGGGGGGGTTATATTCTGTTAAAACACTGATCAGTGTCATTTGAAGGTGTTAACTTTGGCACCAAGATCTTAAAAAAAGGGTCAGAGTTAGCTGGAAACACTGAAAAGCTCCGACCCACAACAGCAACAAGCATTTCGATGGAGTTATTTTTTTCAAGATTTACAGATTGTTTTTAATCTGTACTTTGTTTTTTGAGGAATTTTGAAAGTATGTTCATTATGGCAACTTGTGAACAAAATTAAAGTGCTAATTAAGTATTTATCTCTGCTACCTGTTTGTTCGTAAAATTGTACTCTGCTAAATAAAACGTTTCAGTCCTCAGTTTTGACACATTTTCTGTGTTAGATCTGCTTTCTTTGAGTACTGTGTCCCTAAGCAGAGGTTTGGAAAGAAAATATAGAAATAAAATGCAAAAGCTTACTGCGCACAGCCTGTCTGGTGTTATTGCAGATGCTGATCAATGCCTGTGTCCAGCTGAGCTCGGGGGAGGGGGCTATTTCGAGCTCCCAGCAGGTATTAGGTTGAAAAAGCTCAAATGTTGCTTTTAACAAACTGGGATACCAAATATTTATCTGCTGTTTACACTGTGATGGTCCTAATGTCTTCTATTAGATCAAACTTTGGACAGGAACAACACAAAAAGCTTTGATGTGGAGGTAAATATAAAAAATATCAATACCACCCACCTGTCTAACTTGTTTTTCTGCCATATTCAATCCTTGGCTCTGATTGGTCAAAAGCCCTGACAGTGGTACTGCACACACTCACACATATATACAGTACATATGTATATATATCAAAGGACAAGAGTTATAGCACATCTAGAGTAGGAGGATTTTACCTCCTTGGGTTGGCTATATGATAGAATCACCAGACTAACATGGAGGATGGATTAAAAATTATTGGCTACTTATTTGGAAAGCACAAAATGTTAGATTGGTTGTTGACAGATAAGTCGCCAGTAGGAAAAAAGGGAAGAAAGACAAGAAAGAATGCAGAAAATAATGAGAGATGTAATTCAAAAAATTTAGTGAAAAAGACATCAACCAAATTGAAGAAAACAGACATGAAGCAATGACAAACCCCAAAACAATTCAGGTATGTCATTTCACAGGACTGGTTTAGTGAAAAGAAAATGAGGACTGAGAAGACAGATGACATCCCTGCATCTGTTAACATGCATTGATATAAAAGAAAAAAAGGCTTTGTCTTCAATGAAAGTGTAAAGTTAACTCAAAGTTATACTTGAGGGTAGAGAGCATGTGTAACCAGTTCAGGCATGTGGACATTAACTCTCAGGGAGGACCAAAGGCTGGTGCTATGTGATCCACCAATACCCTCAGATTCTGGTTCATGGGCTTCCTCTGTCAACTCTGGTTCAGAAAGGTGCAAAGAGAGCAAAGAAGACTGAGTTTTCTAAAGGTGAAGTACAGTACTGGAAATTTATTTTAAAAACAAAGCCTATGACTTTGGTGGGTCTCATCTCCAGCAACACTGAGACAAACTACATCAAGGACTTCAGTCTCTGTCCATTTGGAGCAGCAATAACAATCTCCTGCTAAACGCAGACAAGATGAAGGAGATAGTTCTGACCATCAGTGGTGATAGTAAGCAGCACCAAATTTCTGGGGGTGCACATCAGTGAGGACCTCTCCTGGACAGCCAACTGCACATCACTGGTGAAGAAAGCCCAGTCATCATGTGCACCAATTGCCTCATGTACTTGCACACTGCAGAAATTAAAAATAAACACATCTTGAATCTTGTACACTGAGACAAACATACATATTTGAGTCTGATTTTTTAAATGTGTTGAAAAACATAACAGAGATGACCTCAGCCACTGTAGCGTAGCTTTTGTGACGGTTTTCTAGCCAGTTTCTGAACAATGGGGCCAAGCTGACCAACATCACCTGAGGCCAATACGTTTACTACTGACTAGAATCTCATACTACCCCACTTTCAAAACAAAGACCATCCTTTCTGTCCCTTTTTCACCACACATGCCCTAAGTTTAACTGATCCAGTAAAGAGTGTACAGGTCAAATCATAAACCAGCCTGAAACTGTGAGCTATGCTGGCTTATCTACACATACCATGAGGCGTATATAGATTCATTATCCTGTGGTCCAAAAAGCACCAGTTAGATATCTGATGTTTCAGTGATAAATGGCTGCATAAACAGAGCTCTCAGTCCCTCTCATGTTTTCACATCTGAACTAATGTTTGAAATAAAAAGCTGATCTTTGGCCTGGTGCTGCAGCTGTTTGTCTTTGCCTGCTGTGTACAACATCTGTGAGAGGACATTATTGTTTTCTTTGAAGGCCTAAAGAGGGTGAAAGAGGACACACACACACACTCACTCACTCTCTCTTTCACACACACAAACACACACACACGGAGCGAGCTCTGCTGATGCTGCTGCACCAGGACGGCCTGATAACTGACCACCTCAGGTTCTTCATCTGAGCACAGAGATAATGATGACTCCCCTCCCCTCTCTGCACTGCTCTCTTCGTCTCTTCAAAGCCCGGGTGTGCAGCAGGCAGATTGATCAGCTGTTTTTTCTGCATACTGTGTAAGTGAGGAACTTTTGTGCTTTTGTGCAAAGCTTCTGTGTGTGCACAATGATTTTTTTTCACAAAGTTTTATCTGCTCTCAGTAGTGTTGGAAGAGCAGCACCTGCGATTAAGTGAGCATTCATCATGTGTGTCACATATTCTGTTTAAGGATTTATGCACAGGATTTAGATTTTAATTAAAAACACTCCACACTGTATATTTAGGAGGCCATACACTCTCTTTAATGAGTTTCTAGATAACCAGAGCTGTACAGTAAGTCAGGAGACTAAATCTGCAGGAGGTAGTGACTCTGATTTACTTTATCACACAGGAGCTGCAAGATTCTTAGAGCACCAATTCAATCAAGAGCAGAGTAATAAAACTGTCAGATAACAGTTAGGGGTTTTATTTGGGTCTTTCGGGCTGCAGCTCCTGGGTTAGGACTCAACACTGAACAACACTCAGTACACTGGCTAAATATTTGCAAACTTGAAGTTGTTTTAAATGAAAAATAAGTAAGAGTTGGTAACTCTATGTTGACCATCCTAACAGTGTGCCATGTGTTAGTCTTTCAAAATGAAGTGCTGCCATATTCAGTGTGCAGTAACTTCACTAAATGCTGCAGACATGTCCTTGGTCTGTCAAATATTGCGGTTAGTGAGCAAAGATCTGTAAAAGCACACAAAGTAATACAGCTTTTTTTCCATCTTGGACATGATCTGATTCATCATTTCTAATATTTCAAATCCCACACCCCAAGCCCTTGTTGAGATTGTATTTTAGTTCCACATCTCACAGCAGTAGAAGAGATGTCCATACTAACCTTCATTCATGCTCAACCTCTTGTGCAAATCTCTGAAGCTCCTGTCACATACTGTGTGGTGTTTTGGCTTCATTTTTGGACAACAGGATGAGGAGGTGGAAAGTAGAGATGCACAAAATCAAACTGTGATAAGCCAAAGTTGGCCGCAAGTTGAGTTCCGCATACATCAGGTTAAAGATTAGGGATTCAGCTTCTGACCATGGACTCTGCTCCTTTTACATCCTGATCCTGTCGTCGTAGTAAAGTCCTTGGCTCTTGGTGATGATGCTGAGGATGAAGATGAAGGTTCTTAGAGAAAACTTTGTTTCAGCGTTGAAGGTGTGCCTAGTTAGGTAGATGACATCGATCCTGAGGATTCAGCAGCTAGATTGCTCTTATGCATGTTTTGGCTTAAAAAAAAACACTTCTATGCAACATGTTGCCACTGTGGCTGTATTTTGGCCTCACTTGCATACAATGAAAGAAGTTGGGAGTCCTTATCCATGATAATATACAGTCAACAATGTGTTTTTAATATCTTGCAGCATCTCCTCACCACTTTAGCCAGGAGAACTTGAAGCCTTATTCCTTCACACCAGCAGAGATATGCAACGCATCTCTTTTCATTCCAATTAACAAATGAAGGCTTTCTGCGAGCCAGGGCCATCTGTCTCCCACTTGGTGGAGGCATTGTGAGGCTCCATCCTGCACTACTATCATGTAGGAGTGTTTTACCCGGAACATTATTGCTCTTTTTCACTCTCACTTCCCACTGACACAGAAATCCATCCAACACAAACAGCAACACTGAACAGACAACACACAGAAAGACAAACCCTTACATTCAATTTATGGCTGTTTGTTCACCTGTGGGAGGACATGTGAGCACTGGGAGGGAAAAATGCAATTTATGATCATATTTTGTCAAGTATAAGGAGTAACTTAAGTATGTGAGTTTCACTCCCTTCAGGTTCAAGGTCTATTGCACCTCTTACTAAAACTTGACAAGTGTGTTTACAGTGTTCCCTGTTTTAACCATAAAATTCAAGTCTTGTGAACAGCCAGCAGGGGGCAGCTTCACTAGTTAGAGAAAGAGAGATTAGAAAGGCATGAAAATCTCTTCACGACTCCTCTTCACATCCCAGTCGTCAAATCAGCAATGATTTTAAGGTCTAAAGTGATAGTTTCAGAGATTATCCACCGCAGTATGATGTGGACATGATGTGGTCAGTTTAGGGTTAGGGTCATCTTATTTCTAATTTTAAAATGTCTAATTAGATTTCTACTTTTTAAATGTCTGATTCAAATGTCCTATTTAGTCCAGAAAAACTACTGTGAGATAATCGCCCTGTGCTCAAGAATACAGTGACATGAGTGCAAGATAGTAAGTGGTGAGCAAAATGTAATAACTTGTGCAGAGAATATAATAACTTATCATTGTGTGTGTGCTAGGACAGTGGTTCTCAAGTCCAGTCCTCAAGGCCCACTGTCCTGCATGTTTTGGATGTTTCCCTACTTCAATACACCTGATTCAAATGATCAGCTCGTTAGTAAGCCATTACAGAGCTTGATAACGAGCTGATCATTTGAATCAGGTGTGCTGGAGCAGGGAAACATCCAAAACATGCAGGACAGTGGGCCTTGAGGACTGGACTTGAGAACCACTGTGCTAAGACGTCAAGACTTGTGCACATAAAAAAAATTATGTTGGACTTTAACAAACTTGTTCCCATAGTATCCTTTTCTTGTGAGCCAGGATATCCCATCTTGTGCTGAGAAGATAATCATGAATGCACAAGATGATAACTTGTGTGCCAAATATGGATACCTTGCACAAACAAGATTATGACTGGCTCAGCTAATAAAGCTCTTATCAGGATGTGACTTGGCAGCACTAGATAATTAAAAATGTGAAGACATTTATCTTCTGCATCAGAATATTATCATTTACAGGTACAACATAAAAACTGGCAAACTGAAAACTTGTGACAGGAGAAAAATACCTTCATTGGTAAAAAAAGATATTTATATTGTGCAATACAACACACTAACCTCTGTGCAACTTTTCTAGCTAGATTATTAATCAGTGTGAAAGAATAGCATGACATAAAGTGACAATTTGTGTGCACAAGGTAATAATTCTTGTGTTGATTTTAAAATTTACTGTCAAGTTTAAACCTGCAGTCGATATTTCCAGCTACTGAACCAACAAAAAAAATGAGCAGAACAGAAAAAAACACGAGACAGACAGTTTCAAACAGCTGTGAAAAAAGTCACATATAAAGTACGTACGTTCTAAAAAAGCCTAAACTTTGCCTCACAAAGCTTCTAGTCAATAGTGTCTGTGTGTCTTTGTGTGTCTTTGTATGTCTCTGTTCATCTCTGTTTGTCTTTTGATGTTCTGCTGAAGTGTTGAAAATCCCCTGAGCCGATCCGGGATTATGATCCAGAGGTGAAAAAGCTGATCAGAGTTGTAATCTCCTTTCTGTCTCTGGTCCATGAATCCTCCTTACAGCAGGCATTGTCTCTGTCCTGATCACCTCACTGACCTCTCTCTGAGCAGCTCACTTCCAGGAATCACTTTACAGCCATGATCAAATAATCCTGCTCTCCACACTGCAGGCCGTCCTACACGTAACCTTCGGTGTCCTCTCCTGAACCCTGCATCAGCCTGAGGACACATTCCTGAATGGCTGCAAAGCTGTCCAGATTAATTAATGTGATCCAGGAAAGAGAGGAGCCCTGATGATGTTCATTTAAAGACCTTCTTAATCCATATCAAATGACAGGGAGGGAAATGATAAAAGCAGGGATTATCACTCATATAAAAGAAAGATAAAGCTAAAGCTATAAACTGAATGTTATAGCCCTGCAGGTACCATAAGCTGCAAAAAAAAAACATTTCTTTAAATCATTTAACGTAATGCGATGTAGGTTAGATAAGATGGGATCGAATTTCCCTGAGCTCCAAGCTCTTTTTATAAATCACAGCATAAATGTCTCTTTCTTTGTTGTATAACAGCTACTTTGCTGATTAATAAAGCGGGTATTGTACACAATAGGCATTAATTCAATTTTAACAATTAGATGCTATGTCCTTCAACACTTTTTTCATGCTAATAGGGCCCACAACTTCAGCAGCAGTTTCTGTTCTTGTCAAATGAAGCGCTAATAACTGCAGTTCCCAAAGTACCCGCTTGAGGCCAGAAGCCTCACTGGAAACACATTCACTTTTATCAAAAAGAGTGTTTACAGCCTGGTCCAATAGAAGGTTTTAGTCTTGATAGCTAATTTTTTTATCTGCAGGGGGTGGATTTTTATTGACCTGTTTCATAGATGTTACAGTTACACAAGTTTTGCAGCAGTAGATACAAAGCTGACTTGACTGATAGGCGAGCACACTGGGCCTTCCAAGGAAGCCAAAGGTCTGCCTTAAATCCAACTCTCTGCTTCTTCGTAGGTCAAATGAAGGTAATGTTGGGCTGTAAATTTGTGCCTACTGGCAGCAGGAGGATGAACCCCGCGCAGTGGTAAATTTATGCAGTGCAGCCCGACCCACTATCTGTAGCTGCACAAACTTTTTCAATGGTTTCATTGTTCTCTCTTGGTGAAGTATCCTTGAGCAAAAATCAGGTAAACATAGCAGGCTAACACAGACCTGAAGATAGCCTGGGACCAGCTTTTGTCACAAAGAAACAGTCAGCACCAGTGAAAAGGACACTGACTTTAAGGTTGTGGAAGCTGCCAAAATGAAAAATGCCATCAGTGGACACAGGCCCTAAAATACTGACAGCGTGAAAAAAGATCAGATGGCCTGACATAATTTTAATTCCTCAATAATTCTTTTGTTTGGATTCGATCTAGTCCCATAGTTTTGATCTGATTAGATTACTCTAAAGCTGAGACCCTGAACCTCATGGAGTGAGGAGGTTCCTCAAGGGTAGTTTACATGTATGGGTGATTATGCTGTGTTAAACATGTGCCCACATTTTAATTGAAAAGCTTCAGTTTCACTGTGTTAAAACCCTGCACTACACAGAAAAATCCTGAATTCAAAAATCAACAAAAACTGATAGATTTGACTGAGAGTAAAGAGTTTGAACATTTACATATTATTGCCTGTTCAGCAGATATTAGAAGCTTGTTAGTGGTTAAGCCCACTCCCACACTTTTCTCCATATGCCCCTCTCTCCAGCTGATCTGGGCTTGATCTTCTCACCCTTTTACTTACAGGTCGAGTTATCAGGTGATGTTTATGTCTTGCTTTCTTCACATGTGTCTGACCTAATTTTATCCACTCTGCCCTGCCTGTTTTTGTGTCACTTTGGTCCCGTTTTGTCGTTCCACCACAGGTTCTCATTGCTTACTGTGTCCTTATATACTCCAGATGTTTAAACCATACTTCTGAGGCGGTGGGTGTTAACCAGGCTCTAAAGCTTGTTTGTTGTGTTTTTCTCACCTGCTTCAGGTAGGACTTGTGGATTTTGGTATTACTTTAGATAATTCAACTGCAGAGCTTGTTGCAAAATCTTGCCATTTATCTAAATGCTTCTATTTTTTAAAGGAAGGTGCTTCTGTGTGCAAATATTGATAATATTTTATGCAAGGATTGACCCATGAAGTCTATGCATCAAAGAGGTGTCATGAACTTAACTGAAAACAAAAGTTTCTCTTAGGTGAATACTTGAACACCTGGAAACACATTGCTGAGATTTTAATTTCCATTTTTTTTTTAAAGGGTGTTTTGTTGTTGTTGATTTTGTTGTTGTTGTTGTTGTTTTATGTAGACTGTTATGAAAACTGAAAAAAAAAAATTAAAGGTTTCACGCACAAAAGGAAGCTGCTTGTGGAAAAGGGCCCTGAGCTTTTTTTCTGGCACCTGTATGCTTGCAGGGACTCCTAGTGGACATTATCAGTACTGCAGCTAAAGTAATGCACAATAAACAAACTTCAAGGATGGTGATTAAATCTGTGTGCATCTCAGTTTTAACTAAAATCTTCTTTAAACAACTTCAAAAAATGCTTCTATCATATAACAAATTAAAAATGATGAGAAGAAATAGCTCCATATGTTCCAGTGAGAAACTCTTATTGGTATATTAAAAAGCTCTGGTATTGTCAAAACAGATAAAGACTTTTTTTTTTCCTGTGTTTGCTGTGTAGGTATTTTCTTGGACCTCAGGTTCACCTTTTTTGTCCAGTTCTCCCAGCGTTAAGTGTGACACAAGACTAACAGGACCTAATACCAAATGTCACACTGGGTATGGAGCTCCATATGAGGCTGTGTCACCAACTGAATAACAAACATCTCTCCAGCACCACGAGTGCCCAGATAATGCATTATTTACAATGCTCTGTAGCGGAATAGGACTGCAGGGCTTTGACTACCTGCTTTATATGCCAGCTTTGATTTATGGATTATGAATATGATTTATAGATTACAGTGTGCCTGTGCCGGCCTCCATCAACACAGTGTAAAACCAGGACTTATTTTTTAATTCAACCTCTGATGTTAGGTTTCATAAATGCAATAAATCAAACATATTCACACAAAAGTCAAGATCCCTAATTTGGGACCACTCATAAATTATTTTACTATTTAACATAAGTATAGTTTAACTTATAGCACACCATGACAGAGTGAATACCTCAGTTTTAAATATATTTCAAATAATATGAATAATAAAAAAGTCATTCACTCATAATTTTTCTTCTACCTGGCCATTAAAGGATTTAATAAAATCTGTTTTTAGCTCATTCACTTCTAAATTTTGTTGATTTTCAGTTTTATCAGCTCACACTAACAACCCAGAAAAGAAAAAAAGAAGAGAAATCAGAAAAGTTGGTATATTGTGTTAAATGTTTATAGAAATAGAATATAATGATTTGCCAATCATTTTAAATGCTGTATTCACTCAACAGTAGTTCAAACACACATATCAACACATATCAAATGTTGAAAGTGGAGATTTCAAAGGTTTGAGGAAAAATACATGCTGACTTTTAATTCAATACCAGCAACACATTTATTAAGTCAGAACACCAACATTTTTTCCATCCTGCAGCATCGTCTCTTTGTTATAAACCCTCATTTGAGGAACAAGGAGACAAGTTCTGAGTTCCATCCATCCATTTTCTACCTCTTATCCCTGTTCCCAGGGTCGCGGGGGCTGGAGCCTATCCCAGCATGCTGTGTAGGTATTTTCCCAGCATCTTTTGGGTGAAGGCAGGGGACACCCTGGACAAGACGCCAGTTCATCGCAGGGCTGCAAATAGAGACGAACAACCATTCACACCTATGGGCAACCTGGAAGTGGCCAATTAACCTAACCCCACTTAGGCATGTTTTTGGTATGTGGGAGGAAACCAGAGTACCTGGAGTAAACCCACGCAGACACAGGGAGAACATGCAAACTCCACACAGAAATGCCCTGACCTGGATTCGAACCCAGGACCTTCTTGCTGTGAGGCGACAGTGCTAACCACTACAACACTGTGCTGCCCCAGTTCTGAGTTATTAAAGTGAAACATTGTCCTGTTCCTGCTGATGGATTTTAGCTGCTTAACAGCTAAGGATCTCCTCCTTCATACTTTCTGTTTGATGATGGGCCAGATATTTTAGTAGGTGACAAATCTGGACTGCAGACAGGCCAGTTTAGCAAATGGACTCTAAAACTACAGAGCCATGTTACTTCATGCAGAATGTGGTTTGGCGTTGTCTTGTTTGAAAAAGAAAGGATCTTTTTGGCAGCATACATTGCTCTTAAACCCGAATATACTGTTCAGCATTGATGGTGCTTTCTGAGATAAAATTATGACCCTAGCCTTGAACACTCATGCATCTCCATATGAATGCTGGCTTTTGAACTGTGCACTAATGACAAGATGGTCACAGTCTTCTTTACAGCAGAGAACAGGGCATCTATGATTACCAAAAATAATGTCAAATTTGGTTTGTAAAATCACAGGGCACTTCTCCACTTGGCCACAGTCCATTTCTGGATCACTTGTATGGGTATCTTGAAAGGCGCTATACAAATGTAAGATATTATTATTATTATTATTATTATTATTATTATTATTTGGCAGAGTTTTACTGTGCATTTGTGGATTTAACAATAAACTGTGTTCACAAAAAATGGTTTAAATTATATCTTGAGCATGTGAGTCATATTGGTTGTTAAAGCAGTGCCATGTGAGAGACTGAAAAATTCCAGCCATTTTTTCCTCTAAACTTAAACTCTATTTGGTCTTTCTATATGCTCTTTTATCTCTGGGCCTCAGGTCTCTTTTTATGTAGTTTTGTCCCCGCACTGCCTGGGTTCATTCAGAGTTCATTTAGGTTATTGTGTTTTATTTATTTATTTATTTGTCTTTTTTGACATGCTTCTGAGCGTTGTATAATATGCTCTTGGATTTCATTTTTTTTATCATTATAAAGAGTTGATTTTCTACCCTGTCCCTTTTTCAACAAAGATTTCTCCAGAATTTCATGTTCTTATTATTTTATTATGTACATGATTCAAACTAAAATTCTTAATTCAGGGGAGTTTTATCCTGCTGCTGTTGAACTATTTACTCACACAGTTTCTCACAGTGATGGTGAACATCCCATCTCTCCTCTCAGAAATGTCTTTTTCATACTTTGTGATTTTACCCAGCTGTTGTAAATTAACCCATCCATTTATCTGGGCGTTGTTCCCTTCAGGTGTTTTGTTTTTTGGATTACACAACTTTCTCAAGGTTTTGTTGTCCTGATCCCGACATTTTTCATATCAAAACAGCATATCTTCATGAACCATAAAATTTACTGTTTTCCACATTGAATATGATGTCTTTACATTGCTTTTATTCAAATAAAAGGTTTGAGTGAGATGCAAACCATCACAATTTTTGATGTACATTTAACATTGCATCCCAACTTTTCAGGATTTGGGCTTGTAAAAGGTAATCTCTAGATGGCACAATTATTATATTATAGCTGAGATGTTAAACCTACTCACAAATCATGTCATTTTTTCCTTACATAAAAAAGACCTGGTTCGACCACTTATAATCAAAGGCTGTCTATATAATCTATATATAATATAGTATAGAGTATATACACAGTCTATGATTAAAACCATGGGTCACATGGGTAAACACTAAAAACGAATACAATATTTTTCCCTGTTTTTCAAATAGGCAAATAAATTCAGAAACACGATGTGCTGCATCTTGAAAACAAGGAAAAATAAAAAGATGATACAGAAATTTCAATAAAACCTCACATTTACCTGTAACGGGATGATTGAGATATATTCCTGTCTCGTGAGGATGGGAGGGGGGCGTGATGATGGTTGACAGCCTCGCGCGGTGCATCCTGGGACATTTCGCGCTCTTGTTTACAAGATGGTAGAGGAGGATATTTCGCTCTGACCCATCAAGTAAAAGTATTTAAACTGCCAAAGCTCAGCCGGATGAAAGCAGAGTGTCTTTAGATAGTTCAGAGCAGCTTCAAACGGATTCAGACTCCCTGAAGAGGACTGAATGTGGATAAAAAGAGAGTCTGTGTCTCAGACTGGAGAGGGTTTTTTTGCACTGTCACTGACAGTCTGACAGACCAACACGACTATATTCCTGTAAAAGCTACAGGTCAGTAAATGAAGCCGTCCTGTTATATACTCTTCTTTTTACCTCTTTATTATGTTTATTTGTGAGATAATAAGCTAACTGTGAGAGTTAAATCAGGAGAGCTTTATGAAATCAAAGCAGTGCAGTGTCAGCCAGTCTGCTGTCAAGTTTCTGAGAAATCACGGTGATGATGAAATGTGGCCTTTGGCAAATACATTTAATGTAACCTAGAGAAAAACACTTATTTTAACTTCTTGAAACACAGTCTTTCACTGCAGCTCTACTACATGGAAATGTAGGCTTTTAATCTAAATATTCCTGTTGTTTTGAAGTTCTGTCCCTAATAAACAAAGCCATAAAGCAAATACAATCAGTGTGAAAAATACACCACCTGTGAACTGTTGCCTAGCAAGAAGTACAAAAATAAGAGAGGGATATCATTTAAATATACGGAATAAAGTCCAGTTGTTGAGAGTAGTTTAGCTGTTTTGTACATTAAAAAAATGGGGATAAATTGTAATTTTTTTTTTTCAATTTGCGATATTCAATATATTTCTGCCAATATTAAAATACCCATTTAAGTACATCATTAGCCAGCCAAAGGCTGCATCTTCCACCACACTGAAAGGCTGGTTGTTGACAGCTTGATTTCGAGTTGAGTGGTCGTTGCTTTGTTTTTGAGCTTTGTCTGAACATTATTGCTTCAGTTTTTAACTTTATTGAAAAATAAAGCAGCCCAGAGTAGACATCTGATGTAGCGAGAATAAATGCATGGTTTTATGAGAGTTAAGTTGTAATGTCATGAGAATAAGGTCATGTTCCTGGAATTGAAGTTCATGTGTTATTAAAAAAAGCTTTTGTCAATAAAAAGTCTGTATGTTAATACTGTTGTGAAGCAACAACTTTATTTTTGCAACAAAGTTATTTATTCTAATAATATTACAATTTTATTCTTGTGATATCATGGCCTTAAACAGATACTCAAATACCCAGAATTCATTTTCGTTTGTCCTTAATCTCCTAATATTGCAACTTTATTTTTGTTATACCATGACTTTACTCTTACAGTCTCTTTTTTTTCAGAGGATTGTAAACTGGGCCTGCAGGAGGATCCCTAAATCCAGCCGAATGTGAGTCACTTTATTGACCATGTGCTAATCTAGTTAATCTAGTAGCTGAATTTACATTTATGCAACTAGTAGGACTTTTATTCATTAGCTGAGTTGCAGCCTTTGATGTTTTTTCACGTAGAATCATGGATGAAAGTATTGGCACCCCCTTGTTCCAATGCACATAAATGAAATCAACATATGTATACCAAAATCATTTGTAATTGCAACAATTCCTGGGAGAAATGGTGTATTTCCTTGAAAACTCCAGAAGTGCCAATATTTTCGTCCATGACTGTAATTGTAATCTCTGTGGCATCATTCAAGACGGGTTTCCACCAAAAGTATTAAAAGGTTCCCTCAAGCTTCTTTTTAATAAATTGTAATCTGCAGTTCAAGGTAAAGACCTTCACCTTTTCATTTCATGTACCTCCAGGTTTTTTTTTAAATTTGTTGCTTACTGCTGTTTGATAATGAAGTTCACAGGAAAGACCCATCAGAGTATTGTAGACATGAAGGCATGGTTATCAACACACCCATTTGCTCTGCAAATTTTCCAAATATTGATAATACTCAACCATTTTGTAAATGTTCTCTCCAGCTGCTAAACCCAACCACAAAATCCCTTTACTTAATAAGGTGCTACCTTCTGAGCAGGAATCCTTTTTGGTCCAGAGTAAATTGTATATGACTTAAGTTGATCCCTTTGGTGGAAACCTGCTCTAGACCTCTAAAACTTAAAAGTATGCAGTGTTTATCTATTGGCTCTGTCATGTAGTGAAATGTTGTATATATGAACCTGCATTGTTTAACTATCCTACACAGGAACAGAGCGGCTGCAAAGCATCTAATTGAGCGCTACTTTCGGCAGTTAACTGACGGCTGTGGGAATGGCGCCTGCACAAATGAGTTTTGCGCATCATGTCCCAATTTTCGACCTTTGGACAACAATTCAGCAGCAGCCAAAGCGCTTGAGCTGTTTAAGATTAATGCCAAACTCTGCAATCCTCACCCCTCCAAGAAAGACTCCAGTGACAACGAGGACGAGAGCAGCAGTAAGATGAGCGATATCGACCTCTGTGCCTCCAAAGAAGACTTCTCAGGTACCAAAAAACTGATTTGGATTTGATTGCTTGATTGACACATACAAATAATTTGGTTATTTGACTTGAAATTTTTCAATGTCAATTTAATCTAATCAAAATACTTTAGGTTACATGGGGAGGATTTATTGATATTCTGAGCAAATTTGAGCCTTTTCTCATCATATCTCCTTCTATATCTATAAAATACCTGAAATGATCAGATGTACACTGATCAGCCATAACATCATGACCACTCATGGATGAAAGAAAAAAAAAAAGTATTATCTTGTAACAGTCATACCCTGTTAATAGACGTGTTATTTAAGGCAGCAAGTTAGCACTAATTTAATGTGTTGGATCTGAGTCGTGGAAGAAAACGGCCTGAAGGAACTTGAGATTTTTTGGCCTTGCCTTGATGAGCAGGAGGATCTTATGGCTAACCCCTGTATGTAATTAGAAAAAAAACAATAATCCAACTGTTCCTTCCTTAATATAAGATTTTTCAGGGCTTTTTCTCCTTTCAAATGTGCATAAATTAGTAAATGATCACCTGGATATACAAACAATTTTGTTTTTCATTCATTTATGAAGCTTTTATATTTGTACAAGAAGCTGCTGTCCTTCCACAGAGGCTGCCATCATACACTGCCATGTTTCTACAATAGCACATAATCCACAAATTAGTAACATTTGCATTTCTGTTTTTATTGAGTGGATGGTGCACCATATGCACTGGTTGGAAGATATTTTATTTTATTTTATTTAACCTGGAATGTCCCATTGAGATTAAAAACCTCTTTTTCAAGGGAGTTCTGGCCAAGAGGCACCAAAAAGTTACAGTTTCAACAATGGCATACAAATTAGATAAAACAGTTACAGGGTAAGGAGGCTGTCTCAAGTGCTCTCAGTCTGGATTTTAAATCATTCAGTGAGATAAGTTCCATTAGTTTCCAGAGCAAAGATAAAAAGGAGGTGGGGAAAGTTGTTGTAGTGGTGGCTTTTTTCAGCCAAACCTTCTCAGAGGTCATACTTTTTATGTTTGACAAGCACCCATTGTCCTAAAAGGCCATCACTCTACAGACAGCAGGGGTGAGTAGGGGGGCAATTCAGTCTAGAATTTGACCACTGGGACTGTTGGCTCTGCCCAATTATACGCACTGTGCCTTTAAGGAATAATGATCATTCAAGTAAATGTTCCAATCAAAACAATTAAAACCTATATCGCTGATTTTTATTTAGTTAATTAATAAATGTTTTCAAAGAAATTCAAGCAGCCCTCCAGCAGGATTTTTCTTACATTTTCAGACTAAAAGTCCCCCCCCCCAGTTTATTAGCAACACATTTACCCTGTTAAAAATTGCATAATGCCCCTGATTATTATTGTTGAGTTCACACTATTTACGAACTTTTATTTGAGCTTGGTTTGAACGCAACATAACAGTGCCTATAAACTAATTTGTATTTTTCCTCAGATGTTCATTACCTCACAGAGAACACGGTGTGTATGCTCCTGAGTTCCTGTGAGGAGAACGGAGACTACTCAGCTCTTGTACGTGTCATCGGCAAAGTATTTTCCAGCACAGAGTCCCTGATGAAAAGTTTCAGGAAGGATGAACCCAACGCTGCCGAAAACTCTTTGAAGCCAACAGATGTTGACGGGACGGATGGCCAAAGTGAAGACACCTCAGATAAACTGGGTGCTGCTGCTTTACCAGAAGACAGTCCTCAAATGGACGACACTGTGGAGGTTAGCGTGGACATTGAAGCCGTTCGGAGAGTCTATGACAAACTTCTTACCATCGAGCAGGTGGAGGCAGCTCTCGTAAATGCAATCATTTACCTCACTCCAAATATGGAACTTGACCTGGAATACCTTGATGTGTACGAAACAAACCCAGATTATCTGAACATCTTCATCATTGTGATGGAGAACACTAACCTCCACAGCCCAGAGTACCTGGAGGTTGCATTGCCTCAGTTCTGCAAAGCAATGAGCAAACTACCCGTGAAGGCACTTGCAAGATTGTCAAAGCTGTGGTCCAGGTATGAACTCCCCCACATTCGTCGTATGATGGAGACCTTCCAGCAGCTCATCACGTTCACAGTCGTCAGCAATGAGTATGACAGTGAAAATCTGGTAAATGATGACGAGACGGTGGTGACTGCTACTCAGTGTTTAAAAGTTGTCTTCTACGCAAGTATCCAGGCTGGAGATGTGGATGTGGAGCACAACGAGGAGGACGAGGAAGACTCTGAGTCTGATGAGCTCACCTTGCATGAACTGCTTGGTGAGGAGCGACTCTATAAGAAAGGTCCCCGGGTGGACCCTCTAGAGAAAGAACTGGGCGTCAGGCCTTTAGACAGCATAAACCCTCTCATCCCTTTTGAGGACTTCATCAATGAGTCCGTGAATGAGGTGGTGGAGATGGACAAGGACTTCACCTTCTTCAAAGTTAACGCAGAAACCAAGTTTTCTTTCCAGACCTGCCCCTTCATCCTTAGTGTCATCACCAAGAGCCAAGGGCTGTACTACGACAACAGGATCAGGATGTACAGCGAGCGTCGGCTCACCGCTCTCTACAGCATGGTCCAGGGTGAGCAGCCAAACCCATATCTGAAACTCAAAGTACGCCGAGATCACATCATCGACGACGCCCTTGTCAGAGTGAGTTACAGCCTGTTATGTTTCTGTTGCATTTGTCAGGTTAAAGGTTTTATTACCTGAATTCATGTGCTATAAATTCAACTTCAAAATCTTTCTTTGTCCATAGCAGCACCCTGTAGGAATGTGGAACAACCGCCAGGTGGTAGCTGTAGCACACCTGAAAGGTTTTTGGTAATTGCCATTAAATAACACAGCAGAAGAGTAGACAAGAGGTGCACAAAAAAGTAGCGCTGTAAAATGCAGTGCAGAAGAGAAATGCAAAGCTTTCCTGCAGCTATCAGAGATTTCTGTGGAGAGTGTCTGAACAAATAGACAAAAATGAGGTTAAGGTCAAACTGGCACACCTGGGCTGCACATCACATTAATTTCTGCTATTTTTATACATATCACTTCTGCATACAAATCACATGCAAAGGGTCTATTTTATCAGCTGAAGACATCTCTCATGAATGCTGTCATGATGGAAATAGGTTAAGGCCCCGTTTATACGTACCTGATTATTTTAGAAAACTGAGACGTTAACCATCGTTTGCACCCTTCGTTTAGAGGCAAATGGAGAATTCGCCCCTGAAGCGATGCTTTTTAAAAACTCTGGCCAGAGTGGAGATTTTGGAAAACTTTGTTTGCACATTTGCGTGTAAACTGAGAAAAACTGAGGTAAACAGAGATTTGGGTAGCCAACGGCAGATTGTGTGCCAGAAACTGCGTTAAATGCAATGTTGTTTACAATCTAAAGTCTATGTTTACAATCTATCATGATCATGGATGCATGCAGAAAAGAAGTCGCATTTATGCTGGTGCAATCCTTTTGTATTTGTTTGCATTTGCATTTGCATCTTTTCCAAAAGAAGGAAGTGACGTTGTTGTTGTTGTTGTTGCTGCTGCTCTGTGGGATTCCGATTGGTTAAAATAGGCTTGAGCCTCTCACTACACTGCTGCCTTCAGGTTTGGCATGCTCTTGACAGCATATATCCACAGGTTAGTGCAAACGAAAACTTATCTAAAAACGTAGTGGTGTGCACATGTTTTTTTTTTTTTTTGTAAAAGGAGAGGGTGAAATGTCCATTTATGAAAATAGCGGGGCACATGTAAACATAGTCTGAATGTTCTGTTCTAAAGAATCCTGAATCGCACATGCTTTACCAATGAAATCTCAGTACTTCTGTGTTTGTTAATGAAGTCAAATCTTCACCATGTTTTTCAGCTGGAGATGATCTCCATGGAGAATCCGTCCGACCTGAAGAAGCAGCTGTTTGTTGAATTTGAAGGAGAGCAAGGTGTGGACGAGGGAGGTGTTTCCAAGGAGTTCTTTCAGCTGGTATTGGAGGAAATTTTTAATCCAGACATAGGTGAGACATGACTGTTGACATTTTTCTCTTTTATTATGACTTTGAAGCCATGCTAACAGACAGTGAAAGGATGATTAATGGCATGTTATTGCCATCATGCCCGATAGGGATGGGCGATATTGGCTAAAAAATTTATCACGATAAGATTTGCCATTCTGGCGATAACGATAAAAGTCCCGATAAAAAATTTTGTAATCCCAATCTATATTTTTGACTCATATTGTCTCACGAACACCAGTTGGAATAAGATACTTAACCACAAGTTTGAATGGTAGGTTATGGAGAAAACAAATGACATCAAACAAATCTGAAATGTGAAAACATTTTCAACATTTGTGAAAACTCTCGTCACACAGAGTGGACAGCAGCAGATCCACTGTCCGATGTCAGGCATACCTGATTGAGCTCGTCTAAGCCCCAATCTTGAAGGAAATCTCTCATGTGGAGCATCGTTCATAACGAGCTGCTCAGAAACCTCTCCTTCATTACCTTCGGCCATGTTTGTTTGTTATTCTGCTCTATGTGGGCTATGGCTGTCATCAACTTTCATTTATCCTATTTATCATGAGATGGCAAATATTTATCATGGAGGATTTTTCTGATGATTTATCGTGAACAATAATTTATCGCCCATCCCTAATGCCCAACATACAAAGGAGAAGCTGAAAGTGGCCTTAAAGGCATCAAAGGTTAGAAAACATGTCCACCAGCATCTCTGAACCTCTTGTTTAGTTGTGGTTATAACTCCACAAGGACAGCGAAGTGTAGATACATCAAGTTGTTTCATAAAGGGTTTGATGTTAGACAGTTTTCTGCTCTCTGCTTGACATCTCTTGGTAAAAGCAGCATTACAAGTGCCTTCTGTACAGAGTTAACAAAAAAAAACTTGTCAACTTCAAAGGGTTGGTGCTAAGCTAGTAAGTGTGGTTTCATGTTTGATAAAGTGGTACAAGTGTGTTGCTTTAATCTAGTGTTGTTTGTTTCTGGATGAATTAGAACCCGCACAGACATCTTTCTTTCGGTCTCATTTTTACTTCCTGAACAGGAATGTTCACCTACGACGACAGCACTAAACTCTTTTGGTTCAATTCCTCTTCCCTGGAGAACGAAGCTCAGTACACTCTTGTCGGACTCGTTCTGGGGCTGGCCATTTACAACAACTGCATCCTGGACGTACATTTCCCCATGGTGGTCTACAGGAAGCTCATGGGCAAGAAGGGAACCCCCTCGGATCTATCAGACTCACACCCAGTACAGTAACTCCCTCCATAATTAATACATGCTGAAAGACACTGCCTCAGTTCTGTCCCACATTTTTAGGATTGGTTGGGTTTGTCAGAAAGCCTCCCTCACTTTATCAGTACATTTCCTTAACAGAAGATGGTCGAACTGTCCCTGAGCTCTACTTAATAAGTGAAAGGACATCTAATGTGCTGAATTTCCTCCATTTTTATGGGTGGTTGTTTTTGTTGGTGCACTTGAAGGCTGTTGAGATTCGGAGTGTGCTCCTGTTTTGCTTGTTGCCAAAAACCATTCCTCACTCTTTGATCAGTGCATTTCCTTAACAGGGGTTGTTTTTCTCTGTTCTTTTTGCAGAGCCTTTACCAAAGTCTGAAGAATTTGCTTGAATATACCGGGGATGTAAAAGACGACATGATGCTGACTTTCCAGATCTCACACACGGACCTTTTTGGGAACCCGGTCTTACACGACTTAAAGGAGCAGGGAGAACAGATCCCTGTTACCAAGGAGAATAGACAAGTAATGTGTCTGAAACAACAACAACAATATACTGTGTGAAATACAAATAAGTTTACTGACAGGGTATGATACTCATGTTTAATTCTGCCTCCTTAACGTAACACATAAAAAGATATCTGACACTTTCTTCTTTAGGTCTTGAGAAAGTGTCTTTGAGATCCATTTCTGACCTGCTGATCTGTCTTGAAATTCTTGCAGTATATTCATACATTTACAACTCAAAGTAACAGGAGCTTGAAGTAAGGGTGTCCCAATACAACTTTTTGACCTCTAATACCGATATTGTAGCTTTCAATATTGACTGATACAGATATTGATCTGATATTGGCACAAAATTGTGCATGACAAGTTTTTCACTCAGCTGCAACGTCTTTTACAGACTTAAATAAAAGATACTGCCACACGGCTGACATCACTCTTACTCCTTGCTACTTTGTTAGTACCGTCTATCTGCGAGATAGAGGTGACGGAGCTGAGTCTGGAATGGACTGCTTGTATCAGAGTGCTGATATCAGAGATTATGGATGCAGGGCAATATAATGCTTTTTTTTTGCTGATATTGGACCGATATCCAATATCAATATCGTATCAGGACACCCCTAGCTTGAGGCACACAGATTGAGAGGAAATTATATAGCTGCAGTTTTTTAAGATGACACTCTGCATTTCACTTAAAATACCCCGATTCAGACTTGATTCAAAATCTTAATCTCTGCTAATGAAAATCATTTGTTTTTACTTTATTTATGAAAAATGCAGAAAAAGGACTGATTGCGGTGTATTTCTTTCCCTTCTCCAATCCACAGGAGTTTGTGGACCTTTATGCTGATTACATACTGAACATGAGCGTGGAGCGACAATTCAAAGCCTTTAAGAAAGGTTTCCTCATGGTCACAAATGAGTCCCCGCTCAAGTATTTGTTCAGACCTGAGGAAGTCGAGCAGCTTATCTGTGGAAGCAGGGTGAGGAAACAAGGCTATTTATTTGCAGTTTATGTTTGCTAAAGATAATTTTTGATAACAAAACAATTGAAAAGTTTATTTACACTTTCAACCCTTTTCAACCTTTTCAAGACAAAGGAGAGACTGGTACAAAAGGAATAAATAAAAAATAAACACAGTGGTTTCTGAAATAACTTAAAACTGGCAAAAAATAATAAGAAATATTAATTTACCAAACATTGACTCATGAAAATCAAAATGCTTTTGAATTGTGGCTCAACAGAATCATATAAGTAAGAAGGATGACTTACAAAGCAGTCTCTCTGGATTTCACAGAAACTCGACTTTGAAGCACTTGAGAAAACCACAGAGTATGACGGCGGTTACAGCAAAGACAGTCAAATAATCAAGTGAGTCTGACTGATGCATTTATTCCACTCACTCATGCACCCTTTGACTCACTTTCTGAAGTTGCAAGAAGATTTCATCAGGCTGTAAAAAGTCTTCTTTTTCTGCAAACAGAGATTTCTGGGAGACGATTCATTCATTTGGAGAAGAGCAGAAGCGGCTGTTTCTTCAGTTTACCACCGGCACAGACAGAGCACCAGTTGGAGGGCTTGGGAAATTAAAAATGATCATCGCCAAGAATGGGTCTGACACAGACAGGTACACAACAATGGGCTGTCAGGAGGTTTAGTCAGATTTTGGCCTTGGCCTCTTTAGTTTTAGGGAGTTAAAACAGGGCATGTTCCTTATCTTTTATGACCAAAACAGTCTAAAAATACCCTAAACTGACACTGTGATGCTTCTCTGTTGTTTTGTCCTTGCTCCAGTCAAACAAATACGTTTCGAAACACCCTGTACTCACCTGAACACACATGATAAGCTTGTTTCTGTTTGCGTTTGTCCCCTTTTTCGTGCCAAACCCAGCAGTGCTCTAACTTTTCTTTCTTTACTTTCCTGCAGGCTGCCAACTTCTCACACCTGCTTTAATGCACTGCTGCTCCCAGAATACTCCTCCAAGGAGAAACTGAGGGAGAGACTCCTCAAGGCCATCACTTATGCCAAAGGATTTGGGATGCTGTGACGGATCCAGTCAGAAAGTTTTTCGATTTTAGTTCAAACAAAGGGAGATTAAAGGAACGCTGAGGGAAATGACATGAAACAAATGCTGCAATAAACCTGTGCCTAACCAGCCTCATACGCCGCTCTCAGCCTCTCACTCCAAGGCCTTAAATCCATTGAGAGGCATTTTTTAAAAGTGCTGAAGTAGAAAAAAGTGCCGGTATACCCCCCTTATTTAAATGTTGGTGTGTTGTGCAGCTATTATAAGTAGATCATTAGTATGATGCTCTAAATTTCTATAGTTAACAAAGGATGGCAGGAGATAATGCGGATCTTCACAACATACATACATACATTCAAACAAAGAAACTGCATCATCCTGCTCCAGTCAGATATTGGTGCTCTTTTGAAGCAAGGCCGACCTTTCTTTCATCCTATTTATTACTCAGAGTTTTCTCACATTTCAAACTCTGCAGAGATTTGCACACAGGGTCCAAAATTAACTTTTTGACTCACTTGCCCAGGTGGGAGGTAGTGAAAATAATCTATAAATTTACCAATTACAATTTTGTGTCACATACACATCCATTTTAGCACATTAAATCAAGGTGGTAAGGTGTTACGTTGAGTACAAACATCAAGAGGAGGCGAGAGGAGAATTAATTTAAAGCTTGTGTGGAATTTTTGACAAAATAGATAAAATAGACTGAAATTCATATTAATGCTTTTTTATGATATCCAAACAAAGCAAACAAGACCTTTAGGGACAAGATTATCGAGATTTTTTATCAAGATTTTAAACCTGAAACTGTTATGGGGGGTCTGACCAAACAGCCCTGTTTTTACAATTACCACATAAATATATCTCATTAAAGATATATCAGCAGGATAAGATCACTTGTCGGGAGACACTGTTAAAGCATGAAGAGGACAAGATAAGCAAGGACTGCTTTGTTGACAGGGGTTGCTGTAATGGACACAAACTTAAAGTTCCTCACAGGGAAGGGCTTTGGCTAATCATACATCATACTTTCATACTTTTCAGAAATTACATCTATTTATGTCATTGCGTGTTACTGCTGATTGCATAACTATTGTAAATTACCATATATACAACTCTGTTTGCAAAATTTAGTTTTGCACTGCTCCACATAAATCCCACTATATTAAATGTAGCAGTCTGTGATTCTTTTCCTCACAAAAACTTGAATGTGCTCGTTACGCTTTGAATCCTCCCTTGGAAAAAACAGTGATATCAGGCCTTTGGTGATAATAGAAAAAAAAAAAAAACACTTAAATGCAGAGCTATGTGAAAATGAACAGTAAAATGGAAAAATCCACATGCACTTCTGTATGTGGCAGGTGTTAATTTTGGACCCTGCTTTCATCTTTGCACTAATTTACACAGACAAGTGAGCATCACATAAGGAATACAAAAGATCGTAAGCATTAGCTAGTGCGCCATGTGAGATGTCTTTTTGGTGCTATCATGAATCATCAGGAGGAACTGTACTACAAAGAGGACAGGAGGGGGTACTGGGTGCTGGTAGGAGGTCTTGTGGGTCCTTTTTGATTTGTTAAACTGTGAAAGTGCACTTACACACATGAGTTTTAGTGAATGTCAGCACATGCAGTATATTTATTTGTTTGGTTTTTAATGTTTTGTTTTTCCTCTTAGCTGGAAGCACACAGTTTTCAGTCTCTGTCCTCATGATTGAGTGAACTGATTAATGGTGCTCCTGGTTGAGATTGTCACTGTAGTGAATTGAAGTGAAGCATTTTAAAAGTAGCAGCACTGACAAGCCAATATTTAAACTGTCAGTGTAAGAACAAGGATAACTCACAGCTAACCTGAGAGTTATTTTGAAGTATTTCTGAGTTGATTTTCCTTTTAAATCTGCACCGTGTGTCATGAAAAAGTGAACCCGACTTCACAGTGTGGTTGTAATAGCTTGCTGGTTTTCATAATGTACTGTACTTAACTGACTGGTCGGTTTAAGACTTCTCACATCCTTTGGTTTGTTTGCTATGAAGTGCTTTCTGATTGCACATTTGTAAGTGAAGTTGCCAAATGTGCAATGTTTGCATAACCGGAAAGAGTCATATGAAGTGTTTTGTTTGGCCACATATCTCAGGTACATAAAGAATGTGCTGATAATGTGAAACTCCTACGTAAAGCAAATATTATGCAAAGAAAATAAAAGAGAAAAATTAAACGTGTCGATTGGATTGATTAAATGTTCACCAAGAATGAGAAGGAAGCTTGAAGCCACATATCATAATCCTACCAGCAATGAGGAAGTATTCACGATGTTAGAGAGGTAGAGCTTCAGAATAAATTCATAGTTGTATATATTGTCATTATGAGCCCATGCAGTGATTTCAACTAGAGTTATGTCTGATGTTCACTTAGTACTAACTAAGGGCTCAAAATTCACAACTACCCAGTATAAGGTATGAGCCTTGACCCCTTTGAACAGAAGCTGGGAAAATTGGCATTGTTGAAACATTAGCTCACGCGGCCCTTCACAGTGTGGTGGACATCCTCATCCTTACCTCTTGGGGACTCAACCTCTCTGTGGAACACGCTCATCATTCCAAGTCAGATCACTCACTAGGTGCAAATTCATCAACCTAGTTTTGGAGGTGATACAGATTTTTCTAATTTGGCATTACAGAACTTTTTATCTTGTTAATTTTGCCTAAACTGTTGACAGATGTGCTACTGATGTCACATTTAAAATAAGCACACATTTTGTATGAAATAACATTTTTGATGTAGTCTTGGACCTATTTTTCAGAATATATGGAGTTTAAATTGTCTGCAAACCATCAAAATTCCTATCAACATTGTATTTAGTTTCTTAACTTATCTTTGGAATTGGGGTTGTAAGCCTACATAATTTGATATTTCCTTGAGTTTAAAGAATGCACTTAAGTAAAAATAAAAAATATATCCTTGTCTGAAGAGTTAAAAACACTGGCCTTTTCTGTCCACTAGATGACACTGTTGATCAGATTATGCCAGAGAATTCCCTTTTTGTACAGAAAGAGTGAAGCAAAGAGACTGCAAACTATCTTCCAAAATGGCTGACATACCAAAAATACAGTATCATATGGATATCTTTTTATTTTATTTTTTTGCATCATAAATAGGACATTTTTTTTCATTTCATTGATTTTACAGGGACTTGTGTCAGAAGTTGTAGTAGATGCTACATCCAACAGAACTGGAATACATAGATTTCATTATGATTCTACAATTCTCTCCATTAAGAGCAGACAGTACAGTAAAACAGGGCGTGTGTGAGTAGGTACACTAAGCTGACACCCGTGGAGCTGCAGTCCTTCCATCTTGTGTCACCCCTAAAACAACTGTTATGGTCCAAACATGGCTCTGACACAAAAGTTATCTCTGAAGAATACCATCCTTATTACTGTAATTATTGTGATTGTTGCACAGTCACCTTCACTAAATATAGATGACATAAACTTTGTGAAGAAATGGCTTAACAAACTTCCAAATAATTTTCTCACTTCTAAACTCTGCCCTCTGTCACTGAAAGGAAAACCAGCTGAAAGAGCACTCTGATGAATTTATAACAAAGCTTATGACTAGATATTTCACTCTGCCTTTTTGTCTACAGCTGATGAAACTCATTTTAAAATTATGAAGGAAATTCATAACGAATTCCCCACACAAGGATTCTACATTGAGAAGAATATTTGTGTGTTTTGTTATTCTGATATTGAAAAATTACATCTGTTTTTTGCTTATGGATATACCAGATCCTTCTGGGACTCATGTAAGACATGGATCTCTGGAAAGGACTCTCAGTTACCATGTTCAGAATGTAATCATTCTGAATATGGAATTTGTATGAAGGCACAAAAAGGGGAAATGGTGTACGACACTTTGAATTTCATAAACCTACAGGAGTGGAGAAACTTTAAAAATTATCTGTATTGTATTTTCTTTAATGAGTTTAAAACGAAATAGAGAAACTAAGGGGAAAAAAAGGTCATCAGACACTGTGTATAACAACATTTATTAACATGTAACATAATAATTTACATCTGATAGTGTATGCTGATAATAACTTAAAAAGAAAACTGCATATATGTATTTCATACATCCACATACAGTACCAAAATGATACTCTGATGCTGTATTTTTCATTAAGAATAAAAAACTTCAATACTTATCAGGAAAAAAACACCCCTCCTTATTCTACGGCTTTAGAAAGCCATATTTTTGCATACACAAGTGCTTCTGATGAACATCCTCAAGAAGTTCATGACAACATGAAATTGTCATAAATATTTTCAATACTGTAAAGAATACACAAAAATATGCATTTCTGCATTAGCTGTACATGTTTTGACACATGATGATAATATGAACAGAGACGTACAAATAGATACAAACATGGGCCTTTAAAAAGAGTTGCTGTACTTTTCTACATGAAAATTCCTTCATTCCCTTCAAAGTCCTCCAGTATCTTTGAATTTTATTGTACTTTTTTGTCTTTGTCGGCCATCACTTCTGACAGATCCTCGGGTTGTATGGATTTCACTTTGGCTTCCATCTGTGTGACTCTCTGTTTCATCCTTGTCTGGCTGGAGGTCAGCTCCGCCATCAGCTTGGCAAAATTAGTCTGCAGGTCGTCCAGGTTGGTCTGCAGTTTGACAATCTTCTCCTCCAGGTCTTTGGGATCTGCACCGGCATTGGCGACAGCTTCGTCGATCAGGTTATCTTTCATCAGGATAGCTTTTCCCTTCTCCTCCAGGGCTTTTTTGGCCTCTGGGTACTCAGTGAGAGCTTCCATCAAGTCATCTTTGGACAGGGCAAAGAGATCAGAGTAGCCCACACTTCTGATGTTGGCTGTTCTCCTGTTACCGGCTTTACTGCCTTTGATACCCAAAATACTGATTTCTCCAAAGTATGCACCATCACTCAGCACTACAAACTGAGTGACACCATCATCTGCCACCACAGCAAGCTTCCCCTCTTTGATGATGTACATCTCCCTGCCAATATCTCCCTTCTTACAGATGTAATCTCCAGGACTGAACACTTGTGGCTGCAGCTTGAGCACCAACTCAATGAGCAGACCAGCTTCACAATCCTGGAAAATGCGCACTTTTTTCAGAGTGTCCAAGTGGACGTTGATGGCGATCTCAGCCCTTAGCTTGTCTGGGAGGTTCTTCAAAACTTCCTTCTCATCGCAGGTCTTTTTCTCCGTCCACAGGTAGTCAAACCACTTGATGACCCTGGCCTCCAAGTCTTTGGTGACCTTTCGAAACTGCATGTACTGCTTAATGGAGTCGATCTTTGCCTGGAACTCAGCACGAGAGGCGTTCATGTTGGAGATCATGGCACCGACATTACCGACGATACTAGCAAAGATGAGCACACCAGTGAGGAAGTCAGAAATCACAAAGAGGAATTCCACATCCCTGACAGGCGGAGGCGTCTCTCCGATGGTGGTGAGGGTCAATGTGGACCAATACAAAGAGTAGATGTACTTCCTGGCAAGGCGGCCGTGCTCTGGGTGACTTATATTAGGATACACCCATGTATCAGTACCAAAACCAATGGTTTTTGAAATGGCAAAAAACAAACAAGCATTCCAGTGGATAATGACGAGGATATAAAGTACGAGGTTGCTGATTCGAAACATGTTAGGGAAGCTTGTTCGGGTTTCAGTCCGCTCAAAGAACTCAAAAAGCCTGGAGATTTTACACAGACGGTTGAATCTGAACTCTGGGTTGTTATATCCAAATTTCAGAAACAGCAGGTCAGTAGGGATTATTGAGATCATATCATATTTGAACTGTGATGTCGTTCTGTATTTATCCCTCAGTTTCTTGGCGTCTTTTACGAGCAGGCCTTGTTCCAAGTAACCTATAGAGACAGACACAAGATGTGAAAATGGAAAACTAAAATAACTGTAAAGGAGAGAATGTAAATTATGTCTTTCATTACTCAACAAACAAATATTCCACCTGTTCTTGATCTGACGAATGTGTCTCCATAGTAGATGAAGTCTGCGGTGTAGTCTAGGACTATCCAGAGGTTTGTATACGTGTCTTGGAGTTCATTAAAACAGGCTCTGAAAGGAAGGCGGAGAAAACGATTAATAATCTGGGCACGTATCACTGGTGAATGACAGATTTTAACAAAAAGTTATGAAGAAATTACCTTGTTACAATCATCATTAGATTGTAAAATACCGGGCCTGCAATGACGGTCAGCCACCTGTAGTACTGGTCTGCGGCTGGATCCATAATCCAGATTTCTTTCCTATAGAAAAACTCAATATAAATTCTATTTGTCCCATTTGTTTGTTCTGATTTTTGATACTCAGTTTTGGACATATTTCACTTTACTTACGGTGGCTCCTCTTTCTTTTTATCATCTTTTTTATCATCCTTCTTATCATCTTTTTTCTCGTCTTTCTTCTCATCTTTTTTCTCATCTTTCTTCTCATCCTTTTTCTCATCTTTTTTCTCTTCTTCCTTTTTGTCGCCATCTTTCTTCTCGTCTTTCTTCTCCTCCTCCTTTTTATCATCTTTTTTAATCTCGTCTTTTTTGCTAAGGACCACAAGTTTGGTTTATTTGGTGGTAAGAAACGAGCCGAGGTGATCTACGTGGGTTTATTGGAGGGCTACAGGTCTAAATGTAGGGTCTAGTGAAGGTTTCACAGTCAAGGACTTTGAACTAAAGGATTTGTTGGTGGATCAAGGCAGATCAGACATTTGTCCATTGGATAGCAACGTAGTAAAGACAAAGTTTCCACACTGTCCAGCTTGGGTTCAATCAACACAGCAAGGATCAGAGGCTTTAGCAGGCTACTGCGAGGGGGTAAAAAAGGGATAAGGGATTGGAGGCTACGCTAAATCCAGGATTTCTATGCTCTTCAATAAAGAATAGGATTACCTACACAAGGTGCTATTAATGTCTAAAAACACCAATAAATATGTTTTACTAACTATATAACTCTATTTTATTCTATTTTCTCATACATATATGTGCACACTTACTCGTCTGTGTTGTTGCAGTTATTCATGTTGTATAGAGCCAGCGGCCACTTACTTGCTAGACTTTAAAAAGAAAAAGAAAATGGTTTTTCACATGTTCAACCATCTCAGTTCTTTCCTTGGGTCTTGATGCTAAAAACAAAGGTTTGGAAACAACATACCAACCAGACCTCTTCTGGCACAAATTCAAATATAACCCTCTCCTTGACCCTTTCACTATCTCTCCCCCTGTAGTCTAGGGTTGTTTTTCTTTATTTGTTTCTGTCTGTCAGGAAAGGCCTTGAGGGATTCATTGTGCCCACTCAGTACAGCAGATGTCAAAAGAAGAGTCGCCAAATTAAAAGCCAGAAGTTTTACCACACAAAGTGCAACAAAATCTATGCAGTACATAAACCATCTTATCATATGCTGTTGATGACGTGGTCCTTGAGTTTGACAAGTCATTAAGCTCTACGGGAGACACAGAAGTTTCTCAAATCAAATTTCAGATGCCTAATTATACTCTGCCCATCCTATAAAACCACATTTCACTGCTCACAGTTAGATAGATTGCAGTTTTTATGTCTTTTCCTGTCCAAATATTTTTGTTAACTTTAAGCTGAGCTTCATCTGGAATGACAGGCCAACCCGACCATGAAACAACATTTGCTGTCAGTAAGTTGCTGGCGGGTAGAGTTGATCTTTTTTCACTTAAAATCTTATTAATAATCTCTGCATTAGTTACTTGTGTCTTTTAGAGTAGATTTTAAGGTTCTTTTATTAGTTTTTAAAGCTCATCATGGTCTTGGTCCTTCTTATTTGTTTGATTTGCTTTTACCATATGAGGATAGTAGAGCCCTCAGGTCTTCAGGTAGTGGTCTTTTAATTGTTCCCAAAGTAAAAACTAAAACATATGGTAAATCACTGTTCCAACATTACGGTCCCCATCTGTGGTAAACTACAGACCTACCTTTTTAGTCTGACTTTTAGTTGAATTTTGTTTTAATCTTTTAATCTGCATTATGTGATTTTACGCTATTTAGTTCTGGAGTAATTATTTTGTGTTTTATTACCTCTTTTTTTTTTTCTTCTCTCTTTTATTGTTTGATTTGAATACTTTTATTTAATTAACTTTTAACACTTTATCACCTTTATTATATTTTATCATGGTTTTTAGTCCTAGATCCAGTGTTTCCTCATCTTTTTTAACTCAAGATAGCGTTTCCTCAGTCATCTGTGGCAAGTTGAAGAGTCCTCACCTGCTCTTTTGTGTGTGCAAGTGTGTGAGTGCTGTATGTGTTGAATGGGGGTTGGGAGGGTGGGTGGGGTTTGGTATTTGTATTTGTATTCATTTTTATTGTTTTTTAATATGGACAGAATGGGCAGCACTTTGTGCTACATTTAATGTATAAAAAGTGCTTTAAAAATAAAGTTTGATTGATTGATAATGAAATATTTTATACACTTGGAGAGCTACATGATCTTACAAAAAGGGAAGATTTAGTATGACTAAATAGCAACACTTGACATATAGCTTGATGTTATTTTTTTCTGATTTGCTGTTACAATACTTAAAACTTGAAGCATCAATGTAGAGACACTCACACCTCTGTGCCTGTGCAGAGACTTGGTGAACAAGAGTTAGGTTGCTGGAAAGACTGTTTAGTACGTGTAGATATGATGTGTAAGCCCATGAACGCATACCTAAGGTAATCGTGGAGCAGTGGCTAGATTTATGAAAATTTGTGGGCATGGCAAATTGAGTGTAAAAGCCACGCTCACCTGCCATACCTCTATTTGTTTCCAGGCTCAGATGGGTACCTGTGTATCACATTTAATGATTCAACTAATAATTTGACCCCTTTGAAAAAACCACTTCCTGTTTGATAGTGAATTGTGTATCATGACGGTAAATAACATAGAAATATGTGGACTTCAGGGGAGTACAGTAAGGCCTTGGGATAACACATGTTGAGGAATTTTTGTCCATTGGGTAAGGATTTGACAGCGGATTTAAAGCAGTCACTATCTTTTTCCAGCAGGTGGTGCCATGCTTTTTTGGAAATTTCTCAAAGATGGATGAGTTCAAACCAAGACCTTATATGAGCTCCCTCAGTGCACAAGCCTGAATAAACTTGATAGTATTTTTTACATTCATCCAAAAATCCATTCCTAAAAAATGTATTGATATTTAGGATTTCGTGTGACAAGCAGGCTCTGTCAAAAGAGCAACATTGAATTGTAAGCTAGTTGTAAGCTAGTAGTTCCCTAACTCAATATTTGTGTGAACTTATCTTTGAAACTCACAGGAAATGACATGTATTGAATCATAACTGCAATCAAAACCCACACTTTAGCTAACTGTTAGTTACTCTAAACTCTGATTCTCTCAAAATATCTCTGAAAACAAGAATTGATCTCTCTGATGTAGAGAGACAAGTTATATCCCCTGATGGGATAATACTGAAACATGCGCTAGAAGTATTTTTGTTAACTTTTCTTTAAAGTTATGGCAGGGAATTACACCTATCTAACAGCTAGTGCTTTGGAGTGAGTCGTTAATCTGCAAAATGGGCTGTACTTAGCCAACTTGCTAGCTAGTATGTCCAAACTCTTTTTCAAAATATCTGAGATGAAATATTAATCTCTGTGATGGTTATAAAAGTCTGTACAATGATGTTTGATTTAGGGAAACAAGCGAAACCCTGTATTTATTGCAACTTGCAGATAATGTGACTTAAATGTTACTATAGTATAAATATTGATAAATATAGAATTTTTAATTAAGCATAAATATAACACCACTTCACTATAAGCATGTGGCAAAGATGGTGCTCTTCTCAGTGAAAATATTTGCTGATATATTTATTTATCTAATGACATATGATCTTCATATCTCTTGGCAGCTTCATATTGCACCTTTAAGCAATACAATCATGTTACAGATTTGATCAACTGCCCTCATATACTGTAGACCATGCCTGAATACTCTGATTCACACAGACACAAGTCGCACCATCTTCTGAAACTCTGTTCATCATTTTCTATCTCCATTCATCTCAGTTTGACTCCCAAAGCTCTGAAGAGGAAAAAGTCCTTTATTTTGGATTTATCATCCTCTTAGGTGTCGTTGTTTCATATTTTCAAAAGATCAAAAGGTGGTCACCATAGCAACTACCATAGGAACCAGTACTTACTTTCTCTTGCGGACTGTGTCGTTGTGGCCCACAGAGTGGGTGTTGCTGTCTCTACTGGAGATGTCTTTGAGCTCAGGGCCTCTGAAGCGCTCCAGAAAAGAGTCATGCCTCTCTGTTTCAGGGTTTACTCTGTGAGACGCCCAGTTTTGCAGCATGAAGAAGATGTAAGAGATCCTATAGGGTTAGCAGGAGGTAAAACAGAACAAAGTGACACCCGTCTAGGACTATTGGTCAACTGGTTTAGAAGACATGGGCACAAACTAGCCAGAAAATGTACAGCAAACCAAATCTCCCAAGAATCACTCCCTAATGCAGATACACACAACATGATAATTATAACATTGTTTCACCCTTATCAAAGCCTGAAAGGTCTGATCCAAATTTTGCAAAATTTAAATTTAAATCATCAGCTGATATCCTGAGTGGCTTAGCACAATCATCTTTTCTCAAACTGATTTTAACAGTAAGGTGATTTGTGTATAACGATTTCTTCGATAGATTAAAATCAAACTGTATCTTCTGAGTTTAAAGTGAAGGACTTGGGCAACTTGGAGTGCAAATGTTGGGGGACAGTTACTAACAACACTCATTAGAGTTAAAGATCTAAATGAACTTGAAGCTACAAACAGTGGGGTGGGTAGTCACATACTATACACAAGGGGAAAAATAGTACAATCCTGTAGTATATGCTACTACAAGTAATTCCCTTAACCAGTCTCTGACTGATAGAATGTTTTCAACCAGTGGTTCTCAAATTGTCTGATAAATTTCACTGACAATATGATGATAACATTTGTATCAATATTTTGGACTCAATCTTTGTTTTTGAGGAATATTGAATTATTCTAAAAGCTTTTTTACTTTTGTGAGCCTCAGAAAATCATTAAACTAGAACCATGTCTTTACAAAAGTTCACTAAAGGGTTGGTGACATAATGCTGTTTTCCTATATGCTTAACAATTGAACTATATCACAACTACCGTATTAATATTTGTAAAATTCATATCAGACTAGGAGGGAAACATGTAGAGCAGAGAAAATGTCGTGACTAAAAGAGAAATATCTTAAAAGCAACCCTTAAGTGAATGCTTAGGGTTTAGTCCACCTCCTGGTAAATGCTATAGTAAGTTTAAAAGTAACACTGCAAAGGTTTACCTGGCCATGGCCCCTGCCCCTGTAAATAAGCTTCTGTGGGTTTCTGAGGACAGCGCTGTCTCGCTGTTTTCTTCACAGAGGGAGTGAGGCCTGGAAAACAACAGGTTAAACAAAGTAACTGAAGATTATGCCATCAGAACAGTACCAGGTGATATCCATGTGCCACAAAAGTCTTTGAGTCGCAATAAGACAACTGCACGAGGCACTCAAATTACACACATCTTTGAGGTAAGCTTAACATTTTCATAGTGACATCAAACCTGCTGTCCCCATTTTCAACGACACCCAGCTCTTCATCAGGTGACCTGTTTGACAACCGTTGTCTTGATAGAAAAGATTTTTCACTCCCAAGTTTTGCCATATTGTTGTTTTTGGCTCTGCTGGCCTGCAGCACACAGACAGTGACAAAAACACACCATTAGACTGCAATGCTACGTGGTATACAACAGATTTCACACACACACCATGTAAAATACAAACTTTTTCTAATATTGATTTGCTGATGTGATTGGTGAACATCATTTTTCACTGTCTGAGAGTAGCACCTAAAAATATACCCTCCTTAGTCCTTAACACTAAACAGGATCAGTGCCCTCTGTGAACGCTCAGCTGGTTTTTAAAATAACTAAGCTATGGCTTACAGGTAGACTGTGGTTGCTATGTTCAGTTGTGTGTACAGCAGGTTAATTCTATTAGGGCACCACTTAAGGCACAAGCCAAACTGTTCAAGGCTGAGACTGATGACTCTTTCCAGCTTTGGACAAAGTCCGGAGAAACAGCCAAGTCAGCCATATTGTCTTGCAAAGGTCCTCACAGGTGCATTACAAACCTTCTTTAAAATTTCAGCACAGCCAAAATGGACCATAGACCTAACATGTAACATGCATTCAGGTGTCTTTGTTTAAATAACAGTTTTTTTCCCCTCTGCTTATGGTAAATACTGACTCACTGATCTCTGGGAAACACCAGTGGTTGTAACACGTGCATCCATGTAGATTAGTGCTAATTCCAGGGAGTTAACCAACCCCCACCAAATTAAATCACACTGGCAATCACCAACAAGCTGAGCACTCCAAGGGTGACAAATGGCAAAACCAACAGTTTGTCTGTTGAATTGCATGAATTGCATAATCAATTTTGGGACACTCAGCAAATTTGCAATAAATTAAAATCAATTAGATGTGACTTCATCTTATGTTTTCAATATCTAACCATTTTCTTGCTTGCAGACATGGCAACCACAAGCTACAGCTCACAGAATAATACGGACATTTTGCAGAAAAATACCAGCTCCTGCACCGAGGCATATAAATCCATTTTGAAGTGAAGGACACCAAACCTACAGATTGCACCATCATTCTATCCTGTGCATTAAAACAATGTTTTCAATATTTGTGCAGAAAATCAGAGCGATGAGAAGGCAATATAAGGCCCTCTGCTTATGTCAACCAACTGTCTTCAGCAAGTGAACTTTTAGGATTAAATGTGCCTTCTATTTTCGTGTAAGGATGATGCTTGCATGAAAACAAGGATTGTTTTAAAGCTTTAAGGTCTCTATGAAAATCAAATTGATCATTTTAAGGAACTTTTGGTGTAGGCAAAGTGCAACTACGCACACTTTACCTACACCAAAAGCTTGTAGGTGTTACAATAAACTAAAGTAACTGTTGCGTATATCTGCAGACAACTCCTATTCTATTTAACATGTTTCCGCTTCAACTCATTAGTCTCCTTTAACTGAGTTTTTAATGTAAGTTCACATATTTGTCTTTAATTGACTGCTGATTTTAAGATCTCCTTTAACTATAAACACGTTTTATTTCGAGGCTTGCACTGTTTCACAACATGTAATGAGCAATAAGACTTAGCTTACTTTAATTTGATCTTTTTAGGTGTTGTACCATGTCTGTTTTATTTCATGACATTTGTTGTAACACACAATGCTGGCCTAAACCTCTTTTGTATCCTCTCTTTTGCCCTGTCAGTTCCCTGTCGGGCTCTGTGAACTGTTTTAACCTTTCTAAAAGGTGGTATACGAATGCAGTTTAATCCGATTTTACACAGGTAAAAAATATATATATATTATTCTAGGACATCTGTTTTCATGTATCATGCAAAGGTTCTCTGAACGAGGTTTTTCTACTCTCTAGCCAAGACAAGTGGTGTCAAAGGGTGCTAAAAGTGCAGAAATACCGACAGCTTTGTTGAACAAATAAGTAAACTTGTTGCAGCTGAGAGTCAACGTCTAAAAGTAAGAAACAAGCGAAAAACTAATGCGGATGACCGATATGTAACCTCAAAATAATTGAAGCTAAATACAAATCACTCCAGAACACTTTTTATCATCTGGCGGCTGGATTCGTGATTTCAAGTGTCGCACCGTCTGTAAATAACCGTATTTAGCAAATAACCTACCTGATTTAAGCCTTTTCACGCTGACTTTTGTAAGCCAATCGAACAATTAATTCCCATGTGGTTGTTTTTGTATAATCCCATCTTCAAAAAACAAATGTATAGTTATCCAGAGGAATATTTCCCATCCGTCTGTCCGAACAAAGCGTAGCCAAAAATATCGATCATTTGTCCCTGGCTGCTCTGCTGGATGAGAACAGTGTGGGGAGCTCACAGGTCTCAGATCAGACAAGGGGAGGAGACCTGCTCATCCTTGAGCCTGCCATCACTGTGTGCACAGTGAGCAACACAGACACAGGCTGACCACACTGACACATTTTTAGACCACATTTGTCTTCAACAATAGAATGATCATCACCATCTGTTCAAATGCCAGCGATTTGACTTTTTTCTTTTTTTTAATACCAATATTTTCAAGCCACAGCCAGCAGGGAGATGCAGCTAAATAAATTTGAATAAAACTCACCATACTCTTGCTTTTAGCTATTGTATTAATTTTAGAACTGAGTTAAACATTTAGGCAAATATTTTAGGCAGAATTTTTGTATGTTAGCCAGCTAAAAATTTGTCATCCCAGTGAAGAAGCTTCTAAAGTTTACGGTACCTCGTGCAGTTTGTGCAAATTTCAAAGTTAAAAGTAACTACAGACTTGTGAAAATTTAGCTTATTAAAAGTTAGCTATGGCATTTTGAAGTTAGCATTAGTAAACAAAACACAGGTGTCCCCTGGATCCAATGCTATGCCAGCGTTTACACTAGTTTCCCATATGGTAGGTAGCTATACTCTGTTTCATAGCCACATTAGCTTGTGGTGTTTGACTTTACAATGTTAATGGTTGCCACTAACCTTAGCGATGTTAACACTTAAATGAATAAGAATACTGTTTTAAAGCTATAGTAAGTAAGTATAGTGAGTACACATAAATCCAGCCATATGATGCACTGAGGGTCTACCCCGGTTACCCTAAGAAAAACTAATTCTGTAAGTCCACCATTAAAACACAGAAAACATCACAAAAAATCTACCACAAAGTTTAGTGTGATAGATTTTGTTTATAATTAAAATTTTTGTATCAATTTTCATTATGAAATCAAGTCTTAAATGGAAACCGACTTGATTTCTTGACATTTTGTTGGTGTGAATGTAAACGTAAAGTATCAAGTAATAAATTTAGCTCATCATCTGAAAATTTCATTCTACATGCCCCACAGATATATGCTATACAGACCGTAGTTATTTTTTACTCTTTATTTTTTTACTTGCATCACCATCTGTCTTATGGAACACCACAAATCGAGGGCATTCCATATTCCGACTATCAACAACAGTCAATTTATCAACAATAAACAGGGCTGCAGCATGAGCCAATGCTAAGACATTACCAACAAAGATCCATTAGAGTCAGTCTCAGCTCATCCTCTAATAGCTGAGGGGGGTGTACTACCTAATTATCTTGTAAATGCACAGAAAAGCTAGCATACAAGAGACAATTGTCGCACTGTGTCATGGTGCACTTGGAAAGCCATGGTTTAGGATGCAGTAATTACCTTCTGCCTTCTGGCAGAGATGTAAAGAGGCTTTCAATGGATCTCTATGCACCTGGAGACAGTCCTAAACCTAATGAGGTTTTGAGAAGGAGAGAGTGATTGCTCTAGCGGTTTTTGTTTTTGTTGCACCGCAGCAGTATCCATGTGAATATGCTTATAGTCTTATAGTCTTATATACAAGACTTTAGAGCTGACTGCTTAGTGTATTGTCCATGACAGATGGTTTAAACAAGGACTTTGGATCCTGCTAATGCTTTGACATGTTGGCCTTAAAGCAAATTTAGAATTTTATTTATGTCAGAAGCAACTTAGAGGCATGTTATTTCTGTCCCTCTGTGACCATAGACTGTATGTAAGCATCTTTTCTGTGTAACCAGTATTACACTGTTGCTATTAATGGATTGCCTTAAACCCACTTGCCATGAGGACAATCCCAAAGTCTATTAAAGTGTTAATTCCCTGCAGTTTAAGGTGACCACAGACTCTCAAAAGAAAACTCTTTTTCAGATTCTGTTGTAAATATTGAGCAAACTCAAAAGTTTCCATGGGTGATTGTTTAAAGAGCCTGTGTGTGTGTGAAATTAAGGCAAAAGAAACATCTAAATGATAAACACAATTTACTCAAATCAGCTGGAGTCTAACTATGATTAAATTTGCATGATTTCGACACAAAAAAGAGGCAATATACCACAAAAGTGACATCTTTAGGTGACCACATCCCTAAGGGGGCATTAGCTGGCTGAAATAGGTACTCAAGTCTAAGCTGGGATTAGCAGTGAAGCTCCGTATATTGCCAAGGGATTTCTCTTTTAACCTTATGCCTTCGGCTGGTTTGTAGGGGGTGGGGCCGCACAGGGGTTATTCAGCTGTTATGTGAAACATTGTGATGTGGCATGTCACGCTAGATCTGCTCTAATTAGCCATATTGGTAAAAAATTGGTTATTATGTAGAGGACTTGCAATCCCCACAATTATATACATGAAAAAGCATGTGATTTTCAGCATTAACTGGTACAAATTTACACTCTCTTCTTATCCTCAAATAAAATATTTGTTTACAGGTTTTAAAGTTGCTTTTTGATGTGTTAAAGGGACAAAATAAGATGCAGTTTGAAAAACATGCTTATTATGGACCTTCAGGCATCACAATTACCACGTTAACACTGACAGCCCTAGCTCTTTTTGGCCTTATTTCAGCAGGCTTAATCGTGCTTAATGATTCAGCAGATGTTTTTATTAATTACAAGCAATCCACTCTGTTTTTTAGCATGTGATATATTGAAATAAAATACATTAGTAGAAAAACACCAACCAGGAAAAAAAAATGTATTTGAACAGGCAGAGACCTGGAGCAGAACCAGGCAGCTATCTGCTGCAGGAAGGTGGGATAGAGGAGACGTAAACAAAAAGAGCTGCTGGCTGTTTATAGCTCCTTTAAGACATTTATCTCCAAGCGGAGATTAATTACCCCCTGGATAATTATTTTGAATAGCATTAAAAACAAATCGACAGACTAATTTGTTAACTAACTTCACTTTACTAAGCCTTATTTGTGGTTTTATAAAGATTAATGTGTACTTTATTATTCATCAGTGAGTAATAAGCCACGCAAACAGGCAACACCTCTGCTGCTACTGAAGTGAGTACAATTATTTATTAAGAACAACAAACTCAATGTTATACACTCATCTTTTCCGTCTTTTTTCCTCCTGTCATTTTGTCTTAATTGGATCATCACAGCTTTAGAGGGATGGGCATTGGCTGGATTTCTACTCAGGTCTCTGGGGTAAAGGGATAAGGTGAGCTGCCTTGACCCTGCGCCTGCCTGAATTTCCATAACCTCAGGGCTCATCAGCACTTTGAAACTGTAAATAAGTGTCTAATAACTTTCATAGATCTTGTAATCCCACAATGACATGTTGATGATGCTATTGTTAATGGTCCTATGAACTACAAAATACTGCTATAATCCATAGTTTGTAAACTGTAATGCTTACTGTCATAGGCTAATAATAAGATCCAATTTTTCATCTAGTATTTCAGCTGCTTCACATTTTGGGGTTTGCTATCTCTGGTTTATGAAACATATTAAAAGTTTTCAATGAGTGACAAGTTGCAATGGCTGGCAGGCCAGTTTCGCACATGATCCTTCATCAATAGAGTCTTCCACTTAGAAGCCTTGCTGTTGTAAAATGTGTAAAATTTCATCTATCATTGCTCTGTTATAAAATGCAAGCTCTTTCTTAAAAAGTTATTGTCTGGATGGCAGCATATGTTGGTCCAAAACATGTAGGTAAAGTAACATTAATGGCACCTTCCCTTATTTGTAAGCTAACCCTGCCACGGGTGCCTATGCACATACAATAATGGGTGCTGGATTTCCCATAGTGCACTAATAACAAGCAAGGTGGCCCTTCTCTTTTGTTAGAGTGATGTATGCACAATCCATGACTTCCAAAAAGAAAGTCAAATTTTGGTTCATTAGATCACAAAGCATTTTGCTCCTTCTCCTTTGTTCATCTGAGATGGGCTCTGTTTATTGTTTTCTTTTACATTAGTCCAGTTTCATCCTGCATCTATGGTTTTGAGCCCGTGTGGTGATTTCCATTTTGGAGTCATATCTGTATGTAGTGCAGTGCTGCTGTATGGCTCAAAAATCATTGCCATTTAATGTTGTTTTTTTTATCCTTGCCTCTTCTGTACATAGATTTCTGCAAAGTTTGTGAATACTTCAATGATCATATGAACTCCCAACACACAGTATAACCGCATTATTTTGTTTACACCCAAATAATGGCTGTAATAATTATTTTCTTTTCCATTCTCATAAGTTCATGAGAACATATGGTGTTGATTTGAGGTTATGTGTGTTTAAGGTAAGGAAACAGAGCTAGTAAAGTGTATAAATTTGCTGAGCTCTAAGTGAGCAAAGGAGAATTAAAAAAAGCTTCAAATCTGGTATATCTTGTAAGATGTAAGGGATGCATAACATGTTCTGCTACATGTTTAAAAAAAAAAAAAAGACAAAACCTGCTATGCATGCCTGAGATGTATTATCAGAGCCCAGCTACATAACAATCAGCCCCTCAGCTGTGTCTTGGCAGCCAATGTCAGTTTAAGTGTCCATGGTCCTGCTGTGACTCCTCTTGTGCTGATGAGTTGTACCCTGTTCATCAGATGCTGAGGATGATTGCATGCTCCTCTTCATTGTTGTAGTCCAATCAGAGAGGACAATTTATCCTCAGCCAAACACTTATTCTGAGCTGCCATAACAACCTCAAGGGCGAATTTGTGGGCAGAGACATTCAACAAAGCATGGTAGAAATGAAAGAAATCAGAAACTCTTCTTGTAGACAATTAACATCTGAGGCTTTCACTGATTTATCCTTTTGTTTATATCCTAATCCAATAATAGGGCAGGGATTTTTTTCTTTGCTGTCATTAGCCGCACTTGTACATTTTGTTCCTGCTCCCACGTGCAATCAGCAAACAACACAGGTGTTTGTGTTTCTTAATTTCAAAGTCACATTAATAATACATGTTTGTTTGTTTGGTTTTTTTGTTGCAGTGTTTGAGTATCTCCCCCCAGGGGAAGCTTGCTAAAGAGTTGTTGCAGGCTGAAATAATCACCCTACAGTTTAAGATCACAAAAGTTAATAATGCTTGTATTTGCCTCTTATTTATTTGATCATTACCTTTGGAAGAACCCTGAATA